TCATCCATCCTCATCAAGCATACCACAGCAGAACTGCTGTTCAAACATCTCATTTCAATTTACAGAAATTCTTCATATGATACGCTACCGGGGCTGACAGGGAAGCGAAAGCCAGTAGGGAGCAGTTGGTGTGATTTGCATAATGCAAACTGACTCTTACCAGCTTTCATTAATTATTAGTGACATTTATTTCCTCAAGGGAGCTTTTCACTGATGTAACGGTTATGCCGTAAAGATGCTGAGCCCTCGTCATGCAAGGGCAGTAGTGGAGAAACATCCCGTCCGCATGTTCAAATACAGCAACTGCCATCCATGTTTACAGTTGGTGCAGCAACTGTAAACTGTCCGAATGTGATTTCTGCTTAGCCCTCAGCCTGTCCATCTGCCTTTGGGGACATGTTGCCATTGGGCAAGTGGGACAAAAAAAAATCTGCCAGTGAATGTAATTCGTTTGGACCATGAATAGGGACCAGCTTTCTGTTCAAATCTGAGATTTTTTCCATGCCCTTTTTATCTTTATGATTTTTTTTACTTGGTTTTCTTTGCATCATGTACACTCTTGACCTTGGTTGATCCTTCTGTGCCAATGTTATGGAAGCTCTTTTCTAAACCTGAACGTTAACACACTATCAGCAGTGACAGCGATCACATGAGAGCTGAGTTATCAAGCCCAGACACTTTTCTAAATCTCTCCATTGCACATTTGTAAGCTCCATCTCAACCCCCCTTTTTGAACAAGCCGTACTAGAATGTATTTGGAAAGACATCAGTATATAGTCGTGTGAATATTAACTCTGTCACAGGGCATGTATGTTTGTTAGGTGCTGGTGTGTGCTGTTGTGGAAGGTGTGTGCGTGTATGTGCATGAGAGAGCCTCTCAGGGGTCCAACTCAGAGGACTGTGCTCTGCTGAAGTTGTGGACTTACATCCTAATATACATTGTTATGGACACAATAGCAATGCACACAAAACTATATCAGCTTTTCCTGTCTGAAATTTCACATGGCCATCTCACTGTCCGGCCAAACAGGAAAGCGTTCTGGCTAGCCTTTTTCAACCTCTGTCTGCCACATCTGTAGCATAAGATCACCCCAGACAGTAATTGCCTTGTACTTAGCAAAAGACCAGAGAATTTGTCTTCTCAAAACACAATTACAATAGAAGCTAAGGGGCAGGTGGTTCTGGGATAATCCACTTTATGTTACAGATGGGGCAGATACAAGCTTTAAAAATGCTGTTTCCTTAAAGGGGCACTCTGACCAAAATGAGAAATACAATTATTGCTACAGCTGTTATAAACAGGCTTACCTGCCTTCCACCGTTGTGCCATAATAGTTCAGAAAGTGAGATTTTCCTTTTTAAAGACTAGAAAACTGACCTTCTTATGATGTATCTTGAAGGTGGGAGAAACTTCTGAAAAACTACAAGGGCTTAGGATCAGGTACTTGAGGGCTTTTTGATTTTTTTTCCCTCCTCTAGCTGGCTAATGCAGAAGGATGCCAGGTAGTTAGCGTTACTGCTAGGAAGCCGTATAGTGCATTTCTTTACAGGGGACTCCCTGTGTTTCTATGATGTATCTGAGCAGTGCATGCTGGGAATTGTAGTGGAGAAAAACACAAAAAAACGTGTACAGAATCATGAATTCTGTCAAACCGACAAGGCTAAAGATAGAATGCTATGCTACAGAATATTACATAACAAATATGCTAACTGTAGGCTGGAGTGCCCCTTTAAGACATCCAGTGGCTGACGCTAGGAGGAAATGGCTCAGGCTGTAGTTTTGGTTTATATTCCATTTCACTTTCAGCAAATATTTTCCACTTAAACACAACATGGAGCTGTTTAGCCGTCACCTCTGCACTCTGATTCTCTATACATACTGTCTCTGTCCTGTTTCCCATGTAGACCTGTGGGTCCAGCCTTCTCCAGGGCCCCTGGAAGAAACAGCATCCTGGCTGTGTTTGTTTCGAGTCTTGGCATGTCTGACACAAACAGCATTTATAATGTATATTGCCCTGTAATTAATGACAAATAAAAATGATGTCCTCCCAGTAACCGACTCGATGCTCTGCTTGCTAACAAAACCGTTATGTGTTTGAACATCTGCCTAATATGCTGTTGGTCCTTTACGTGCTGCCAGAACAGCTCTGACCCACCAAAGAATGGACTCTACAAGACCTCTGAAGGTGCCCTGTGGTATCTGGCACCAAGACGTTAAAAGGTGATCCTTTATGTCCTGTAAATTGTCAGGCGGAGCTGACTTGTTCCAGCACATCCCACAGATGCTAAATCATATTGAGATCTGGGGAATTTGGAGGCCAGGGCAACAGCTTGAGCTCTTTGTCATGTTCCTCAAAGCATTCCTGAACAACGCATGCTGTGTTATCTGCTCAAAAGAGGCCAATGCCATCTGGGAATACCACTGCCATGAAGGGGTGTACCTGGCCCGCAACGACATTTAGGTAAGTGGCACGTGTCAAACTGACTTCCATGTGAATGCCTGGACCCAGAGTTTCCCAGCAGAACATTGCCCAGAGCATCACTCAGCTTGTCTTCTTCCCAGAGTGCATCCTGGTGCCATCACTTAAACAGCTAAACAACATACAAAACCAGCCATCCATGTTAGGTAAAAGAAAATCACCATCTGATTTAGCATCTGTGGGATGTGCAGGAACAACAATTTTGATCCACAGCGGGTCTACACCGCAACTTAAAGGGTCTGCTACTAATGTCTTGGTGCCAGATACCACAGGGCACCTTCAGAGGTCTAGTAGAGTCCATGCCGCGGCGGGTCAGAGCCGTTTTGGTGGTATGCGGAGGACCAACAGCATATTATGTGTGTCAATCTGACAAGTACCACCTACCAAAAAATTGTTGTGAACACCTTCATCGGTTTGTCTTCTTCCTGCAGTGCATCCTGGTGCCATTACTTCCCCAGGTAAACAGAGCTCAGAAAACTGGCCATGTGATCTGAAACAAAAATGGAGACAGGTAACCTTCTTCTGTTGCTCTAAGGTCCAGTTCTGACGCTAGGCACTTTCACCAGTGTCCAGGGCGCTCTTAACAAGTCTGTGTGTGTGTGTGTGTGTGTGTGTGTGTGTGCGTGTGTGTGAATGTATATGTCTGTCTGTCTGCCCTGCGATGGACTGGCAACCTGTCCAGCGTGTATCCTGCCTTCCGCCCAATGACAGTTGGGATAGGTTCCAGCACCCCCCCCGTGACCCAGAAGGATGAGTGGTTTAGGAAATGTGTGTGTGATCATGCAGATTTAACATGGAGTTAATAAAAATCACATTGTCAATCAATTTAACCATATTTTATTTTTTAAATACATGTATTTCCCATCCCTCCTGTTCAATATCTTCAGTAATCGTTTCAATCTTGGGTCATTTCTAAAAATAAAGGGCAAATATCCCTTTAAGAAAATTACAGAAAAAAATCAGCAAAGTTAAAACTCCTAAATGTAGATGCAACTTCTTTGCAGTACAGAAGTACAACAAGCTTCATCTTATATCTTAATTTTATCAACTTTTTATTTATTGGTAAACAAGAAAGATACAGTACTGTGCAAAAGTCAGAGACGACTGTTCATTAGTCAAAATAGCCAATAAGTAGAAGTTAATAATTTTTCAGGAGGACATGCGATATATCATAATTCACTTGTAAGGGAAAAAATCAAAGAATATGAGAAAAAAAAGAGCTTATATACTTACACACTGAAAGATACAAAAGAAACAGAACAACTGTGCAAGACCTGGTAGACCACCAAAACTGTCACCATCAGATCTGGAAAAATCCACAAGTGTTTCTATATGTCCTTCCACTCTGGGAAGACAACGCTATGGGTCTGAAAGGACGTCAAGAAGCCATTACTGAGAAAAGGAAATGGACAAACAGAACATCTGCAAAACAAAGAACCTACTAGTGTTCTCAGAACAATGGACTGACCAGTCCAGACCTCAACATCGCTGAATGTGTTTGGGATTACGTGGATGGTGACAAGCAGACAATGTAACCAACTTCTAATATTGAACTTTAGAGGGGGAGAAAAATATCCCTGCAGAATTTCTTGAAAAACTGAAAGCAGGTCCACTGAAAAGAATGGAAGCTATTGCGCTTTTTTTTTTTTTATTTGTGCACAAGCAAAATAAATATTGTAGACACAGGCTGTGTTATTTGTTCTGTGCAGAGGTAGACTAACAGCTCCCTGAAACTGTCTGCACAATTAAAAAGAAAACATAAGCACGAATAACAGAAAACGAGAGAACAAATTAAGAAATCGTGGCCATGAATAAAAGAAAACGTACCCACAAATTAAAGAAAATGTGCACATAAAAGAAAACAAGAGAACAAATTGTTAATTGTGGGAATGAATTTAAGAAATTGTGACCACAAAATAAAAGACCACGAACAAATGGTAAAACGTTCCATAACGCTCCATAAACAACACAGTGCAAATGGCAGCTTGAATTTTCAAATGGCGTAAAAAAAATTTTTAAAATGTCAAAAACGGAGACAAGTTTTTTGCGCAATAGCAACAATGTGTTCGGTGAAACTTCAAACATACTGTAAATTTAGGGGAAAAAATCAACACATGAAGGTAAAAATGGGTCATCCCAATGAGAGACCTCATAATGGTTCAATTCCAACAGCGGAGGACACACTGCCATAGCCTACAAAGTGACCGGCATCACATGTACATGAGATATGCACCATGAGAACACTGCAAGGTTGACTTGAGTTAATTACATGCAATGGAGCGTTAATTGGGTCACATGAGGTAACAGGCCTGAGCTGACCTTCAGGGGGGTTGTTTTTGACCTGGCTCCTCATGATGAAGATGGAAGGACCGTGATATGAACAGCCATATGAGCTGGCCTTCAGCAGCCGAGGGAGGAGCTCTGTGGAGATAAAGCGTATTAGATAAGGCCATAAGGGCTGGGAGGATTATTGTAATCCAGTCCCTTCACCACTGGGGTGGTCCACCAGTCAAACACGAAGCAAGATGGAGCACGGAAGCCTGCACGCTCTCCTCCTCACTCTGCTGCTGATTGGTGAAGGTAGGTGGCCTTTTTGACTTCAGAGGTCCAGACACTTTTTGTTATAACTGAATGTCTATACATTGGCTTATTGTACTGTATGGTACTGTATACCTCGATATTACATACAGCTGTAGGCAAAAGTTTGGGCACCCCTGCTCAAACTACATGTTTTGTTGATTTTTTTTTAAGAATACATGTCAACACACTTCTGTACATTTTAATGCATAATGACTGTGTATTTGCTGAATTTAACATGCTTGGGGGGGGGGTTGAATTTTCAACAAAACAAGTCATTTGACAGGAGTTCTCAAACTTTTGTATATGATTGTATATTGATATATCCCATATATATATTTCTCCTAACCCTTTTTATTTATTTATTTTTTTTTGCGTAAAAGATTTTATTTTAGAATATATATATATATATATATATATATATATATATATATATATATATATATATATATATAACTGATATTTAAAACTATTTAAAAAACCAACTTATAAATAAATAATAATTATAACTGATTCTTCAGTAGGTTGTTTATAAAACCTCTTCTATTCCCAAAATCATTCAATATTACTCATGCTGGAATATTTAGAAATCATATTTTTCTTGTTCTTGTTTTGCTTGCAGCTCTAATTGGAGTTCATTCTCAGCAGGTGTGTTAAAAAAATCATTATTCCTTCTTATTTCTGATACTGTCAACACTGTGGTGCAAATCTATTAGAGAAATAAGCCAGTCGTGAAGTGATGTGATGTATGATAGCTGTTGATTGCACGTCTCATGTCTTCAGGGTGTTGAAGACAACGAAAGCTGGATGAAAGCTTGCAAGTGTGACTGTGAGGGAGGGGAGTCACCCACCGAGTTCACCTCCATTGCCACTGGCACGAGCTGGAGCCGTGGACTGGAGTGCATGCCGGGTGAGAGAGAGATTTAAACATCCTTTACAGTCTCTGGATGGCATTCTTTCATTAAAAATGCTCATGCCTAAAAATGCTCAAGCCTAGCCTTTAGGACGGTGTCCAAAAAGCTGAAAACCCAACAGCATCTTCAGCTGAAACTGCCTCAAATATCCCCCATGTTTCGCCTTGACACAGATAACGGAGATGGATGGGCTGTGTTGGTGGATCTGTTCTTTGCCACTGTTCAGAGCTGTTGGCCTTGGGAAACAGTGTGTGGGGTGTGTGTGAGTGTGAGTGAATGAGAGTGCTCCGGGACAGCCACCTCACTCGCAGTGGACTAGAAAGTCATTAATCATTCTGTAGCGGCTTCACCTGGGCTGTGTGTGGCACCGCGGCCACCCGCTGCTATACCGCCATCAGGCAGCCACGCTCCATTTCTGCTGAGAGAGAGAGAGAGAGAGAGAGAGAGAGAGAGAGAGAGAGAGAGAGAGAGAAAGAAATGTGAGAGAGAAATATGTGAGAGAGAAATATGTGAGAGAGAGGTGAGAGAGAGAAATGAGAGATAGAAATGAGAGAAAGCTACAAAAAGGAGGGATTAAAAACAAAGAGAAATGAGACAGATAATGACAGATGGGAGAGAGAGAGTGAAATGAGAGAGAGAAATAACTAAAATAAGGGAGAGAGAAATGAGAGATTGAACTCGGAGAGAGAAATGTGCAAGAGAAAAATAAAGAGAATAAAGTGGGAGAGGAAAGAGAAAAATGAGAGAGACAGACTAAGGCAAGAGAGAAATATAAGAGAGATAGATATGAGAGAGAGACATAAAGAAGTTGGAAAGAGAAAGGAGGAAGAGAGAATGAGAAATGAGGGAGAGAGAAGTGAAAGAGAGCCAAAGAGATATGAGAGAGAAATCGGAATGAGATAGAGGGACAAAGACAGAAATGACAGAGGGTGCAACTGAACAAGGGTGAATAAACACTGAAAAAAGGAAGAGAGATTGGCAGAGACCAAGTGTAGATACATAATCCCATTAGTTGGAGTAGGACACAGAATATGATGCACAGATTACACAGCTCAGAATATCCCTCCTGGAAGCACAATTCCAAAAACAGCACGTATACATAACTATAAGCCCCACGCTCATGTAATTCCACTTCAGCCAGTTCACAACATTCAATGCGATAAGCTTTCACAAACCCAGTCAGTGGTGTAGACAGGGTCCAATGGCAGGAGTGGATGAAGTACAGCACTTCTGTACTTGAGTAAAAGTAATGTACTCCTGGTAAAATACTATTTGTATACAACTTGCAAAAAGAGCACAAAATACTTAAGTACCCAGAGTTATAACAGATCTTGTATAATAGAATTTTGATGTTCTGTGAAGGAGACCTGTGTGGCCGCAGACATCAAAAACATAATCATCCTTAATCATCCAAATAATATTATAACTCAAAGTACTGCTACTTTTGGTACTTAACCCCTCAAAATCTCAGGCTTATCACATACTAAAGCTTATTATTCATAACCTACAGGGACCAAACTGGTTGAGCTATTCTTATCTGCTCAGTTGACTTTCAGGTGGATTTGATCTAATGGTCAGAGTCTTTTCCACAAACTTATGGCATCCCCGCCAGCATGGCCGCACAGTCACTAAAGCAAAAGGGGGACATACAAAATACTAAGTAATTCTGAAATTCATGTAAACAGTCAAAGATTCTACTTTTCACTCATATTGCTATGCTAAAAGTAGCATTTAAAAAAAAGTCTTTGTATTCAATTAAAAAGGAATGCAAAATAGAAACATTTTCACCAGTGGTCTCAGACTTTTGGACCCACTGTTTAATATCTCACAACTATTTGCCGAATTTAACACATAACATGTCATTTGACCTATTCAAACGTTTGCATATCTTGTTTTCTGATTTAAAAGGTATGACACATATTTCATGGTATTTCTATTTACACCCAAACTTGTCCTCAGTAATGATGTCACTCAAGGCCATCCACTGTCTTCACGTGCCCACGTTAAAAGTCTGTCTCCGAAAAACACAAACAGAGCTAGTTGTGGAGATGGAGCTTAAGCTGAGAAGGCAAACCATCTGTCGAAGTTAAGTCCTAACAGCCGCTGATCTCCATCAAAATGGAGCATTAGAGCAAAGCTTTTAGGAAGGAGATGCAGACATGCGGATGGTACTGGAATTACAGAGCTGGAGAGAGAAGCTTAGTGATGTTTGTTTTGCCACCCAAAACTCTGCATGGAGGAACCACCCTCAACGATTAATGTGATTCTGTTCAACATCCATCAGGCATGCAATGGGCTTGCACTGGATTGTAAAGTTTGTAATCCATTGTTGCTCTTGTGCAGAAAAAGAACGGCTTACTGTGAGCTGGACTGGTCTGAGGCTTATGATTTGTGAATTAAACTAAGTAGTGGCTTTTCAGCAACATGTGCCAAAGAGGAAAGCCAAGGCCACTGCAAACAGGAGGATTAATAGACTACTTGTAAATATGCTGCTCCTTCACAGTTCTCCTAGTGTTGGCCTGCATTGTTATGTATTTTCATATGTGTTTTGATATGAACGGCTGAATTCTGACTAACCAGTGATGTACTGATGGAGTGATCAGATATTTCATGGTCAAATTTGGGACAGATATTGGGAAGATGGTGGGGGTCAAATAAATATAACTACATTTATTAGACTGCATGTTTTCTTTGTTTTGCCTAGAGAAGTGTGTATACTAACTCCAAATTTTTCTGAAGATTCTCATTAAAGGAATAGTTGGGCAAAAAATCACACGCTCAATTTTCCACTTAAGTTGATCAGTCATAATTTTGCTTCTTTAGTTTAGCACTGGAGCTATAAGGCTAACTAGATGTCAACAGTCACCCAAATCTTTTCTGTAACTATTTAAAACTTATCTCAAACTGCTTCCAGGCACTTGTTGATGTGGTTTAGTGCACAGTATGACTTACCGTGAACTGTAAAAATGAACAAAACCTCACTGTGTAGCTAACTGCAGCAGGCAGCCATTTTAGATAACAATTACAGAAAGAATCTTGGTGACTATGGGCTTCTACAGTCAGTTTCCCAGCCATAAATTAAGCCTAGTTTTGGACTAAATGAAGTGTCAATGGTAATTCACTATTTGAAGTTCTTTTTAGTTTAGGCTTAAGCTTAATCTGGATGTGGAAAATTGGTGTTGGTTAGCAATGGTAGCCTCATTGCTAGCTCCACAGCTAAACTAAAGCAGTGTTTTCCAACCCTGTTTCTGGAGGGCCACGGCCCTGCATATTTTAGTGATTCTCCTGCTTTAACCCAGTCACTTAAGTTTGCTGGATCAGGTGTGTTAAGAACAGGGAAGAGACTACAAAGTGCAAGGCAGTGGGCTTCTGGGAACAGGGTTGGACAACACTGAACTACAGAAGCAAATCATTCCTTTAAATTAGGAGTCACTAATCTTATCTGCAAAGGGCCAGTGTGGCAGTAGGTTTTCATATCAGCCAAGCAGGACCACACCTCATATAACTAAACAATTGTTTGAAGACACCGGCCCTTTGTGGATAGGATTTGTGGCCTGTACTTTAAATGAACATAAGAACCTCTTAGACATTGGGCTACTATTTCAACATATAATTGCTTAAAATGTTAACTTGGCAAGCTTAGCTATCCGAAGAGTAGAATCTTACCCTCTCATGATCTTATCAGACATGTGTTATAGGTAGATTTCAATCCAATTACTTGTATTAGAATTGTATGTGATTGGCGGCATTTGTGTCCACAATGTTCCAGCAATGACGAACGCATTCTCATGTCAAATATAGCAGGAATGAAGCATTTCTGAGAATAAGCGGGGACACCTAATGCTAACCATGCTAGATGACTCTGAAAAGACTTTTAAAAGACCCTAGCACGGCATGTGCTACCCCGAGCTCAAGGAGGACGCTTGAGGCAGGGTTCAGTGTTGCAGCAGCCATTTTCTTTAATCACACATCAAATAAACAAAGCGAACCGAACCGAACCAAACCAAACCAAACCAACTCTATGCTACACTGGCCACTTTTCGGTGGCTTTTAACTTACTAGACTTTTCAGTTTTTTACTCAAGCTTTTCAGCTCTTCGTCAATCTCTTCTTGCTGCTGCTCGTCCCTCTCTCTCGCTCTGTTCCCTCTCTGCTCTTTTTTTAAAAGGCGAGTACCCGAGCCGAGAGGGAACGAGAGCTCGCTGCTCTGCCTCCCTGTCACCGCCCCCAGCTTGCAGCCAGGCCGCCCGGGTCGAACGTGAGGTGTAGTGCAGCGGCCTCGCTGCGGAACAGGGGGCGGGGCCTGGGCGGCGGAGCTCGGTACTCGCTTCTTGCCCTGGTGCCCCTTGTTGCCGGCACCGTCGTCCTCCTCCCGCCATCACCCCCCCAACTCGCAGCTCTCTCCCTGCCGTCCTCGCCGAGATTCGCCGCCGCTCGGTGTTCGGGCCCCGCCTTCCTGCCGGCTCTCACGGCCATCATCGTCGGGGCCCGGGGGGTGGGCGCATGTCACAAAGACGGAAGTCTGACACCCTCTCACTTCTAGAGACAATGTAGCATTAGTCACAGAGTTTTAGTCACAGGCTAAAACCTGGGGACTGGGGATCTAGCAGGGTTACTATTTGCATGAGCCAAGACTAAAAACTTTTGATAATAATAAACATGGTTGCTTTTTTAAGAACGAGAAAAAGACTGCCTTAAGACGGCTATCCTGACCACCTTACACCAAACAACCAAAGGCATGACATGAGCACGCCACAACTCTAGCAAAACTCTCATGATTGGAAAATTGTCTGCGACAGTGAAATTGCTTGAAAAGTCATTTGATGTAAGGCTGGCTTAAAACAAAGTTTGTACTGTGTACTGACTGATTATGTTATCTTTCCCCAGAATGCCCATACCACAAGCCTTTGGGCTTTGAGGCTGGATCGGTCACTCCAGATCAGGTCAGCTGCTCTAATGAAGACCAGTACACCGGCTGGTTCTCCTCCTGGACCCCCAGCAAAGCCAGACTCAACAACCAGGGATTTGGGTGAGTGGACCACTTAAGAAACACACTATGTTTCTTCTAGCAACACTGGTTTTGCCACCTCCCCACTGTTTCCTTTACAGTGGTGTAAAGCATTTTTGGCTAAGCATTTGTGGCACGAATAGAGCTGGGTCCTGAAATTCAATACTTAATGGTAAGATCAAATTACTTCAATACTACAATACTTCACTACTACAGAGTGTAGTATCATCCAATACTGAACTTCAATACCTAAGTAGTCAGTTTTATCAGCATATGTGAGCCAACAAGCATACTTATTCCAAAATCTGGGCTGATGATTGATTGTCTGAATTACATTCCATAAGCAAGTTATTCATCTCAGTGGTTTTTAATTAGTCCTCAATCTGTTATGGTCAGTAAATACATCCACTTCCAGCACCTCACATTAAGCCACACCCACTTTAGGATGACAATTTAAAAGAACGTGTCACAAAAAGTAGGCCTATTGTTCAGGAAATGTTATTGAAGTCAAGGTATCGGTATTGGTAACAGTATTAAAACATGTCAAATGATACCCAGCCCTACTTATAAACACTTCCCAATGCATTTCAAAGGAAATTATTTGCTAATAGTACAATATTAAACACAGTCATAGAAATCGCAGTGCTTCAACTGAATTAACTGACTTTGGCTTGTTCTTATACTCTGGTTACAATCATTAGATGACACATTCTTGGTAGGCAGCTGTGATGAGTCTCCAGATCAAAGTGTGCTGTAAGGAGGATTTATCCCAGATTAACTACTACTCACCCAAATTTGAACTAGTTCAGAAGGTCTCTAGCACACCCATAAATGAAAACAATGTCTCTCTCTTTCTCTGCAGGTGTGCCTGGTTGTCTAAGTACCAGGACACCAACCAGTGGCTGCAGATTGACCTGAAGGAGGCGAGGGTGGTGTCCGGCATCCTGACCCAAGGGCGCTGTGATGCGGATGAGTGGATTACCAAGTACAGCGTTCAGTACCGCACTAATGAGAACCTCAACTGGATCTACTACAAAGACCAGACTGGCAATAACAGGGTGGGTAGAGGTTATAATTGTTTTTCTGCATAGTCAGCTAAGGTACCTACAACTGAAAGTTGTAAAGTTACAGTGGAAGTGAACTGAATCCACCCCACCTGTGAGGTATCTGTATGAAAACACCAGATAGAAAAAAGGGGGGTAATTCCACAGATTTTTCAAATTTCTACAGAACACTAAGATGTAAATGAAGTTGTTTGATGTGAAATGGAGCACTGTAAAGAAACGTAACGGATTTCTTTTTTAGTAGTGGTAATAGAAAGCGGGGGCCACAATGTCTATAATGCAAATATAGCCATTGTATTTGCTACGCCTTGAATTAACTTCTTGGCCCTGCATGCATTTTAAAAATAAGATTTAAGCCAAAACTCTGTCTAAAACTGTCGACAAACAATAGGTCAGGAATCAGAAAATGTATTTGGTGTAATAAAGATGTGAGGGAGGCATTTTAGATGTCTGGTTCCAAAACAGTTCTCACTTGGTAAGATGCATTTCAAACTTTGCACATGAATGAATGATGTATCCTTTTTTTGTTGTTGTTTTTGTACATATTTGTACAATTCAGATAGAGTGAATTCAAATAAAATGGCACAGAATTTTAGGAAATATGGGCCACACAGGTCATAGGCCAAGAATCAAGAAGCCATTATTATATTCTATCACCAAAATGACTTTCTTAAAGTTTCTCAAAATACCTGAATCTTCCCTTTATGAATTGTAAACTGACTGAAACAAACTACATCCCACATTTTAGTGCAGGGGTACCAGCTCCAGTCCAGGACATCCTTTGTCAAGTATTGTTTGGTGATTTCCCCACTCAGCTATACCTGATTCAACTCAGCAGCTAGTGAGAGGTTTAGTTGGTGTGTTTGAGCAAGAAAATCATTAAACAGTGTTGCACTCCCTCTAGGATCGGGATTGATAACCCTTGTTCTACCGTATAGACTGACCTGTATATGCATGCTGTCCCCTTCACAGGTGTTTTATGGGAACTCTGACCGCTCGTCCTCAGTTCAGAACCTGCTCCGCCCGCCCATTGTGGCCCGCTACATCCGCATCATACCTCTGGGCTGGCACACCCGCATTGCCATCCGCATGGAACTGCTGCTCTGCATGAACAAATGCACCTGAGGCGAAGTTTGGCCTGTAATGATGCACCTAGCCCTTTAACCACTCAAAGCTCCCTTTTCCTCACCAGCACCACCCAAGTGTCTGTGCCGCAAAAGAAAACTACTGCCCCTAATTTTTTAAAATGACTTTAGTTGTATTAAACCTATTACTTCCTCATCTTTCTAGGAGACACATCCCAGGGTCTTTACTTGTTAAAATGCTCAAGTTTAAAACTTATTTGGAAGGAATATATAATAAAGGGGTTCTGAAATAGTCTGGAGTTACACTTTTTGGAAAGTTTAGTTACAACTCACCAGGTGTGTCAGGTGGCCCTCAAGGCCTTGAATACTCCCCAGTGTGAAAGGTGACCAGGACCAGACCCAGGCACTCACACCTAAGCACTAGGTCTACAGCAAGATGGTTGCAACCTGAGAAAAGAGAGGTAAAAAGGCTTTAGAGAGATGGGGAGGTATTGGTGATAATTAGTTTAATGTCTTGTTACTGTTTTGTTTGTATGCATATGTGTATAGCCATGTCTTTGTGGCAACAAAATTTCCCCCAGTATGATGGAAAATATGGACATTTTGACAGTCACTAGAGTTACAGATGAAACATTTGGCTGGTACCCATAAGGAAAATGGGTCTTTATGAATAAATTGTTATTTATTAATATTCTTTATGAATAAAAAGCCAGGAGGTTTAATTTTGGTTATTGAGGTTAAAGCGGCATTCTGGCCTAAAAATAGTTTAATATGTTATTTGTAGTGTTATGCAGTATTCTATAGCACAATATTCTATAGCTCTGCCATGAATTTTACATCAGGTTTTCATGTTTTTCGTTCATCAGCGTTCTCTCACTACAATACCCAGCATGCATTATAACCATTGTGGCAAGCAGTCCAGACTGCTAGCCTAGCCACTGAGCTATAGGCTAATAAGTACAACCAAGACTATTAATATAAGCTAATAAATACAACCAAGATAGCATTACTGTAACTCTTACCTCAGTCATCAAACAAAATTGTGAAGAAAACAGTAACCACAAAATGAACACCAGAGGCAAGTTTTTTTTTTACCCTTTAAGCCAGAAAAAGTAAGTAAGAGTTAGATAGCCAGGTAGGTACATTTATGACTTTAGCTTTTAGCTTGTTGTCCTCCTCATCTGACTATAGTAATTTCTGTTATTTAAGTAATATATTATCTCCATTATAATGATGATTTGAAGACAGTTAGCTACTTCAGTTACCTAGCTGCAAGATATTTAACTTCCCAGCAATATCATTGGCTATCTACCTTCCTTCTGCATTCACCAACTCACAAAATAAGTTAAAAAAAAAAAACTAAATTCATTTCTAAACAGTCCTGAAAAATCTAGTTTGTTTTTTAAAGTTCCATTAAGCACCACTCCCACCTTTAAGATCATCATCAGAAGAGGTTTACCGGGTCTTTAAACTGGAAAATCTCATGAGCAAGTATGCTTACAACAGATGTTGTGAGATGTTTTGACCCTTTAGGGGCTGGGTTAGGTTAGGTTAGGTTAGGTTAGGTGTGACACTGCAACACTAGCACATGATGATTGTGTAAATTTAAATACCCCCAAAACAGAGGAATATAAATTTGTTTGAGTCAGCATGCATTGACTCATGTGGTTTGGTCAAGTGGCCTGTCAGCCACAATTATTAAACACTGCTCACATTAAAATTACACAGTGCCAGTCTGTGCACCACTGAGCCCATCAATTCAACATACAACTTGGCTAATAGCTTATTAGCCTGTTTACTGCTACAAAAGGAAAGAGACTGTTTCTCTTCAGTGCCTGAAGAGGTCTGATCAAGATGTAGCTAGTAGATGTAGTACATGTACTAATGTCCAACTAATTAATATCAAGTTAACAGAACCCAGTATTTTCACTGCTAATAGCTTTATAACTGAAATACAACTCACCCACCCCTGTGCCCGCCAACATATCATGTTTAATTATAGGTATTTGTGTTCTCCTCATATACTAATTATGCCCTTGAATAAAGTAAGTGGATTTTAATCTGTGTCTATAGTAGTCTTTTCTTTTAATGCCAAAGCACAGTCTATAGCACTATAACATTTTTCCTCACCTTAGCTATAGTCCGATCCCATATTCTGCAGGATCCTGTTTATAGCCTACACCAGTTATTTACGCTAGTAAAGTCATTTTATTTAAACCTTTTAAATGTGGTTACTCTTAGAGTCAGGTACAGACAGAAAATCATTGCACTGTCATTGCACAGCAATGTCTAGCTAATGTATAAATCTGTTTTTTAAAGCGGCACTATAAAGTCCCTCGTGAGTTCACCATAGTAGTTAGCTAGGTTAGCTATCGCTAGCTAGTTATTTTAGCGTCAAGCTAGCGAGGTTAGTTGGTGCTATATGAGATTTTTATGGCAGCTCTAGTTTAACTACGGTCAATTTTAAGTTCGTAACAGGCATCTTTACTTTGTATGTCTCAAATAACTCTTTATTGAAAGGCTTGAACTTGAAGTCTGTATTTTATTACTGTAAGCTAGCTTGATAGCCGCTTAGCTAGCTTTCCGCTATCTGCTCATCCTACTTGCTAGTGAGGGCAGAATACAGTCATAAAGACAAATATAACGTGTAAACCAGTTAAAAATGACCACCCAACTTTATAAATCTAATGTAGTATTCTCGCTGCCCAAAAACACAAGCTCAAACACAGCACACACACTGATCCTCAAATGGCTACCTACTCCCTAGCTATATAGTGCACTGCCTACGTCATGAAATTATGGCTTCAGCGTCCAAATAGTGCACTACATGACCATAGGATACATTTGGGATTAAGCCATAGACGGTACGCGTCCCTGTCGGACATTTAGTGCTCTATTTGGTTACAAATACCATTCTTTTGTGACTTACGTAGTGCGCTATATAAGGAGTACAGAGGCTCCTCTGTACTCCAAATTTGGGACAAAAAAAAAAAAAAACACTGAACGTCGGACTCAGCTATTGGTCAAAGGGTCGGGTGAAGGGAAATTAGGACAATTGGTGATGTCTGCTGTCTCATTACCGTCATTGATTCTGCCAGCATTAAAAGAAACCTAAGCAATAGCGTCGCAGTTCCACTGTCACGATGAAAGCGCTCCGTCCTAAAGTTTATAAGCCGTCCTCAGCTCTGAACAGAGCGAAAGCCAGACTCCGAGCTCACGCCGTATTCATTTACAAACTAAGGAGGGAGGTAAGGTGGAGTCTGTTGCTGGGCCACCGATTTATAAACACATTATTCCTTCTAGATTTGCTTTGTTGACTATATCGTGTGTTTCTCAGACCCAGTCTGTTGATGTTGGGGTGGTCAAAAAGCCACGGGCCCCGACCAAGTTCCTGCTCCGGGGAGTGAGTCAGGAGGCCGCTCGTCTCTCAGCGCGCAATCGATGGTGTGTAATCACGCAGAGGGAGGTGGTCGCCGCCCTGGAGCAGCTGAGGCGCAGGCGCAATGCAGTTCCCATGGACGGTGCATGACCTTAACCGCGTTTTAGAAGTTTTAACGTCTGTAAATATGTAACTATTAAAAATAAACGTGTCGTTTTTAGTGTTTACTGTTGCCCATGATTTTGTGTGTTGCAGTAGACTGAAAGCCACTAAATCAAAGCACATCTAAATCAGCTGTGTAGGGGTTCAGGCCTCTACATGCTTTGTTTACTAGCTAATACTCACCCAGCTCACGGTGTCTGGATTTAGCAAAGTTTGTTTACTCGGCAGCCATCTTTGAAACTCCAATAGTTGTTTTCAGCCATACAAGCGAGTCCTTAAAGAACAGGGGAGACTGGCACTAAAACTAACTCAACATTTCCAAACGTTTAGGGTCCTTGTAGCTTTTTGGTAATTATTTCAAATCCAGTACCGAAAAACGCGAAAATGGGCAAGTTCTCGTTTTTTTTTTTTTTGGTTCTGTTGAAAAATCAAGAAATATGTTTTACAAACTAATAAAGAATAAAGGGTCGTATTTTATTTATCTGAGCTTAAAATTTAGCACTTGAACCGGAAATAAACGTGCAGAGGGTACGTATGGTCGCACAAGCTCAGAAAACGGGTGCTAAAAATGATAGACAGGAAATATTGGGCATTAATGTTAACAAGGCCTAGTCCTGGCATTTTGGGAGACTATATGACCATCATGTAGGTGTTTGTATAGATGTAGCTAGCTATTCTATCAGCAACTGAAGTGACATGGGGAAGAGGCTCTACAGGACTCGCCATTTAACAGCGAAATCAAAAAGGAGTGAAAGTCACGCTGCTCAATAATGAGAAATTAATACTGTAATGTCACGTTGTCAGATTTAAACTTATAGCAGCTGTGTCACAGCTCCAGATTAAAAAACTAAAGCTGTGCGCTGTCCTGTGTTGACATTGTTCTTGTAATACTGTAGCAGCTGCCACTGGCTCCGGTTTTGAGAAGGCGCGTTATGCAGACCTGTGCAGTGGCTCTGCCCCCAAAAGGACGTTGTTGTTGTTTATGTTGTTCTGTTAGTTGGATTAACCGTTATTTACACACACAAACAACCGAAATCGCGAGTGTAATCTGTATGTCTGCGAGACGCGCGTGGACGTGAAGGGGGGTCAGGGGGGTCAAATTTTTCCATTGTTATTTGTTATTTGACTTTATGATTGGTTTGCGAAGCTATTCTTTGATTTTTACACTGGTGAAATTCTTTCTTGTTAGCTGTGTATCCTTCAGCATATCACCAAGCCAGCTAGAAAAGGAAAGTGACGTTGTATCAGCAATGACGTAGTTTCAAGTTTCCAGTTCGTCATTTGCACAACATGTCGGGACATTTATGCATTGAAATGCTTGTGGTGAGGCACAAATAATCACTCCACAGAAAATATAAATAAGTAAAAATAAAAATACACAAAATATAGAGACAATATACATTTTAAAGTGACTTAAGTGACTCAGTATTATTGCTATTTAAAGTGATTTAATGTGGAAGTGTTTTTGTCTAAAGCAGTGATATGATATAATAATGCTGACAAAGTGACTGAGTGACATAACAGTAGTTTGTAACTCAAAGCTGAGCAAATTGGAAGTCATGGTTTTAAAGTTTTAAGCATCTTAAAGTAATTTACTGTTATAGTTTAGGAACGAGGTTGTCCGGCATTATTTCCAGGTTTAAAAAGGGTCAGGGCGCAAGTCTTGCTAAAGTTAACACTGATGTTTGTTCAGTCCTTCACCTTTTCGAGGGCTCAGCTAACACCCTTCACTTCGGCTGATACAGTAATGGAACATATGTATATGTTACAGTTAAAGAAAGTTTAAAGTGATTCATCCACTCTATCATCATAACAAACAGCATGTAATTCCCTGCGCCTTTACTCACTACCTCACTAATTCAACACAGTGGCGCGCGCTCACGCTCCGAAGCGCGTCGCCATGGAAGCAGCAGAAATTAGTGATGGGACGTACGATTCAGTTTGCCGAACCGATTCTTTCCTCTCAATTATAATGAATCGAACGTCTGATTCAGTGGTTCTTTTCTGTCCTCTGCCATGATCAACCAAGTCAGCATTTTCATCTCCTTCATACAGGCCTGGAAATACGTTTGATAAACGCAACTGGATTTGATTCGTCTCTCTAATGGCAGGGCTGGGCCACATAATAAACACAAAATTAGAGAAACGGGAAGAGATTCAAAGAGGTTGTTATTATGTTGCAGTGGGCCGTTTTTGAACAATCAGGGCCTTAGGCTACATCATTTATTTTTTGTCAAAACAAGAAAAAATACTTGAAGTCAATTAAATTAGACAAATAATAAATAAATAACAAATAAAATAAATACAAATGGGACTAAAATAAATTATGCTGTGTGTTTGAGGCTTGTGCATTATTTCTGCTTCACTGAAGTGTTCATAAGATATTTCTCTGACAATATTGTGATTGATACTAATAATATTAATATTAATATTAATAATAAAAAACAAACAAAAAAAACATAAACTTGTGGTTCGGGGGCCCTAAGCAACGGTTTATACCGCCAGTAGCTAGAGCAAGTTAAATTGTTAATCACTGTTTACTTATTATTAATTTAAAATCTATTTACTAAAAGTTTTCAGCTAAATATCGCAGAGATGCTACAAACGACGTCGATTCAGTTGGACTTGTGAACCGTTTCGAATGACTTAGTGAAAAGAACCGATTCAAAAGAACGATTCGGTCAGTAATAGGACATCGCTTGCAGTGCCAGGGCGCGCGCGCGTGCGCGTCACCAACAGCTGCACGCGTGCGAACTGCAGAGCCCTGCTCTCTGTCAGACACCTGTAGTGAGTGCGTTACCTCACACGGTATGTATTTTTATTCGTCTACTCCTGATTTCTCCACTCCTCTTCATGTTATCTAATACCATATCGCTGTTTAATGTATACCCGACAATTTAAGACGTTATTGTGGTGAGCTGAAAGCCAGTCGCCGTCGCATCGTGTGTGTTTTGGCTGAGGTCTCTGCTCCGAGTTCGACTTAAAAGCCAACATCCTGAGGTAACGTAGAGGAGAGGGATCCCCTTTCCAGGTTCAGTTTTTAATATCTTTTTAAATTTTAATAAATCTGCAGCAGACAAAGAACACAAGGTTCTTCTTCATGCGTGTTGTATTCAGGGTATCCAGGTTCCCTTTGGAGTTTTTCACGCCTTGTTAAACATTACAAACCGCCACGGCAACTCAGCCGTTGGCGCCTGTTTGCTTATAAGTTATAATCTAGCAGTCTGTTTAGCCCAGTTACTAAAGCTTTTCAGTGAAACCAGAAGCGCGAATGCTCCTTCGTCTTACTCTCTGCTGGCTAAATCTGTTAAATTTACATCGGGTACTGGTCTAGGTACAGTTCTGGCTGCTGTATCTTAATGGTTAGGGTTAGGCCTACATGGACTCTGTGGCTTAGCCTGAATGATCTGAATAGGGGTGCCACATATTAAAGTACTAAAATAATAATGAACCAACAACTACACTGATTTTTATTTGGTGTTTCACATACTGCACTACACTAAGTCTAATTAAACAGGGCTAATTGTGCTCACATTGTAATGAAACATGTAGTTAGTCAGTGTTCCTTAAGTACTGACAATATCCAATATCCATGATATGCTCAGAGAAGCATATTGTGACATAATTTATCACTAGTATAAAGACAAAATATTGCCCACCGCCAGATCTGAATAAATATGACCTACTCTTAGTTAAATTGAAGCCATTCAAGGATCTTTTGAAAAGCACTTAAGGATACAGATTAAAGTCCGTAATGCACTGTGTGTCCTTTTTAATTCAGAGAGAACCACATGCTTTTATTCACCACAGACACCTCTCATTTGATGTGCTTATTACAACATGAACCCGTGTACTGTATTCCTTTAAATTCAGTAATACTGTTAACTGCTCTATTCTTTCATGAAAAAGTGCACAGTGTCAGTCTACGTGTTTTAATATCCATATTCGTTTAGACTGCTTTGTATACTGTATTTATTTACTATATTTGTATGTTTGTGACTTATCTCATACATTTACAGTTGATTCAGGTATCATGGGACATAAAATCGTATGGACCATTCTGTTTGTCGCGATGTAAACATGCAGTTGTGAAAGCTAACAACTAACTTCTAAACAATAGTTAAAGTGTCCACATTGCCTGAATCTGCTCTAGTTTGTCTTGTTTTTCTCCTCTAGGACTGAGAGGACAGAGACACATGTCAGGCAGAAAACATTAATGTTGCCATCATGGGCTGCGGCACCTCGGTAGCCATCGAGAACCAAGGAAGACCTTCAGAAGTAGGTGAGTGGGTGCTGTGCTGCCATTACTGCCATTAGCATTCATCTGACAACTGTGGAATTAATTAGAGTTGGAATGTTCAAAGGCATTTTGACCTCTTTTTTTCTGGAGTGATGATCCCAGATGTTTTACTGCATGTTTCTTAAGTTTGTTTGACATTTTTTTAATGTCCTGTTCTATATCTTCAATCAAGATGTCTCAAGATGTCTTGTTATTTGCTTATTTCTGTCAGACGCTCTCCACTACTATATACTATATAGTCCCTATTTCAATAACATTTTTACCATGCCCTCGCCAACATTGTGTCACATCTTTGTTATTTGGAAGTCCACTCACAGTGCAAAGCGAAGAAGACAGAGTGAGCAGTAGATTTTTCAATTAAAACGCAGTGAGCCTTGGCCAGGTTAGCCTCAGTGAGCTAAATAGCTAGTCATGCAAACTTGCTATGCATAACTTTTACTTTTTTTTTTAAGTTTGGACATAACGTACATACATTTTGTGAATATTTGCTTTTAGCTTTGGTTTGAAACTGTGATGTATTACCATTATTTTTTTTGCTGTTGCTAACTAACAAGCCAGAAGGGTTAAAGTAAAGAGTAAAGTAATGTAGAGAGTAAAGTAATTAAGCTGTATCAGCAGTCATGTATAACAGATGGAGAATTTCGCTACCTAAAAGCCATTCCGATCATAGAAAATTGAACATTATGATTGTGAAATAGAGTGCATTTTATTGCTATAGATTATCGCATTGATTTCTAAGCAAGTTCACCAGCTGAAGTTGACATACATGTTCACTGGCTCGCTCAATCCTCCTAGGGCTCGTCTAATAAACATCACTTGAGTTAAAGTAACAGAACAGCCCTTAAGATGGCGTTGGGGATTTCCTGGAGGGGACATTGCAAGACAAAGTGGAGAAGGGCATGTTGAAACTAATATTGAAATGGGTGATGAGTTTCTGGCAGAAATTGCTCAGTTGACCTTACTTCCTCCTCCTTACACAGATGTATCGGCCAGGCAGCCCAGTCCTGCACTGAGTAAGCCCTGTCCTGTAGTCTTTGCTTGCAATTTCTGGCCTTCATCAGCATCTGTGCTCAAGCATTGTCCTATCCCATAAGCGCTGAAGAACGCTTTAGCAGCTTTTCCAGTGTTTGATTAAAATGCTCTTAATTAGTGGTCCACTCCTTTCGGATTTCAATATATGTTTTAAACTTAATTCCCGATAGTTGCATCTGGTATCAACAATCAGTTATAGTTTAGTGCATGTTCCAGAATACAGGCCTCAGAGTGCATATTTGAGTAAATTCAGTTTGATTAACAGAGAAGACAGACCACTGATTGGAGTGGGCCTTTACTCTGGGTTTTGTGGGGGACCTTTGGTTTACTGCATGCTATGACTTCAAAGTTCCAATCAGCTACTTTTTATTGTTCAGTCTTTTGAATAATTGCAGGATCTCTGCTAATACTTTTCCAAGCACTTTATTACTTAATTGAGGTAGGCTATAATTTATCTTGGGCTGGCTGGTGTTGCCATTTCATCAGTTCATGACTGGAGCTTTGAGCATGCAGGTGCTTAGATGGATATTAGCTCTACAATATTATCGCAGTATTAGTCGACTCCAACCCTTTCTCCTTGTTCTTTCTTCATCTCTGCATTCTCAGCTAGTCCACTTCTTTAATTAGCAGCCATGATGCTGATCTCCTGAGACATCATCTATTTTTAGTAGAGCTTCTGCACTCCAGTGTGTTAGGAAGCTTTAAGTGTCCTTATAATAATTGACACAGGTGTACTTGAAGAACGCATTTGCTTAGCCTTTTGAAAATAAGAGCCTGGTCTTTTCCTAGTCGTTGTAGTTGTAGATCTCTGACATAATGCTCCGCTAATTCTGTGACAGGAAATGCACTGTGGGTGATTGAACAGATGCCTGTGTTTTGCTTTGTGGCTTTTAATGTGGTTGTTTTATTATTAATTTTTAATTTTATGAAAAAAAATGTTGCATATATATTTAATGTTAATTTAGCATGTATTTCTGAAGAATGTAATTTATTAGCTGTTGGACTAAGGGGACACTCACATTGCACTTTTACTGATGGTGAAAAGCACTTTTTTTTTTACAACTTTGGGTTTACACTGGGTTTTTGAAACAGCAGCATCATAACTGCCATTCAGCTGTGCTACATAGCTATTTCAATATTTGCAAGCAGAAAGCCCGTATAATAAAGTGATCTACTATTAACTAACAAGTGGGGTGCTGCAAGTTAAAAACAAGCCGAACTAACAGAACATATAAAAATTTGTTCATGTCAAGCTTAATCTGTGAAATCAGTTCCACCCATATAATACGGGCTCTGCGGAGGTCCTGTCCTTTGAGAAGCAGGGTAAAAGGTGTCTAACAAAGTATGCAGAGGAACAGATGTACAAATTGTACAAATCCAAAGTGCTTCTACATTGTAAATGGTACTCAGCAACTGCAACTGTCACTGAAATTGCACCTTCCTTTTGATCTGATTGGTCAGCACAGAAGAACATGCTCATGAAATAGGCTACTTGACCCTTTGGAGTTGAACTTTTTTCAACTCAGGAGGGCTGGAGTGCTCTGCACAAAAGACAGGGTGCATAAAAAGGTGAGGTGCCCAGTGTGCAAAAACAGAAAAGTGCACGATGTGAACCCCATCCATTAAAGGCATTAAAGGCATTAAAGTCTCGTTCCTTTCCTATTGATGATTAATTTCCTATAAAGCTGTTCTGTGATGCTAGATAGCATTCACTGTTCAAATGGTGCTAGCCTTTAAATTTAAATGAATAATGCAATGGCTGTTTTTGCAACTCTCATTGTTTGTGTTGTACATGCATAGCAATTAAAGCAGCCGTCCTGATCCAGCGATGGTACAGACGTTACGTTGCCCGATTGGAGATCAGGAGACGATACACCTGGAACATCTTTCAGTCAATAGAGTATGCAGGAGAGCAAGACCAGCTGCAGGTAACATCACATAATTGATAAATAATGCTCTAGGCAACCAAGGCATTACAGATTGACTCTCACACACACACTATCTAAGCCACTTATCCTCCTGGGTCACTGGAGTCTATCCCAGCTCTCATTGGGTGGAAGGCAGGAAACACCCTGAACAGGTTGCTAGTCCATCACAGGGCAGACACACAAACATGCACAATCATACTGCGGGGCAGTTTAGCAAACTCCACATAACCAGGCAATATAACCCAGGCCCTTCTTGCTGTGAGGTGACAGTGTTACACACTGCACTACTGTGGGATGCAATGATTTGGGAATCGTGGGCCAATGCAATGTCCAGTATTTTTCATTTACATATCTGCTGATGCTGATACCAATGTAGAAATTGGGACTAGATCCACTTGATGTAAGAGTTTAGCAGTTTAGTGTAACTGCAAGATGTGTGACTGTAGTCAACAGTAACTTAACTGGGTTTCACAATTCTATAATCCTGTATTATTTCTAGCTCTCCAGCTTCTTCAGCTTCATGTTGGATAACTTCACACAGCTCAATGGAAACGGACCAGGTATTGTGATTTGTATACTAATGTACACCGACCAGTGACAACTTTTCCTTTTTATACTCATTGTCTGTTTCATCAGGTCCATTTATAGAAGCACTTTGTATTTCTACAATTACAAATTGTGGTCTATTTGTTTTTCTGCATACTTTGTTAGCCCCCTTTCACCCTGTTCTTCAATGTTCAGGACCCCCACAGGACCACCACAGAGCAGCTGTTATTTGGGTGGTGGATCATTCTCAGCACTGCAGTGAGACTTTGGTGGTAGTGACATGTTGGTGTGTGTTGAGCTGGTACAAGTGAATCAGACACAGCAGTGCTGCTGGAGTTTTTAAACACCTCAGTGTCACTGCTGGACTGAGAATAGTCCACCAGCCAAAAATATCCAGCCAACAGCGTCCTGTGGGCAGCGTCCTGTGACCACTGATGAAGGACTAGCGGATGACCAACACAAACTGTGCAGCAACAGATGAGCTATTGTCTCTGACTTTACACCTACAAGGTGGACCAACAAGGTAGGAATGTCTAATAGAGTGGACAATGAGTGGTGTTTAAAAGCTCCAGCAGCACTGCTGTATCTGACCACTCATACCAGAGCAACACACACTAATATGCCACCATCACGTCAGTGTCACTGCAGTGCTGAGAATGATCCACCACCCAAATAATACCTGCTCTGTGGTGGTCCTGACCACTGAAGAACAGGGCTACAGTCTGTAACTGTATAACTACAAAGTGCACCTGTATGGTAAATGGACAGAAAAAACAGACTTGCAAGTAGGTACAATAACATACATGTAGATACAAGGTAGGTGTACTTAATTAAAGGCAGATTGGTGTATATGCTATTCTGTCAGGTTACGGTATGGAATATATCAGTATATGTATGTAATAATTTCCATACATGTTGAAACCCATTTTGTTTACATTCATATTAAGTGTTTGATGTTCACTCATCTGCCATATTAAAATTCTAACTCCTCCTGTCTTGTCTTCCCCCTACATGCACACAAAGAAACTCAATGCCATTAGCTCCATTCCATCTCATATCAAACAACCAGGCTTCCTTTTGACCACCATGCACCTATCCTTTTAAATGATTAAAAAAAATACTATGTAGAAACACAGTTGCTTAGCAACCCAAGGAGATCCCATTTTGAGCTGTGGTATTGTGGAGGGTGCCAGAAATGCAGCAGGCAGCCTCCACATGCAGGCAGAGGATTACAGCAGACAATTAGCCCCAGCTTATTTCAAACAGAGATGGAGAACGCTTAGTAGAACCAGTAGTAAATTAGGTGATGTTCATAAATCATACATTTTCATGGAATTGACCAAAACATGGGGAACCAAGACTAGTAATTACAAAGCATTTTAAGAAGTGCTGATCTTGGAGCACATTTCACTGACAGCTAGTTAAGATGGTTGCTTCCTGTCAATCTACAGCACCATTATAGTGGAGCTCAGGTGTTGTGGTGCATGTTTATGCTTCATAACTTTGCGTTCAGGTCTGCAGTTTGTCAGTGTTTGTGTGTTGCCCCAAAGTCAGTTCTTTGGCCATTGACTGTATCACTATTTCTAAACTCATGGAGCAGTCTTGCTTGTAAGGTGATTTATAAGTGTCCACATAAGCTTGTACTTACGGCAAACCCATTACATTTGTTTGTCAGTGGCAAACACATCCTTACGAGAGACTGTCATTGGCTGTCGGAAACAGCCATTAATGGTGTTTGGGTGTGCGTCTCTTTTTAAATAGATTTGCAGCAAACGCTTCAAATTTACATTTTGAAGAATAGCACAATAGAGGTGCTTTCTACAAATCCCAGTGCATGAATGGACCCTATTCAGACTGAAGAGTGGAGCGTTGGCTTTGTGCAATGGCTGCATGAGAGGCAGAGCTATGCTTCCTAGCAGCAGGGTCCAGACTAGGTGCTCATAATGAAATGGATATGAGAAAACAAAATCTGCAGCCTGCATCTTATGTAACTCGCACACAGAACACTGGATACCATTAAGTAGACAATTTTCTCCCCAAATGTTTATTCAATAAAGTATACAGCAATTATTTGGCTTAAATAAAATTTTCAGGTGATTTTTAAGTTAATCTTTAAAAAGTTGGAAAGAATTCTGAATATGATCAAATACATTTTTTTTAAGAGATTTCATGATACTTTCACAATCACAATCAAATGGAACCCCTTATAAAGTTAGAGACCTTTATACAGTGTTCAGAAGAGTACATGAATATGAGTTTGCTTTGTCTCCCTAGACCTGATCTCTCACCTGCTGGACTCGGCGGTGGACCCTGTGACGGAGGAAGTTAGACAGTGTAAGTACGAGCAGATCGTGGTGCCAGACTCGTACAGTGGCCCTCGCCTCTCCTTCCCCCTGAGCGTCACTGATACCAACGCCCTGCTCAGTGCCTTCAAGGAACAGCAGGTACAACATGCTGCAACTTTAACCAAGAGATTTCCATTGAGCACATTGAGCTGTGACCAGGGCAGTGCTCTTTGGTTGAGAAACTGAAGCCTATAAAAGATCCAGCCCGAGTCTGAATTGCTGGCTGTGCTGAGAAACAGCAAGCCCTTAAAAACATTTGAAGTACGATTTGTGCTGCAGTAACATTCAAATACACTGTATTTAAATATTGATGCAATATTAATACATTTAATACATTTTCATTGTTTTGAGTATTAATATGCCTGAATGTTCATTTCAGTTGAAAGGGATTGTTCGGTTCTGATGGAAAATCCATCTCACACAATGATTTTAAACTGACACGTGTAGTCACACTATGACAATTAATCAAGTAATCATTTCAAGCCATTTAAATGAATTCCAAACAATAAAAATGGACTTGATGGGGAATTCTACAGATTTTTCCAAATTTCTGCATAATTATTTAAGATGTAAGTCGTTCAAAGCGGTTTCCGTTCAAGCAAGTCTTACCAAGTCAGAATTGTTCACAGTGGTGGTGATAGGAACCAGACTTTTTTTTTTCATTTAGTGCCTCTAAAAGCTCCCTCACAGAAAGGTATTACATAAAATGGTTGCGAATATGCTGCTTAATGCTTGACACATTGTTTTATGTTTTAAAACACACTTATGGCTGAGAGGAACATGCAGGGTTTTGTAAGAAAAAACAGTTCCCAAAGAAAACTTTTTTTTTTTTAAACTTCCCACTATTTTACCATCATAAGCATTACATATGAACACTCAGAAGGCACATATAGGTTTACTGGTCATTTGGGGTAGTAAATAACATGGATATAATCATATTGTTTTCTAGATTTCTTGATTTCTGTCACTACGGCAAGTTAAGTTTCTCTCAACTTACACCAATTCACATTCACATCAAATCACTTTGAATGACTTTGTTTGCATCTCAACCACTGATTTATACAGAATATTTTAAAATAACAGTGGAATTCCCCTTTAAATGAACAATAACAAAGCATGCGTAGCCTTTCAAGAATGCCACTCCAAAATACATTTTTGAAAAAAACGATAAACTAAGAAGTCTTTAAATAAAAACAAAAAGTGCATAGTGCATAGGTGCATCAAGGTCTATTTCTTAAGAGAAACCAGTAGAATAATTCAAAATTTGCATTATCATCATGCAAACTGTCAGCAAATTGTTGCCGATTCATCAAGAATGCAAGTTAGTAAGTCAGTAATGTTAGTCAGTTTTTTGAAACTTACTATTAATGGCAGCCCTAATTCAGATGCTTTTATACTTCAGTCACAAAAGACGGCTATTATGAAATGTTAAAAAAATGATATTATTTCTCCTCTCCAGACTCTCCATGGTAAATATGTATTGCAGTTGCTTCATGAGACACAGAAATTCTTAAAACAGATGCCAAATGTCATTTACCTGTCTTCATCCTATGCTAAGGAGATCACAATCTGTGGTAAGGATACAGCACTTTTTTTCTATCTGGATGCACCCTATAATTCAGAATAACTGTTTTGGGTGTTTATTTTGTCTACATTGAATGATTTTAAGCACAGTTTCTGCCGTGTTATTAGGATGTGTTTCATATTCTGAATGCATGCACGAGCAAAGTGCCTCCTGAATAAAGAAGACTGTATTTATGCGGTGCTTTATGAAGCACTTCATTGCACCTCAATGGGCTCCTCATCTGAGAAGCTGCAATCTATCAGCCCCAATAGTGCTTCAGATCAAATTAAAACAGAAGACACCATTAATGGCAGGATTCCTACATGAAAATGTTGCATCTGATTACTGTAAACAGGAATTGTTTGTTTTTGTCAGACACACATTAAAGCCCAGAATGAAATGATTTTTAATCACATTGAAATCAGATGCTAATAAGTGTCTTCGTTAGGAGCAGTTAAGCTTTGGCTGCTTCTGGAGATCTACCACTGAACAATTGTTCAATGCCTGAAGGCCTTCATTTGCTGGATCAAATGTGTTAGATTAAAGTTTGAATAAATATCCCCAAAATAGTAGATCTTCAAGAGCAGACTTAGACAGCTTTCCTAAAGAATGAGCAGCTCTAATTGTTCTTCCATGCAGGTGACCTACACGGAAGACTGGATGATTTGCTGCTCATATTTTATAAGGTAATAATTAAACTTTTGATCTGAAATGCTATAGTTGTCTGATAGTGGATGTCCTGATAAATTCTTCACCCAAAATGCTATCTGCTATCAAGGAATGAAAGGTTGGCATGGCCCTCATATGTAGAATACCTGCGTGGTATACTCAGATAGCAAATTTAATTGCAAATTCCATCAATAATTGCTCTAACCTGCCATAAGAAATGAATGTAAGATATGATCAGTTTTTGGTTTTTGAATAGGTGTTCATTTTATTTTATTCCCTAGAACGGTCTGCCATCTGCTGAGAACCCCTACATATTCAATGGAGATTTTGTGGACAGAGGAAAGAAGTCCATTGAGATCATCATTATACTGTTTGCCTTCTTGCTCCTGTACCCAGACCACATGCATCTGAACAGAGGAAACCATGAGGATCACATTATGAACCTGAGGTAGGATGCTGCTCCCCCTCTGACCTCATGCACTATTGGCCAGTTGACCAACTCACACAGAGAGAATAGCTCTGCATGCTGTTTTATTTGAATATTACTGTAATGGGAATAATTCTTAACTGCTAAAATGCACAATAAGCTACAAGTGTGCCTATTCGTTGTCTTTTAGGTATGGCTTTACAAAAGAGGTTATGCAGAAGTATAAGGTAACTTTTGTCATGTATATCTCCTTTGTAAGTTTAAAATAAAATTGCTGTATTGCAGACCATTTATGGGTATTGTTTACATTAGAACTACACAGTTGTATTACATTTTCTTGTGCCTTACTGCCACCTGGTGAATACTGTTGGAACTGCATCTGATAGTAATGTTGTGTAATATTGCAGACACATGGGAGAGAGATCCTCCAGTTACTGCAGGATGTATTCAGCCTACTCCCTATCGCCACCATCATAGACAACAAAGTCCTCATTGTTCACGGCGGCATTTCCGACAAGACCGACCTAGACTTTCTTAGCTCTGTAGAAAGACACAAGGTGAGTGTGTTAAAGTGGTTTGCAACCCCAGTCCTGTTTTGCACATTTTTGCCTACTCGGACACACTTGAACTGACTAGACTCATAATCTTATTATTAAGCCCTTTATTAGATTATTCAGGTGTTCAGAGAAAAAAAGGGCATAATGTTGAGTGCAAGGAGATTCCTGGACTGGGATCTTATATACGCAGATCTAGACAGTTAATGTCATGATCTCAGGTCTGTACAACTAATTATATTGTCAGCAGATACAAGCTTAGCCAACCTTGAACTTTTGTTTTTATTGTATGTGATATGATATGTTTTTATGTTGAATATCAACAGTATGTTCTTTTCATTTTTACTGTTTAAAGGTCCTAGTAGGTAGACACATTGACTCTTACAGGGGATTCTCTGAGTGAAGACCATATTGTTAGGAGGTCTGACGTGTGTTCACAATTGCAATTGTTCAGATGAATTTGCTTTAATGCCATTTACCCTGTAGGTGAAGTCGGCGCTGCGGCTACCCAAGCGCAGCTTGGATCACACTGATGTGCGCTGCAGTAGCCGCAGCAGCAGCAGACAGAGCGGCAGGGCCAGGTTGGACAGCCCTTGCTCCACTGGTCGCATGAAACGCAAGAAGAAGAGCCGGCTCACCAAGCAGAGCAGCAGTTCTTCTTCCTCCTCATCCTCGTCTGCATCTTCTGTGTGCTCACCACGGGCATCATGCAGGGCCACACCGCGGCGCCCTCCTCCATCACCCAGACTTCCCAGTCCTGTTGATATGTTGCAGGTGCCATTCCTTGACTCCATCGTCTCTCTCGCTCTCCCTGAGCCTCCTAGAGAGGAGCTAGAGTGGAGGCAGGTGAGAAAATAAATCAATCACGTTTTTAAAAAAAATTAAAATTTTTATTTTTTTTTACCTTTTTTCAGGTATATTTTTGAAGTCTTTTTAATCATTTCCTAGTTTAATTTTCTCCAGTTAATTATTATGAAATCTTTGAAAGGCTATGCAACATTTGTTATCATTAACCTTAAAATCCCAGGGTTATTACATATGAAGACTTATTATTCAGTAACTACAGGGACTTCAGTGCAAACTGGTTGAGCTATGCCCTGCTGGCAGGCCCTGGCCATGTAAGGGGTTAAGTCTGTTTTTATTCTTTGGCTTTTTTTTTTTAATCTGATTGCTGGACTCTCGGCTTAATTATAGCCTTTAGTCTTGATTTAACCTTTGGCATAGCAACCCACTTGCTGGGCCTGTGAATCGGCCAGCCCCATCTGTGGTGAGTGTGTTTAATTTGTGATGCAGTACGTAGATTTTACCAAAACAAAATATTTTAAATAAATAATTGTACAAATATCGAGGCTTATAGGTGAGTTAGGTTAGATAGAGTTAATATTGGTATCGGTACTTGGTTTTTGGCCGATACATAAGGATCAGAGAAAAAGTGGTATCGGTGCATCTCTAGTAAACCATATTGACAGCCCTAGTTGTATTTGATTTTGCTGTGTGCAGATTGTGGATGTGTTGTGGAGTGACCCGAAAAACCAGAATGGCTGCAGTCCGAACTCATTCCGTGGTGGAGGTTGCTACTTCGGGCCGGATGTGACGCAGAGGCTGCTGAAGAAGCATGGCATGTGTCTGCTCATCCGGTCCCACGAGTGCAAGCAGGAGGGTTACGAACTCTGCCACAATGGACAGGTCTGATACTCATCATACACAGAAAATAATTCATACAGCAGTCAAAAATTTGTGAACCTGTTTTCTGCATGAATGGCTCCTAAAATGTACTCTTCTAAGTCATAATAACAAAAGCAGTCTTAACCCTACTAACAACATTTATGATTAGCATTTCTCTGTTGTGCAAATGGGTTAAACAGTTGAGGTCATAGATGTGTAGAGTTATAATTGAAAAGAGAATATTAATAATCAGTTCTAGTGTGAATATAACTTGCCCTGCTCTTCACTACAGAATTCTGTTGCAATATGGCCTGCTCAAATGACCTTGTAAGAAAAGTTGTTGAAGCGCATGAGACTGGAAAGAGTTACAAATTTTTTTTTAAAAACTTGTGCTTCCATTAGTCCACAATCAGGCAGATAGTTTGGAAGAAATTCAGCACTGTTGCTACTGCCTAGGAGTGGGCGTCCTACAAAGATCAGTGCAAAAGATTCATGCTGTAGAATCCTCAAACAAGAGACAAACAACCATAAGGTGACAGCTAAGGGTCTACGGGCATCTTTTGCACTTGATAACGCCTCTGTTCATGCAATTACTATAAAAACCACACTGAACAAGAGTGATGTTTGTGGGAGGCTACCACAGAGGATAGCACTGCTCTCCAAAAAATGTTTGTTAAAGGTCATCTGGATGTTCCGTGGCAAAATCTGGATCAATATTCTGTGGACAAAAAGAACTCTCTGGTATGTGTACACTGAACTATGTTTGGAGTAAACAAAGTACTGCATACCAACTGTTTATTTTGTTTTTCCTTTTTCATTTCAGTTTAGTTTTAGTTAGTTTTAAGGATGTATTAATAGTTTTAGTCTAGTTTTTATTTAGTTTCAGTTTTAGTCTTTAGTGTTAAGAGGAATGCCATGATGGGTATGAGTGTAGAGTGTAAAATTATATAGAAAATTAATTTAACATTAATTTTAACATTAGACTTAGCTTGGCTCGGCTCTGGCCAGACACAGAAGGGATGCCCTTCTAAACTTTTATTCATGCACTAAAAAAACTAAAAATATTTTTTTCTCAATAATTCCATTTGGTTTTAGTTAATTTTGCAGTGAACATTGTAGTTTTGATGTAGTTTTTAAGTTTTTGAAAACTGTCGTTTTTGTTTATTACAGTTAACAATTTTTTTTTTGTTTTAGTAATAGTTTTAGTTAATAATAATAACCCTATCCAAAACACAGGAGTGAATCCAAATTACACTGACTCAATCAGAAGAAGTGACAAATTTTAGAATTACAGTGTTTACCTCAGGCCTGCTAAAATGCTGTGGCCTGATTAGAAGACCAGTAAGACTTCCTAGACGTATTAATAAACTATTGATATTTTTTCCTATCAGGATGGGAATGGACTGAAATACCCACTCCAATAAATATAAAGAACTTTAGTATGTTGTGTGCAGTTTGTTAGATGAGAAAAAAGACAACTGTATTTCACTTTATGTTTAAAATTACATGTTCACTAAATGTTTGTAGATCCAGCGCACCCAGCACACGTGGATTGGAGTTCCACTGCTCCACATCCCAAAGCTGGGAGGTTTTATACCCTTCTGGCTAATACTTGACATTGGGCATGGTGACTTTAGGCCTGTATCTACACTTATTGTCCATTTTATCAGCTCCACTTACCATACAGGTCCACTTTGTAGTTCTACAATTACAGAATGTAGTCCCTCTGTTACTCTGCAAACTTTGTTAGCTCCCTTTTACCCTGTTCTTCAATGATCAAAACCCCCACGGGACCACCACAGAGCAGGTATTATTTGGGTGGTGGATCATTCTCAGCACTTCAGTAACCCTGACGTGATGTGTTAGTGTGAGTTGTGCTGGTACGAGTGGATCAGATACAGTAGTGCTGCTGGAGTTTTTAAACACCTTAGTGTCGCTGCTGAACTGGGAATAGTCCACCAACCAAAAATATCCAGTTTTTAAACAATGATACACTCGTATCAGTGCAGCACACACAACCATGCCACCACCACGTCAGTGCTGCAGTGCAGAGAATGATCCACCACCCAAATAATACCTGCTCTGTGGTGGGCCTGTCCTGACCGTTGAAGAACAGTGTGAAAATGGCCTAACAAAGTATGCAGAGAAACAGATGGACTACAGTCTGTAATTACAGAACTACAAAGTGCTCTTGTGCGGTAAGTGGTGCTGATATAATGGACAGTGAGTGTAGATAAAAGGAGGTGTTCCTAATAAAGAGCTTGATGAGTATATACTGTAGTTGTAGCAGTTCCTAAAACTGCTTTTTCAAGTGAAAAAGAGAAAAGGAAAAGTTAGTGTTTATGGAGAAGTCACAGCATTGCCCCCTTGTGCATGGTTGTGGAAATGTACAGCTTTTAACACCACATTAAATCCTCAGAATATCTTAAAAAACACGTTGCTTTTCCTTTTAAAGGTGATCACTATTTTCTCCGCCTCTAACTACTATGAGGAAGGCAGTAATCGTGGTGCATATGTTAAACTGGGACCAGAGCTGATCCCACGCTTCTTCCAGTATCAAGTCAGCCGCAGCACCAGGAAGCTCACATTGCAACAGAGGTATCTCTTTTAGAGATGTACATGTGTATGGCTGTGTTTTAGGCAAACTGTTATTGTCTGCAGAATGATAAATAATAATAAAATTACGATATGATTACCAAATGTTGTAGCTTCTAATATTACTTAATAGTTTATAATGATAACTATGTTCTGCTCAGATGGCAACACTATCAATGATACCATTTTATTTGAATAGCCCACTGTAGATTTGTAGATCTTGTCACATATAGTCAGTTTATTAAAACTAAACTAAAATTTAATTTACCTTAATTTTTCCTAAGCTTAACTCTGTCCATTAACCACCACTCAAAACCTAAACCTAACCCTCACCCTTGTCCTTTATCTAACCCTGGTACTAATCCAGACCTTGACCCTAACACTGTTGAGAATCTCTAGATTGTGATAGTCTGATTATAATTCAAACATGTATATATACTCTGTAGAGGGAGACCCTGTTAACATCTAGTGGTTCTCCACCTTTAGACAAACTCTTCCCAAGAGTAGGTCTCATATACTGAAGTTTCCTTGTTTCATTTGCATGTAACCCAGCATTTTAAAATCTGTTATTATCTTTCCATGTAGCGTTCAAAGTATGTATGGGTGTAGTTAATCAGTTGGTGATAGTATGATTGTAGAACCTAGAATTAAGTGCAGTCTTCTCTGTTGGGTACATTTTTAAAATTACCATAGATTCGAATGATTGTACAATGGACATTAAATTAAATAAATAAAGGCAAAGCCAAAGAAAGTCAAATGTAAAAAAAAAAATATGTGATGTGAAAGAAAGATAAACTACATAATGGTAGCACTTATTTAAAATTTCACAGCATTCAATAATATGAGTTAATCTGTCAAAGGCTAGTTGGAGTGTGTCTGTGCACGACTCTCCTCCAACAATGTCCCACTGAGGTACATGGCATGACCACCAATGAGTGCCACAGACTATCATTGATGGTTTAGAGTTGAATGTTTTTTCAGATCTATCCATGCATGTATGTATTTGTGCTAAAATAAATGTGCCTTGGTGTATATTTTAGGGTCAGTGTGGCAGAAAGCTCAGCTCTAAAGGCTCTGCAGGAGAAGCTGTTTGCCCATCGCTCTGAGCTCATGGCTGTCTTTCAGCAGTATGACATTAACAACACAGGTAATATTCCTCTAGGAAACTCCAACATGCCCTAGTAATTGGATCTAGTCATACATTTGCTATTCCATTCACTCTTTCTCTCTTTCTCTGTCCCTCTGTCTCTTACACAGGTAGGATCTCCACTAATGAATGGGCTCAGGTAGTAGAGTCTGTGCTGAGGTTGGATCTTCCATGGCGAACTCTGCGACCACGTCTTGTCCGGCTGGCGTCTGATGGAAATGTTGAATATGAGTCCTGCTTTGAAAACATCAGTGCTGGACAGCCCATGCCCCAGGTCACCCCTGTTTTCTTCTTTCATATTACCTGTTACTGTAAACATATATTTATTTCTATGTTTGCTTCTTTGTCTATACTTGCAGGTGACTCCAAATTTGGCAGAAACGCTGTACAGATATCGAACTGATCTTGAGATCATCTTCAACATCATTGACAAAGACCATTCAGGTGACTGTTGTTATTTTAATGATGTTTTTTGACTGATAAATTGAGGTTCAAGCTAGGAACTGTTTAAACATTTCCTTAGCTACTCTAGGATAGCCCTAGCCTTAAACTATATTGTATGGCTTTAACAACTAATTGACGTTACTGAAAACGTCATAATAAAAAAACATTGTTATAGATTAATTTGTGTGATGACATTTGCACTTCCCATTTACATCACTTGAATGAAAGAGGGAAAACATAGGTAGCAGAGACAGCGCAGGGTTGTGCAAGAGACTCTAAAATATGGAAACACTTCACCATCATCTAAATGACAGTTTCCTGTAAGAAGTGCAAAACTGAGCTCACCTTTGATGTCTGTGCGACTGTCTTCAGGATCAAGAAAAACACATTTGCAGAGCTGAGCATGGTGAGGAAACCACAGTGTTATTGACAGAAGTTAAAAACAGCTGTGTTGTCTGCTTTTCAGTGTGTGCTATTTTTATTTAGCAAAATAAACACTGTTGGATTAAGAGATGAGCTGCATGTTTGTTGAAACTACATGGCTAAACTATACTTACTTGTTGCTAGTGCACTAATGCACACAGACCTATGGGAAGCCCAATCCTGCCATTAAAAAAAATCTACCACTTATTTTTTCATTATTATGTGAATTGCTAAGTCTTTACTCTGTGTTACTAAGTGATTATTTTGAAATACTATCTTATTATTTTTAGATACTGTCTTATTATTTTGAGATACTGAGTCATTTTTAGATAGTATCTCATTATTTTGAGAAATATACTCATATTTTTTAGTTATTTATCCTTATATGTAGGGATGCATCGATACAGATACTGGAATCAGTTATTGATCTGATACCATGCTCATTTACTCATACCCATACAAAAGTACACCTATTCACGACATTCCGATACCTGTCGATGCAGTGTAACATAAGCTGAGTGTCCACTCGCGCGCCAATGAACGAACAACTCAAGCTGGCTGTGAAGGAGGAGGAGGCTCTGCTCACACTGAGAAGTGTTAACTTTTTGGTCATATTTATTAAACTGTTGTTTAAGAAAAACAATAAGCAGTATTTTATTCCTCATGCAGCAACATTGCTCATTTTTTAATAATAAAATTTGATGTAATTAGTTGAAATAAGCAAGCACCACTTGCAGCTGCACTGACCCACTTTTCATTATCTTGACCAATTTTTCAAGGGCACACCACGCTTTCATTGCAAATTAGCAAAATTTCTTTTTACTAATACCTTTAGCTATTAAAATACAGGGAAATTGCTTTTAATCTTTCTGTCATATTTGGATCACAATTACCCTGCCCAAATCGGTTTTCCACTTCTCAGTCAGAAGTAAAAATCACTGTAGACACTATATCTTGTTAATGAAAAGTTGTAGATGGTAGTTTATTCTGTGAAAATACACATTTAACATTGTGTCTGGTGTCAAAAATTAGTTTTCATTATAAGATTTTATGTCACAATTGTAACAAACTCTTATTTTTAACTGCAGTGGGGCTACACATATGAAGAGGCACACTGTATATGGGGTTCATGGTGGTATTTTCTGCCTGCAATAAACTCTGCCAGAACCACAGATAAAGAACTAAACAGGAAATGGTTGTTGGTTTATGGTCTGTAGCCCTGGCTTACAGAACCAAAACACCTTTCATTTCAATCATTTATTTCCTGGACCCAAATTAGCAGAACTTTGATGTGGCTTGAAGTCTCACTGTAGCTGAAACAGTAAGCTTGCCCCTGTAGAGCAAGGATGTAATATATCTTGTAACTTATGGTCAGCGGTAAACTTGGATGTATGTACTTGATGAGCCAAGCATGCACTGATAGGTGATGGACAAAGCTTGGCAAAAAAAACTTACACTCTTAAAACTTACCGGAAAGTGTTTTTTGCAGTGATGCCATAAAAAATCTCTTTTTATGGGTGGTTCTTTAAAAAATATGAAAGAAATGTGTGAGTGTAAAGAGTTTAACGGACCTCCACATAATGTAGATTCTTACCCCATTGAGGTTTTCAGAACCATTGGCTATCTGTGCTTGCACACAGAGGAATTAGACCTCCGCATTTAACCCATTTGTGCAGTGAAACACCCACATACATGCACACTAGTGAACACACACTAGGGGGCAGTGAGCACACCTGCCCGGAGTGGTGGACGGCCCTATCCACAGCGCCCAGGGAGCAGTTGGGGGTTAGGTGCCTTGCTCGAGGGCACTTCAGTCATGTCCTGTCGGCGGTTTTGTCCTATAACCAAACATCCAAGCCATTTAGGAACCTTTATTTTATAAAGCAGATGCTGATGCAATATTTTTTATCTGTTCTACATTTATAAAATGTAGAAATTGGGACTAGATCCACATAAATTAGAATGACAGAGAAATGTAACATTTATTTTAAATGAGTTACAAATGCATTGAAGTGAATATAATGTAGATATTATAGTGAAGTAGCCCAACGTGGCCTATACATTCTTCTCTTCAGCGAGCTATAAATACATCGTCAAATCTTGGTTTGAAATATCAGTTAAATCTAAATCTGTCTGATACTGATATTAACCAGTTATCTGTCAGCACTGATATGATTCCCATATCATTGTATACAAAAGCGAATAATTAGGCATGTAATAAAAATAATAATAATGTAATAGTCCACTTTGTTTTTCACTGTTGACATAATTACAAAGATAAAATATATCATGTGATTACACAGTTGCACATATTGTTTTTATGGCAGTAAATAAAAAAATCTGTGGCACTGTTTTTGACCTCTCACCATTCTGTTACCTTGTGTTTCCCTTCCTCCATCCCTCCTCACACAGGTCAGATCTCCATCGAGGAGTTCCGTCAGACCTGGAAGCTCTTCAGCTCTCACCTGGGTGTGGTTGTGGACGACCAGGCGATAGACGACATGGCGCGCAGCATTGACTTCAACAAGGACGGCAGCATTGACTTCAATGAGTTCTTGGAAGCGTTCAGAGTCGTGCACAAGCTGGACATGAAGGAACAGCAGCAAGGCTGACTTGAGTACACTTGTGTGTACTCACACATTCACCCAAGCCAAGTACAAATGCTAAAGTGTTTTCATATTTCTGATAGTAACTCAGTTTTCATTATGCAGTAATAGCATAACTAGTGATTGTTTAGTGCATTTTGTATCAGTCGCAAACTGTCTACCCAGGGTGCTGAGCTGCTTTACAGTGTTTTTCTTTTTGCTTGTGTGTTTTTTAGAATTGAATGTAGCAGCTATGGACACGAGGATTAAAAAAAAAACTGGAAAATGTTTCATTGACAAACAGCTGGATCAGAGATAGAAGCACAACAGACTTATCTTTGACTTTGCCTTAATACAGAGCAGGACTGACTTTTGAAACTACCACTTCTGAGATGATGTTTCATAACTGCACTTCTCTTAAGCTTCCAAACATGGAGTGGACTTTTTGGAGCAGAAAGAAAGGAAACTATGTAGCCAGCAGTGTTTTTTTTTATCAGTGAGATGTAAGTATGAAATCTATACTGCTATTTGCTCACAAATATTAAGTGAGTATTATTAATTGCGTTGACTGAAAAGTGTTCTTGGCACTGCTCTAATACATCTAATTGAACTGATGAAATGCTTGATTTAATTGACTTAATTAGCTGATCAGATGAATTTGGTGAATATGGGAAACATTAAATTTTGGAGTTGGACTCCAAGTCTTTGTTTCTTATAACCTGGTCTGTTATTCAGTTTCTGCTGCATCAAACTTATATTTGACTTTGAATTTGACTTATATTAAACATTGAATACATGTAGGCTACAAATAACTTGGAATGTTTTGAGGTATGTGGCAGATGAAAAAGGAATATAATGGAATTATATTTTTAAAGATATAAAACACATTTTCTTCACTGAACACTTGCGCATTCTACATAAACTAGCTGGAGGGTTATTATTAAGTGCTGTCAAGTTGTTTCCAACTCCTGGCAACCATATGGATAGCATTTCTCCAGAATATCCTGTGTTCTGTTTGAGTCTTTAGCCTTCTGAATGGCTGGTTCATGATTTTTCTGATTGTATCCATCAATCTTATAGCTTGTCATCCTCTTTTTCTTTTACCTTCAACTGTTCCAAGCATAATGGTCTTTTGCAGTAAATTGGTTCTTCTGAGAATATGTCCAAAATAATCAGTTCAAAGGCATCAGTATATTTCTTGTCTCACTTGTTTATTATCCAGCTTTCACATCCATAAAGAACTACAGAGAAGACCATAACCTGGACAATCTCTGATCTTTGTAGAGATAAATCATTACATTTGAAGATCTTTTCAAGCTCCTTCATCCTTGTTCTGCCGAATTCCAATTATAATATTCTAGGATATGTTTATCTGCTGTAAATCAAATGTGCCTTTTCTACGCTACTGTGCTGTAAACATTACACAGACATTTAAAGTGACCAGTAAACTGGATGCTCAGTCAACCCAGAAGAGGCCAAATCCGCGTTGGGGTGCTGGAGCCTATCCCAGCTATCACTGGGCGGCAGAGGTGGGTAGTAACGCGCTACCTTTACTCCGTTACAATGACTTAAGTAACTTTTTAAACAAATTGTACTTTTAAGAGTTGTTTTAAAAGAGATTACTTTATACTTTTACTTGAGTACATTTGCGAGGTCAAAAATGTACTTTTACTCTTTTATATTCATCTACGTTCCTTCCGTTACATTTGTAAATACATTTTAATTCAGTGCACATTTTGATTGTTTTGTTCATAAGCATCTTAAATCGCTCCCTTCACCAATCAAAATCATCTTACACAAGTCTGTTCACCAATCAAAATCATCTTACACAAGTCTGTTCACCAATCAAAAGCATCTTACGTCACTTCATTTGACCAATCAAACTCATATGTATAGCGCTCAGATGTATACTGAAAACTACAGGTACGTAGTCGCTAACAGCCGTGGGCTCTGTGGAACCGCTGATTTCAGCCCGTTGCTGGACTGCGGTGGCTCAAACAGACGACACTGTGGGAGGAGAGCATCCTTGGCCTCATATCGAGACCATGTTTTCTCTACAGGCTACAAAAACCAGTAGTTACGTCATGCGCTGCTTTCTCTGCCAGTCTAAAAACGTGGACCTTTCAGCTTTCAACAACTCAACATCCAACTTGAGAAAACATGTTGCGGTAAATGATGGTGATGATGTTAAAAGTTGTTTTATTTTAGCAGTGATTGTATTAGTAATGTTAATAGTGACCACTGCATACAAAATAATCTTTATTTTAGTTCACTTCTCGAGTGAGCTAAGTTTGCCAATGCTTTCTCTAGCTGGCATTTTTTTTAAACGGGCCTTTGTAATGAGACTGTTTTCTACGGAGCCCCGTAGGGGTCACTAACGAGAAAAAAATTGCGAGGAGGAAACTCTGTCCCCGCAGTTTAGTAATCAGTATTCTCAGTTTACAAACCGTGCCATGAAAACTGTACTCTCGGTTAGCCAAACTGTACTGACGGTTCTGTAAACTGTACTCTCGGTTAGCCAAACTGTACTGACGGTTCTGTAAACTGTACTCTCGGTTAGCCAAACTGTACTGACGGATCTGTAAACTGTACTCTCGGTTAGCCAAACTGTACTGACGGATTTGTAAACTGTACTCTCGGTTAGCCAAACTGTACTGACGGATCTGTAAACTGTACTCTCGGTTAGCCAAACTGTACCGACGGATTTGTAAACTGTGTAAGGCACACGCTGCCTCCCCCAGCTACGGTACAGGCGACACTTATGATGCATTTCTGAAACAGGTCAGGCAACTGGACAACACAACTGTGTCGACCTTTCATGACGAAAAGATAAATATAAGCAAGTAACGTTAACGTGACAAGGTGTTTTATGACATTATACGCAAGAATTCAATTTTACCAGCACTGATGCATTTCAGTCAACATGAATTTCAAGTTATGACTGCAAGAAACGTCGAGTTCATATATTATATTGCATTTTGCATTTGTTTCAGGAACTGTTTGCAAAATGGGAGTAAAATGATTGAAGATAACATTTTTTGTTCACCTGGCATATAAAAGCCAGAGCATAAGATCCAAGAGTTTGAACTTCCTGTAGGTTTTGTGGATCTGTAATTACTTTATTCATGTTATGTTCTTAAATATTTAATTTTTTTATTATCTGTTGTTTTAAAAGGGTATAGGAATTGGTCCTTATTTGAGTTTGCACATGGCTAATTTACATTTTGTTTATTTTATTACAATAGTTTGAAAGGAAAATATGTTTTGGACATTCTTGATTTGGTGTTTGTATGTGATAAGTAAGGCTATGATTTTGCAGTTTTATTATGATTATTAAATGAAACTGGCGAACTAACTCTGTACTTGTAGTCTTTTTGCTAAATACTTTCTTACTTTTACTTAAGTAACAATTTTAATGACTACTTTTACTTGTACTTGAGTAATTATAATTTTAAAGTAACGATACTTTTACTTGAGTTCAGTTTTTGGCTACTCTACCCAGCTCTGTTGGGCGGAAGGCAGGATACACCCTGGACAGGTCACCAGTCCATCGCAGGGCAGACAGACAGACAAACACACACAATCACACACACATTCACACCTAGGGGCAATTTAGCATGTCCAGTTGGCCTGACTGCATGTCTTTGGACTGTGGGAGGAAACCGGAGTACCTGGAGGAAACCCACGCAGACACGGCCGTGCTGCCCGAAGCCAAATACAGTCACATGCAAAAGTTTGGGCACCCCTAGTCAAATTATGTTTTGTTGATTTGCTAAGTAAAAAGTGCAGCTCCTTTGGATTTTAATGGACAGTTACTGTTTTTTACTGAATTTAACATACTGGGGAAAAATAAAACACAAATGTGGCCTGTGCAAAATTTATGGCACATTTTATATTTTATGTTTCATTTTTTCCAATATGTTAAATTTAGCAAATAAATAGATATTGTGAACTCAAAATTGTGAATTAAAATTGCCTTATTTAAGTGTGTTTCCTGTAGAGGATGTGTGTCCACTTAGAAAATCGAAAACATGTGACTTGACTAGGCATTCAGTATATTCCAGCTTTTGCATACAACTGTATATGGCTGTGGTGCCCAACCCAAAAACATCTGAACTTTTTAAAAAACACCACAGTAGGTGAAGAGGAGCACTTATATCAGTAATAAGGTTAAGCATGGACCATATCTCTAGTGCCTTGAATTTATTCTCTACTGACCAAATCAGTAAAAAGACATCTAAGACAGTAACTGAAAAGAATTACATTTTTGTAATGAGTAAAAATGAATTCTGTGGAAAACAAACTGAATAAGGTAATCATACAGTCTAAAGACACATGCAAGACAAGCAAGACATGTAACACATTGGAAAAAAATGAAACATAAAATATTTATTGTGCAAAGGTTATAGCACATTTTATATTTCATGTCCAATATGATAAACATATTGATGATTGATAAGTGTGACAAATAGAAATTGTGCACTAAAATTTGCAGGAAAATGCAACATTTAAGTTTTAAGTAGAGGATGTGTTACTTATTTACACTTTGAAAATCAAGAAAACACATAATTTAAGTGGGCGGTGTTCAAACTTTTGCATACAACTGCATATGTGAGTGCTTGACCAGGAGATGAGGCAGCTCCCAAGCGAAAAGCATTCCACATTCCATGAGGGAGAAAATAGTGAGAAAAGAAACAGACATTTAAAACAGTCACAAAGGGGCACAAGGTCGATCATGAAGCATCACTCATTTTCATCCCTTTGTAATACAGTCCTAATGACTCTCCTCTAAACCCTCACCCCTTTCTAAACTCTGCAGTGTCTAGACTACTACATAGCCATGTTTCCTGATAGTAGTAGTAGTATTGGGATTTAACATATTTTTTCTGCGGTATGTTCTGTTTTAACCATCAGGAAAATCATGGGCTGCAGATCCTGTTTTTCAGAGAGTCGCTCCAACATGTTTCCTTCCAGAACCTCCACTCTCTCTGTCATGATTGGTCAAAGCATTTATCAGCACATCCAAAACAGACATTTAGCGGAGGGCTGGATTACTTGCAAGAACAAGTGCTTTACTTTTAGCCTCCTGCATCAAGAGTTCAGTCACAACAGTTGCTAATAGCTGTTTTCACATTTATGCGCTGCATTAGTCATTGTAGTGCAATTTCTGAGTGAAAACAACACCATATTAAGTGCATTATGAGCTACATTGCGTAGAAGCAGTAGTGAGTAATAGAATTTAGCCAACTAGGTCAGTACTATAGTGTGATGCCGTAAAGAAATGAATATATTTGAATGATTTTGACTATGAGGTTTAATTTGCGCTTGTTTGGTGTTTTTCCTTTTTTTTAGAATGGTATGTAGCAGTGATGGACACTGATTTAAAAGAGAAAAACAAATATTGGCATATATTAGTTTTGCTTGACACACAGCTACATATAGTATATTATGTACCATCAATGTAAAAATCAGAGATCACCTTTCATTTATTTAATTTACACTCAAAACTATCATTCAGTACAAGTTATTCATTTTTCGAGAGATATTTCTGAGAAGGTTAGATATAAGATAATCCACTTGCATAAGGAAGGAGAAAGACGAATGAAAAAAAAAAACAGGAATTTCTAGACAAGAAACGAGTTAAAAAAAAAGATATACAGCTGTTTTTGACCTGATAGTCCACCAAACCTGTCACCATCAGATAAACAAAATCCACAAGTGTTTCTGCCTATTCTTCCACTGTGAAAACGCTATGAGTCTAAGAGAATGTGTAGCTCTCAAGAAGCTGTTAATGTTGTTACTGAGAAAAGGAAAGAAGAATATTTGCAAACCAAATGCAGAAGCTTCTGGTGTTCTCAGAGCAATGGACTAGCCATCACAAAGCCTAGAACTCAACATCATTAAATATTTTGTGACTACTGAGAAGCAGAAAATGCAACCAACTTCTAAGACTGAATTTTGGAGGTGTGGATCTCTGCATAATTATTTGGCCAACAGAAATCATCAAAATCTTTTTATATGACGTTTACTTTTAGTCCTCTATGCAATTTTCTGTTAAATGTATATTTTCTGTTTTTTCCTGATGCTAAAAAATGAATATTTGATGACTGATTTGACTGGAAATCAAATAAATGCAGGTTTGTATCAGACTTTAGTGCAGTACTGTATAACTAAAACACTTAGAAATTTTAAACATGGTAAGTCATAGCTGTTAACCAACTTGATTTTCCAGTCATCGTATGACATTATATTATATAATTACCAATATTTGAAAGACTGTAACTTTTTGAAGTTATACCCAGCACTCCACTGCTTTTTTTTCTTTGACAAGAGGTGTATTAAAGAGATTTGAAGATGTAGGGTGTTTTCTGGTCTACCCCCCTCCCCTCTTTTCTCCTCCCCTCTCTACTATCTCTTCAGCATTCCTCCTACTCTGCTGTCTGTCTGAAAAGTGTTCAATCACAGCACAAGGGGCCACTCCAGATGTCTATGGGGTCTGTTGGAGCTACGCTGCTGCTGGCACTGCTGACCTTGCACTGGGCACTGGCTCCAGGTAGGGTGGCTAAGAGGGAAACTCACTAATTGAGCTCTCTGTATTGGTCATCAGACTACAATCTACTAATATCTGCCTAGGTAGTTGTATTAGGTTTTGCTCTTTTATTTCTTTAGATTGAACATTATATTATGAATGAAAGAAGCAGCTCTGTTTGTTTATGGTTTAGGGGGTGGGGTAAAAATGCTTTGGAAATGTTCAGTATGACTGATTTCATTTTTTCTGTTTTGTGAATATGTGTGTGTTTAACCTCGCTGTGTTTATGAAGGCTTTGCAGATGATGGCTGCAGTGGCTTCAGGCATCTTGAAAACGGTCGCACGTTTTTTCGTTACGGGGGGCTGTACGTTACATTCAGTTGTAACCCAGGCTTCAGGATCCACGGCTACCGCACTAGCAGCTGTGTGTCTGGGCAATGGGCCAGAGAGCCACCCCTGTGTGTCGGTCAGTCATTATACTGCATATATTACATTCTTTATGCAGGTTGTTGAATTATGTTCATTTTACTGTCCGCAGGCAGTGACTTCACTTCTCTGATCTCCCACCCTAGCTCCAGGATGCCCCAGCCCTGGTGAGATCCTACATGGCAGCAAGGTGGTTTCCCCCGATGTCGCGGTGGTCCACTTCACCTGTGACAGTGGCTTCAGGCTCTTCGGCTCCCCTCTGCTCTACTGCAAAGGGAAGAGGTGGAACGGCACCATGCCTGTGTGTAAAGGTATGTGATCTCAACCAGAGTAAACAGAGTACACTACTGTTCAAAACTATCACCATTCAGAAGTTCTACTGAAACACTGTTTTCACCATGCTAGAAAATACAGCATATGTAGTGTTTTGAATGTATATTGGTCAACCAGCATGAACATGACCAGTATAAACAAGCATAAACCAGCTAAGATGAGCAAGGGATCTGCTGTTTTTTTCAGCAGGGCAATAATATAAAACCAGTTTTGTGGGCGGTGCATATATAAAGTGACTCTGTTATGATGCCACAACTATACAAATTAATAGATTTATGTAACAGATTAATAGAGTACTACAGTAATAGAATAATGTACATTAAACATTTTCAGATATGTCCAGAATGATGAGCACAGCTGTGCATGATTATGTAATGACTGAAAAATCTGTATAAACTGAGAAAGAAATTTTAATAAAGTTAATTTCTAGAATGCCTTGTATTTGAAAAGTGGTGATCATATGTCAGGCAGATAACCAAGGAATTACTGTAAATAGGTAAATACAGTATATTATTTATCATTTAATAACTTCCTGATGACAAAATGGTATAGAAATAAAGGAGGTATGAAGCCTTCAAATCAAGTTTTGAAAGTTTTGAAAGTTAAGTTAAACCTTACTTTAGTTGAAGTTTACTATATATCTGGGATATTTTTTGTTAAGTAACAAAGTTTTTGAATTTTTGTTTTTTAACCTAAACCAAAAATTATGACTATGATTATGAAATAAGATTCTGCTCTATTTCTTGGTTAGCTTTTAAAGTGAAATTAAACAAATATGGGCAATGACTTTGTTAAGGTCAGTGAATAAAAAGGTCAGACTTCCATTGACGCACATGTTGAGACGACTCAGATGGACTCATCTGGAACTTTTGCACAGGCTTGTGGAATCCATAAACGCTGTCATTAAAGCAAAATGGGGATGTACCAAATACTAACCAATTCAAAAAGTCATGTTCAGATTTTGCTTTTCACTCAAATGTAATACTGATAATATAATTTGTAATTAAAAATGCTGTATTCAATAAAGGAATGCAAAATAAAAGCACTTTGATTAGTGGTCTCAGACCTTTGGTTCCCAGTGTGTTTAATATAAAAATTTAATTGTTATGTCATTTGGAAATGGCGTGGGATCAGGGTAACTGTGTGGCTGGCCAAATTAAATATCCTCATGGGCCATCTTTAGCCTACCAGCCCCACTTTGGGCAGTGCTGGCTTACAGTAGTTTAGTCAGCTCTGTGTAAGTTATTATTGAATAAAGTGATTCCTTTGAATGGTAGTGTATAATTAGGACAATGCAGTCAATTAACCAGACATATTATACACTAATTAACCAAGAACTGCTGTAGACATACTTCTAGTACATTTTGTCCAAGTTTTATAGATTGAAACCTATCTCGGCAAGTAAGTGAGACAGTACTATTTGCATATAGTTTTATATAGTACTCCATGCAAAAAAAATCAAATGTACTGGAAACACTTTGGAAAGTTAGTCACTTTGTCAGTTGTTCTGGGCAATAAAACTGCAGTTTTGTGCATGCTTTTGGTGAAAGTGCTCCTTGGAATATTTTGAGGAAGTCTGCAGTGTTTTTCCTGTAACCCTAATCAGCAGCCACCGCACTTGTCTTGTCAGTTTGTGATTTTGCCACTACAGAGGCACCAGTTTTTTCTGTTTTCAGAGTCAGACATTATGAGCTCGTTCCAGCTGAAGCAGACATCCTTGAACCCGAACAGTCTGCCCAGTCTGAAGAGCCATTTCGACACTATTGCTAACACAGCCGCCAAAGAGACATTTCTGAAACCCTCCCTTCTTGGGGTCCCTCAGTCCAACCCCTTCCTAACTGGAGATGTGCCGAAGGTTCTCCGGAAACCTCCAGAAGAAAAAGCTGCTAAGAAACACTGGTCTGATAAAGCCACTACACAAAGTAAGAGAGGGACTGTGGGACTTAAAGACACCAGACTGCACATTGTGAGAAATCCAGTCCAAATGGTAGATCCTCTTGTCCAACCACTACCTGCTGCTACACCGGTGGATACCACAACAGTCTCAACAAACAGTCTAACACCTGCTCCCTTGTTATCAGGGCCTACATCTTCTATGGTCGCTCTAACCATATATGATCATGAAACACAAATGTCATTTAAACGGCTTGATCAAATGCTTTCTCCATCACCCAATGGAAAAGAAGAGAGAGAAAACCATTTCACTTTAGCAACAGCCAGGGATCACAGATATTTGCTTACAACTTTGCCAGTTCTGAGTGTATCAGGGAAAAAAGATCTCGACATGGTTGCAGCAAAATCTAATTCACAAGTCAACACAAGCAGTCCTGCCATAGGCTTCATTGGGCATACATCTACAAGGTCTCCAGAAATTAAGGAGAGTGGATTATCTTATAATATCAAGAAACCAATACAGCCTTCTCCCAGTGAAGGAGATGACATCTCTATTGCTACAGTTACAGTGAAACGAAATAGTGTTTTTTCTCCAACCAGCTCTCCTGACATAGCAGTACCTAAAAATGGAACCCTTCCCTCAGTAACCTCTCCAAAACCCTTTATGGTCAGTACTCTTCCATTCATCCCTGCTGTGATCCATGATGAAGAGCCTGCTTTTCAGGGAAGTTCAGCAACAGAGGCTGATGAAGATTTACTCCTTAGGACCGAAGTGCTGACAGCAGCCACCCAGCTGGCCCCTGCCCTGCGCCTGACAGGGTCTCCAGATGTTATTACAACTAAAGATCCTTATTTGCAGCATCCACCAAACATCAACAGAGAAAGAGAGCAGACAAATGTGGATAAGGTTTTTGCAGAGCCTATTGATGCTCATAAACTGTCGGTTGGTCACATCGATGGAGAATTAAATGAAGTATCAAGATTGGGCAGAATCAGAACTGCAAGCTCTAGTCCATCAGGTCTTATTCTAAAAAACAGAACATCAATGATCAGCAGTCACACCCAGGAAAATGCAACAAACAACCAAACTGTAATTAAACAAACACTGGACTTCACCACTAGGCACGATCTGACTCTCACCACTTCAGAGATCCTAGGATTCTTAGCCAGAAAACGCAGGCCCATGTGCCCTTACCCTCCCCTGCCTGCTCACGGAACGTTCTATTTCCGAACAATAGTCAACCCTGCCCCGTTTCAGTATAAGCATTATGTCCAGTATGCCTGTTACCCTGGTTACACACTGGCCAATGGGGACGTGTACAGCTACTGTCTGCAGGATGGGCAGTGGAGTGGAGTCACACCCATGTGCATTGGTAAGTCACTGATTTGAATAAGAACTCAATAAGATATTTTTTGCTTAAAGCAACGGTGCAACAAAAAAATATGAATAGTTTTGCAAAATTACAGTTTTGCACCGAGTTATAAGACTAATATAATAATACACGTACTGGAAGCCAAGACCTCACCAATCTGTACTGTGCAAACTGCATGGCTTAATCATTACACACTTAGGTCAAACTGAGTTAAGTAATCTCAAATAGACTTACTTGAGTGGTTTTCTACACTGTATGACATACTATTGTATATCGTTTAAAATTAGTCGTAACAGCCATATTGAAACCTGAATTTTGTCAGTACTTTTGTCCATTGTTATAAATAACAGTGTGTGATACACTCTCTAATACTTAATAAGGACAAATCAGCCAACATGAAAAAATTAACAATCACAATATCAGTCTCTAGAATGAAATTTTCCAAGACTAGGAAAATTCACTTCTGATGATGTGTGTTAAAGAAAAAACTACAACTGCTTTGGAGTGGATTTTTAGGTGGAGGTTGTTTTGAAATGTTGAAATGTTTGTTTTAAAATCTTTTCATTCGTTTATGAAAGCAGAAGGAAGACAGAAAGCTGATATTATAACCAGGAAGTCGAGTAACTTATTGTAGCCATATGACTTTAGTAATGATCTTCATCATCATTTCAAAGGTGAGAATTAATTACTCAAATGACAAGTGTAAGATGAGGATACAACAAGCTAAAAACTAATGTTAGCTAGGTAGCTACTTGGCTGGAGGACAAGCGAAAAACTAATAACTAGGTATCTACTTGGCTATCTAGATACACTGCCAGAAAAAGAGTATAATGTAAATCTACCCTGAAAGGTACAACATGGTTCTTAAATGGTCCAAATATGTTACCCTGACACAGTTGATAGTTTGATACTAATATTACACAAGAGTTCCCAATAAAAGGCTATTGTAAATTAGTGTTATGCAAGCAGTATTTAGGGTGAGCTTGGACGACTTGGATGACTTTATGATTTTATGACTATATTATACTATAATACAGACATTAAGTGCTAGGCGTTAGCATGTTAATTGTCCCTAAAGCGTCCCAAAATGGTTTATCATTACATGCATTATTTTTACTATTTCCAGGATGATGGGACAGGATTAGTCTGAAGCCTCTCTTTTTGTCGTGAGTTATACAGTCAGTTAGAATGAGGGATGTGCCGTTTTGTATTCATCACTGCATCATTATTAATGAGACTTTGTAGAATTTTGGCTCTATTGTGGTGTATTTATGCTATGGTATAAAACTCAGTGGCAGGAGAGGCATTTACACTCTTATGCATACTCTCCTCTGCCTCTCTCTCTCTCTGCCTCCCTCACATGGGAATGCAACCTTGATTACTTTCGCTCACATTTAATCGTCCTCTCTCTTTTGGTTTCACTCCATTACATTTCTATGCACAACGATAGTGCGAATATGTGAGGAAGCCTTTTAGAATCTCTAACTCAACAGGCTGATCTGGAAACAGGCCATGTTTACTGTTGGCAATTGACCCCAGTTTCTCTGTTTAACTCATTATGCTCCTCATAATGGCAGGGATTTGCACATCTGCTTATCACTTTGAGCACTTTAAAGGGACAGGATAATATCTAACAGGTGCTGTCTGAGTTTCAGTATATACCCCATAGCTCAGGCAATCTCACTCATCACTCATCTGTTTTTAGACAATTTGTCGTAAAGGAGAACTCAACCAGTTCTTTTTTGGAGTGCCCACGGCTCATAAGGTAAATACATTAGGCCAGGCTGAGAGGGATTTCCGGATTCGCCTTTCTGGCAGATATAAATCGTTTTTGACTTGTTGTATGGAACACATCTCTGTCTTTCTTGAGTCTTAAAACTCATGCACAGAACCCTCACTATTATAATTTCAATAGTAATATCAAAGTACTATAGAAGAAAGAAAATTGAAAACTGCTTCTAATTGCATTCTTCAAAAATATTCACTCGCTGCAGCTTTAAACACAAGATATTTTGCAAAATGTTCCATAAGGACACCTAACTTAGGGCATCATCTACCCAGCTTCAGGAAAGTGGGTGACTATTTCATTAAAATTTACTAGATTTCCATTTGTGTATAATAATCAAAATTGTAAGTGCAATTAACATAGGATTGTCTGATTATGAAAACACACATTATGTAAATGAAAAGTAATTACAGACAAATTTATGTAGTTTAAAGCATGTGCCTCAAACCCAAATGAAGTCAGGGCCACTTGCCAGGTGGGATTGAAGTCAAGCTGAATTATTTTTTTTTTATTTATTTTAGGCTTTATTTTACCTTGTTAGTTCATATCCCTGGTCATATGAAGCACAATTTAAAATTTCTTGTTACCCATATTCTTCTAACAAACATTGTCTGAGTTTTGATTACATCATCATGCACTTGCTGGTGGGGGAAAAATAATATTAAATTATATTACATATTATTAAATAAATAATATTCCCCCTTTCTTCCCACAACCCCACTTGTTGTTTTTAAAACTCTCCCTGACGCTGTGTTTCATTTTAAAACACATCATGGTACGGAACATAAATGTGTCATGATCTCTGATGCAGGTCGACCTTAACTATTCTTCAGTCACCTCTAACCGGTCAGTCATACCCCTGATGATTATAGAAAGTCATTATAAGGCATCAGGTAATGAATGATTTCCCTTTGATGCAAAACTGATCATAAACAATGTTGTTACTGGCATAGCAGTGTTCCCGTCTTGGGAGAAATTGAACACCAGTCTTCAGTGGGTGGGGTGATAGTGTTATCCCTTAGGCCATCCAACGATTACATAATCATGTGGAAGCCCATTAAGAATATGTTTACATATAAAGCAAGGATAAGGATATAATGAAAGGATAAATGGTAAATGTGTGATGGGCAGTATGAAGTTGACTTATTTGATATTTGAAACCCCATTTTAAAGCACAGATAGTCATAAAAAGGTTTTAAATATGCATTTTCATTCTGGCTGATAGTGTCAGTTTTTGAATTAACATCTCGGTCCTTCAAAAACTATATAAATTTTAGTAACAGTAAAATGCATAAACTACTCAACCCATAAGCTCGTGCACTTTTTATTGCTGCATTCTGCCAGGCTGAATCCCTCTGCTCACTGCTGGTGGGTATTTCTTTGTTGTTTGTTATGGAAATGAAGGAACCAAGTCAGACATATCTGGGACAGTTTCTTATTTGTTTCAATGTAACACAGAAGCTTGCAATGAGAATAAATTATGCTTACATAAACGAAGGCATCAGTTGTCCACACAAGTTAAACGGTTAGCTCTCTCAATTTCACAAGCCTTAGAGCTTATGGTTCAGATTTTGCCTTCCTGCTCGAACATTGTAAATTTTATCCAGTTGAACATCCTCTGTTCAGATCTTCACTTTCACTAGATATCTATACAACTACATATTTTCATTATTATGTTAAACTGCCAGGGGTCCACTGATGTTAAATTGAGCCATGTTTCTCTTCTCTACCCTCAGAGAAAGTTAAATGTATGCTCTTTGTGACAAAGACTGGTCTAGGGAGCTACAGCAGGGCTCTTCATTGGTATGAATAGGATAGGGTGAGGTGAAATTGCAAGTAGATGTGTACCATTAGACCCCTCAACCTGAATACCAGATAATAACACACTGTAAGCAGTCTTCATGACCACTAAGTAATGCAGTAATAACAGTTGTCCTGGAACATGATTTGCACGCTAAGTAGACAGTTTATTAGACCCACACTGACCAGATATTATTTGGGTGGTGGACCATTCACAGCCTGTGGTGGTATCTTTACATTGATGCATTGGGTAGAAGGCGGGGTTGAAAAATTGTGCAGCGACAAATGGAGAAGCATTATCCATATGGTTGCCAGGAGTTGTAATCAAATTGGTGGCACTTAATAATAATAATAATAATACCTGATAAAATGAGTGCGAGTAGCCAGCAATTCAGAGTATGTCTTAATTGCCATTCTCAACCCCATATATTCTGAATCCATTTGGAGCTTGTAAGTTATAGACGTTTCTGATTTAACCCAGTCTTTGCTTGCATGCAGAGGAAACTCCATGCTCCTTGAACAATGGTGGGTGCTCTCAGGTGTGCCATGTGAACGAGCAGAATCGAGCTGAGTGCCACTGCAAGGCTGGATTTCTTTTACTGGAGGACCAGCGCACCTGTCGAGGTGAGAGATACAGCATGCAAATGCTTGCGCGCCCTGGTAAAATTACGTGTTTATTTGATTGTCTAGGTGAAAATAAGTTAACACATCTTTGACAGAGAGCACAATTTTGCACATTTTAATTTTAAAAGAAACATGGAAATTGTGCACTAAAATGCATGGACAAATGCCATTTCTTTTGGCATCATAATGGCTAATATCACTATAGAAAGAGTAGTAATGGCTAGCATTACTATGGACAGAATACACCCTAATCCTAGGTCAGCACTCTATCCTACGGATGCTTGGCTAATGGATGTTCCATATGATTTTACTGCATTTCACTCATCCCATTAGTTTCTAAGGTGTCAGGGTCATTGCGGCCTTTTAACATCTGTTTGTAGCATATTTTTACATACATGTATCTGTTAACGAAGCAGCTGTAACTTCTTGTTTCAGTGCTAAATGCCTCTTAAATTCAGTCATGTCCTGTCTCTTCTGAGAGTTGCCCTGAGGCTCTGAATTCTTGACCCACAGCATAGTGTTATTGTAACTTCGAGTGGCGGCACATAGGCAAGACACAGCAGGTATGGGACATATTTTGCAGCGGCAATTCTTGGGTGTTCCCCAATACATTTAAAGCAACAATCACTGATTTTACAACAACAAGCAGCCCTAGCACCAAAGGAGTTTTGGGCATGTTACTCAAAATAATTTTAATTTTGTAAAATTAAATATAGCTGACTACATAAAACCATTTTCGAAAACAAAGCAGCTGCTAACAACTTAACAACTTGGTTTCTCCCGCTATGAGTTTTAATTCACATTATTTTTAGCTTTGAAAATGACTAATTGAGCTTGGAGGAAAGGGAATACCTCTGAAAGCCCATAAGTGCATAAACAGACTGCTCATGTTCAAACAAATCAAATCAGGGCCTTCTGTTGCTGTTCTTTTAAAACATCTGCCGAAAACAGCTCATGCAGAGCTTCAGTACATCTGCAGTAGAACCTGTGGAATCCATAGGTACCTGTTGTGGCTCTAAGTGTAGTTAATTGAAGCGATAACTGAAGTGTGGGCGTAGGATTATGCCCAACAGCTAATCTTCGCTAATATTTAGATAATATTCAAAATCATGTCATGTATTCACAGTGCTGGTATAAGCCAGGCAGATCAGTTAGTATTCAGTTGAGTGCTGGAACAGAGGAAAAAGAGTGACCTTAGTAACATTAAACATAGTGTTAACAGTGCCAGTTCTAGCATCTCCCAAATGGCTGTCTGTGTGGGCTTTTCACACACAGCTGCTTCAAGGGTTTACTGAGAATTGTGCAAAGAGTAAGAAACTGATTGGTGGTCCTGCGGAGAAAAATAGCTTTTGGATCAGACCGGGTCAAAAAAGAATGATGAGAATCAAGCAAACAATCAGGCAAACTGTATTTGAATTCAACATTGGTGCGTGCAGTGTCATCTCAGAATGCACCACTTCTCTCAAATAGGCTATAAGAGCCAAAGACCATGTCAGGTGCTGATGTCAGTGAAGAACAAGAAAGCACATCTCCACAAGGCACAGGAGCATTAGAACTGGCTTTTTTGCATCATGCTGTTGGAGGAATCAGACTGCGCAGCAGCAAGTTCTTGGAGCCATCCTGGAAGGTGTGAACAGTGCAGCCTTGTGGTGGCAGGGTGGTGGTGTGGCAAATGTTTTCTGGTACACATTCGGGCCCCTGATATCCAGTGAGGAACATTTAGACAGCACAGTGAATCTGAACATTGTTGCTTGCCAAATTCCTCCCTTCATGGCTACAGTTTATGGTACTAGGTTGGTGATAAACTAAATAAATATGTTCTTCATATTTCATCCACTCTACCTTTGGTTCTTCAGCAACTCAAAAGTCACATAAGACGTTTGGAGCTGATTCAACTGATTCAATGACGTTAAACAGTATCTCTTTTGTACTGGACTTTAGCAACAGGGCTCTAAAATAGCTAATGAGAATGTTTTCAGCTCTGCTACATTCTGCTATTCTCCCCCCCCATACAAATATACTATTCATTCATAGAAGTATCTCCCTGGCAGCCCTTTTATTAGGAAATATAGAATATGACTCGCTGTGTTTGATTCAAAAACAGTCTCTCTTGCTCATGTGGTTTGCAGTATGTAATAGGGCCACAGGAGAGCACACTGGAGCAGGGCTTTGTGCAGTAGCTGTCTCTGATCTCTCTCACTAACAGAAATGATGGGTTCGGGTTGATGTGTGCTTTCCGAATGAGGACTAGCACTCATTGAAAAGTGAGACTGCTGTTTGGAACAGCATGAAACAGAATGTGTGTATGTGTGAAAGGAAAGGGAATGTGTGTGATATGCAGGTTAATTTAAGCTCCAGGATTGAGAATTCTTTCATGGAGGGGATGACTTTAAATCAGACTGGATGTGTCTAATGTAGTATATGTCTGTTCATAAAACTGTTTTTCCTTATATTGGATATGTTACATTTTTATTTTTTTATGAGCTTGTGGAGCTCAGCGCCAAATTCTGTCAACATCTGGAGTGGGTGACTCCAGAGAGGCAGGATAAAGATAGGATTAAAACTAAAGCAGGGGGAAATGCAGAAGTTAGAGGCAGGCTGTGGGAACCCAAACGTGAAATTCAAACCCGTGCTGGGTTGGGATAAATATTTCAGCCTGTAATTTAAATTGAAGTGATAAGGAGTGTTGATACTGCAGACAGTTTGTAGCAGAGGTAATGGGAAGATTACATTTTTACAAGAATCATCCTTCTTCTGATATTGTTTTCTTGTGTGTGGCTGTGTCAGCATGTTCTCTTTAATCTGCTCCTGACATGGTGCTTGTATATGTATGCGTGTGGTTCTTAGATCTGGATGAGTGTGTGGAAGGCTTGCACCAGTGCCAGCAGGCCTGCGAAAACACCTTTGGCTCGTACAGGTGCAGCTGTAGCTCCGGATTCCAGCTCTCTGCAGACAGGATGTCCTGTGTCGGTGAGCTTTAAACCCATCATCCTGTCTGCCCTCTTCTGTCTTAAAGCATATATTTTTAAATGAAATATGTGAGAAGGTGAAAACAGGGATTATTCATGTTTTTATGCGCAGATGTAATTAGAAGCGAAAGATTTAGAGAGGTGTAAACTTGTCTGAGCCAACAGCAGGATCACTTGTTCTGTCTTAAGTTTAATAAAATAGATTTGCATTTCCAGAAGGAAATGTAGTGCTTGCAAGGAAAAACTGATATAAGACCAAAGAGAAAGAAAGAAAGAAAAAGAAAGAAAGATGGAAGAAAAAGAAAGGAAAGAACAAAAAGAAGAAGGTGTATAAAAGAAAGGAAGGAAGGAAAGAAAAAGAAAGTTAGCGAAAATGGAAGAAAAAGAAAAAGAAATGAAGGAAAGAAGAGAAAGAAAGGAAGAAAAGGATAGGAAGGAAGGAAACATGGAAGAACAAGTCAGAAAAGAAAAAAGAAAGACAGAAAGGAAGTAAAAAAGAAGAAAAAGAAAAAGGATGGAAGAAAAAGAAAATGAAGAAGGAAGAAAAAGGAAGGAAGCAAGGAAGAAAAAAAAATAAAGGAAGGTACAAATAGAAGAAAAGAAAGAAAGGAATTATTACAGGATGGAAGAAAAAGCAAGAAAATAAAGAAGGAAGAAAAAGAAATGAAGGAAGAGAAGGAAGGAAGAACAAGAGAAAGAAATGAAGGAAAGAAGAGAGAAAAGAGAAAGAAAAAGGAATAAAGGATGAAACCATTGCTAAAATGATCTATGTTAAGAGTTCAGTCCTTAAACTGTACGTCTGTTATTCAGTCTGTCATCCTTAGAAGTTATTTTCAGAAACTATTATGAATTATTCAGTAACTACTATGAAGCTGATATTTAATTTATCTGAGAGTGAGAAATTTATGTGAGTGAGGAATTAAAGTGGGTCCCTGAGAATTTAAGTGGTTAAAATGAAGTATAAATGAATGATTTTGAGACAAATTGCTCACTTGTTAGATTTCTTAAAGTGAAGCTTCAGAGAAAAATTTCTATATACACCTACCAGCCACTTCTTTAAGTACACCTCCTTGTATCTACACTCATTGTCCATTTTATCAGCTCCATTTACCATACAGTTGCTCTTTGTTGTTCTACAATTACAGACTGTAGTCCATCTGTTTCTCTGCATACTTTGTTAACCCCCTTTCACACTGCTGTGTCTGGTCCACTCGTACCAGTGGAACACACACTAACACGCCACCACCATGTCAGTGTCACTGCAGTGCTGAGACTGATCCACCACCCAAATAGTACCTGCAGTGGGTTAACAAAGTATGCAGAGAAACAGATGGACTACAGTCTGTAATTGTAGAACTAAAAAGTGCACCTATATGGTCAGTGGAGCTGATAAAATGCACAATAGGTAGATAAGATAAGATAAGAAAACATAAGATAAGATAAGATAATTCTTTATTAGTCCCACAATGGGGAAATTCTCAGTGTTACAGCAGCAAAGGGTGAGCAAGGCACTCAAGAAAAAGAAAAGAAGTAACGAGAAGAGAATTAACAAGCAGTTAAGTAAACAGTACGCAACATGTTTTTTTTACAGTTTGTAACTTGTTACTATATAGACAATATATATAATACTAAAATTAAAAAACAAGATAAAAAATACAAACTCTATTCTTCACAAAAAAATAACAATATAAAGAATTATAAATAAATAAAAAGCTTAGATATTTACACTGTAAGGATATTTTTGCCTGAAATTCACATGGAGTATTGCGCATGAGGTACTGGTTTATATTACACATGGGATGGTGAGGAGTTAACAATATAAACATTATAAATAGAAAGCTAAAGAATATTTATACTATGGAGATATCTAAAAAAAAGTATTACACATGGAGTGTTGATCATATTGCACACAGGAAAAGGTGATAAATTCACAGTATGTTCTGTAGGTGTGTGAGGTCTAATGGGGGGGTGGAGGGGGTTCTACTGGCGGCAGTGCTGGTTGTACAGTCTAACAGCAGCAGGAAGGTAGGTCCTGCGATAGCGGTCCTTCAACACACTTGGGGTGAAGCAGCTTGTCACTGAAGGAGCTGGCCAGTGCTGCCAGAGTCTCATGCATGGGGTGAAGATACAAGGAGGTGTGCTTAATGATGTAGCTGCTGGTTGGTGTGTATATATATATATATGTATATATATATAAACCCAGACTAGTCCATCAGACTGCCAAATAGAGAAGTGTGATTCCTCACTGCACAGAATACGTTTCCACTACTGCATAGTCCAGTGGCGGCGTGCTTTATACCACTCCATCTGACGGTTGGCATTGTGCTTGGTGATGTAAGACTTGCATGCAGCTGCTCGGCCATGGAAACCCATGCCATGAAGCTCCTGACGCACAGTTTTTGTGCGAATGTTAATGCTAGAGTGGCAACGGTGGCGTCCTATTACAGTACCATGCTCGAAATGAGCTCTTTAGAATGACCCATTCTTTTACAAACGTTTTTAAAGACGGACTGCATGGCAAGGTGATTTTATACACCCCTAGCAATGGGACTGAAACTGAATTCAGTGATTAAGAGGTGTGTCCCAATTTCATTCTCCCTGGTTCTCATAAATGTACATATGTCATATTTATGATCCAAAAAATGTGTTATGCTGTATGACATTTTCACAATGGAGCCTAAAAACAAAACCTTACCAGCCGCACTTTTGGCAGCCCTGTTGTGGAGTCTTGTTTCTGATTTTTGTGACGCATCTCATTGCAGACGTGAATGAGTGTGCACTGCCTGCTGGTAGATCGCGTTGTATGTTTGGCTGCATTAACACGCCAGGCAGCTTTCACTGTCAATGTCCTGCAGGGTACAGTGTGAACATCACAGACGGACAGTGTACAGGTCAGTTGCAGTTCATTTCTAATCTCCCTGCTGTGCTGGGCTTTTGTGAGACATGTTTTTCTATGACCTCTCTATACTTTGTTTGAGAGTGTTGAGACAGATGGACAGATGCATGTGCACCTATGTGTTTTTTTGTTGATATTCAGCACGTCTATACTGTGGCATTCTCTACAGATATAGATGAATGTATGGAAAATGGGGGTCGCGGACTGTGCGCAAGCGCGTGTGTGAATACTCCAGGCTCTTTCCACTGCACCTGTCCATATGGGAACCAGCTAGCTGGGGATGGCAAGGCTTGTGTCTCAGCGTGTCCACCAGGATACAGGAAACCACTTTCTGATTCAGCAGTGGAAAATTCAACCACAGAGCACTGCATTGGTATGTACTGCAAGTGTGTAGAGCTCTTTGTTGATGTAGTCCAACTGTAACAAGAGAGAACTGGGTCAGAATGGGCTGCCACCAAAGCTGTATTAACTGGTAGACCATGGATACTTAGAACATTTTTCCAAGTTTTTTTACCAACCACTGGTGGACCATGAAAACTTTGAAAATTTTCCCAGTTTTTACCAACCACTGGTAGACCATAGAAAACTTTGAACATTTTTCCAAGTTTTTACCAACCACTGGTAGACCATAGAAACTTTGAACATTTTTCCAAGTTTTTACCAACCACTGGTAGACCATAGAAACTTTGAACATTTTTCCCAAGTTTTTGTACCGGCCACTGGTAGACCATAGAAACTTTGAACATTTTTCCAAGTTTTTGTACCAACCACTGGTAGACCATAGAAACTTTGAACATTTTTCCAAGTTTTTACCAACCACTGGTGGACCATGAAAACTTTGAACATTTTTCCAAGTTTTTGTACCAGCCACTGGTGGACCATGAAAACTTTGAACATTTTTCCAAGTTTTTACCAACCACTGGTAGACCATGGAAACTTTGAACATTTTTCCAAGTTTTCCAAGCTGTAGGGGCTGCAGCCCAAGGCCCCAGCCACTAAGGGGCCCTGCGAGCATAAATAAGTAAACCTAAATTACTTTTAGGCCAGAATGTCTCTTTAAGATAGAGACGGCAGGAACCCAGAATACTTTAACTACTGCACAATAAAATTGTTAAGATGTAAATAAATTAATTCAGAGTGGTTTTATGATTGTTTTGAAATGTCATTTTAAGCTGTTCAGTGTTAGTTTAGTGTTATGCTGTGCAAAATACCATCCAAAGAAAACATATTTTTTGGATTTGCCCTATTTCACCATTACCAATATTGCATTTAAAAGTCAATGTGTAGCTTTACTGGTCATTTTGGAAAATACATAAAATAACTATATTTGCATTATAGACATCGCAATCCCTGGTTCTTATGCTTGCTTACATTTCAGTGACTGAATTGTTGGGTTTCACTGGGAAATCATTTGTCAAAAAATGTTAACATTTCTCTTGGAGTCCCATAAAGTTCAATCTTAGGGCCTTTTTTCTACGTTACCTCTATGTAATGTCATATCAAGAAAATGTAATATTTTTCATAGCTATACTGTAGAAACACAATAATAAATTTCTTCTGAAAATCATGACTGTGTTGACAGACTTACCAGTCAAATCAGCTGATGTCACAACATATTCTACAGCTAGAAAAGGCTCTTTCTGTTATGTTTTAAACTGTGGAACTTCACCTTTTATTAGGCAGTCAAGCTCAAAGTAAACACTTTTAAGAAACATTTGAAAACAGATCTCGTTAAATTAGCTTCAAATTAAAATTATACCTCTTTTTATGTTATTTCTTCATACGTTACATTAATTTACATTAATATTCTTTTATTTGTCATTTTCCCCTTATATTGCTGTTACCAAACTATGTACTGTAACTATGAATGGAAGAAAATGAACTGTTAAACTTTGAGCTGACACAGGTATGAAAAATGCTGTATGAATGCGTTATTATTATTATTGCTACTGTTACTTTAAAAGAAAGAGGCGTCTGGATATTTAGCACAATGAGTCATGCTACAACATTTTGGTACAGGTGTAGCATCAGCATTCACATACATTGTGAATGCAATCACTTTACAAACACGAGGCAGGTGCTGACTGCATGTGCGCAATTTTCCTTTTATTCAAGAGCCGGTTCCTAGAAACACTACTGTTTAGAGAGGCAGGGGTTAGAACACAGGTAGGCAGGCAGCAAAGACATAATACATAAAAACAGAAACACACAAGAAAGCAAAACAGGGAAAATTAACAGGAAATAAACAGAGAAAACACAGCTAGCATTGCCCACTAGGCTACGGCGATGATACTGTTTTGTTTCTTTTCTAAGTGAAAATAACATCCTCTACGGGGAACAAACAAATATGGCATTTCTTGGCATTTCTATGTATTAACTGAGTTTTTAAAACAAAAATAAAACAAATATGCACAGATGAGCCAAAACATTATGACCACCTGCCTACTATGCTGTTTGTTCTCCACATGCTGCGAAAACAGCTCAGACCCACTGAGGCATGGACTCTAGAAGACCTCTGAAGGTGCCCTGTGGTATCTGGCACCAAGACATTAGGAGCAGATTCTTTAAGTCCTGTAAGTTGTGAGGTGGAGCTGTTGCAGATAGGGCTTGTTGTTCCAGCACATCCCACAGATGCTTGATCAGAGATCTGGGGAATTTGGCAGCCAGGGCAACACCTTGAACACTTCATCATGTTCCTCAAACCATGTTTGGTAGGTGGCATGCATCCACATGAATGCCTGGATCCAGGGTTTCCCAGCAGAACATTGCCCAGAGCCTCACACTTACTCCACCGGCTTGCCTACTTCCCACAGTGCATCTTGATGCCATCATTTATCCAGGTAAACAAAAATGGGACTCAGCAACCAGGCGATCGTCTTTCATTGCTCCAAGGTCCAGTGCCCACGATTGTGTGCCTGCTGCAGGCACTCTTGAAGAAGGACAGGGGTTAGCATTGACTGCAGCAGGGCAGCACTGTAGCCCTTCTGTCAGTTTGGACCAGAAGGGATAGCCTTAGTTGCATATCGATGAGCCTTAAGTGTTCAAGACCCTGTCGCCAGATTGTGGTTTGTCTTTCTTCAGAAGACTGCTGATTGAAAGCATCCTGCTCTGGCAATAACAATTTGGCCCTTGTCAGAGTCACTCAGGTCTTCACACCTGCCCATCCAACATGTCAACTGCGAGATTTGACATCCCACACCTTGACCTGTGCCATTGTTACGAGATAATCAGCGGTATTTGCTTCATCTGTGAGTGGTCATAATGGTTTAGTTCATCAGTTTATAGAGTTAGTCCTGTAAAATCACAAACAAGTGTTCACAATTAGCAGGAAGAGTGAGAGGACCAATTCAAAGGGGACTGGAAATACCATGACAACTTACCTGACTCACATTATTTAGGTCAGAAAATTGCAACACAGATCAGCCAAAATAAATTTCCATGTAGGCTGATTCTGTGTGTTGTCAGAATTTAATAGACAGTAACGAAGGCCATTGCGTTCTTGGTATACTAATTTTGCAATAGAAATAGTAGTAGAAAAATAGTAGAAAGCAATTTGAATGACTGAAACCTCAGTAAGATGTAAGACGTGCTAGGCTTGAACCTGTCATAGTGTCTTTGTGAGTGTGTGAATCCATTTCAGATATTGATGAGTGTGAGGAGATGGAGCAGAAGCAACAGGACCAGCAGGACAGGTGTGAATGGAAGTGTGTCAACCTGCCAGGTACACACCACTGCGTTTGCCCACGGGGATTCACACAGCATCCAGACGGATTTCACTGCAAGGGTCAGTTCACATACAGCTCAACTGAGCTGAAGGCACCAACAAATGGCAGAATATCTGACAAATGACGCCAAGAGCTGCCAGTTTACGCAAAAATCAGAAACGCTTTTAGATGAATGACCAGAAATGCTGAATGATTCCACTGATTTTTGAAGAACACTGCCTTTTCTCTTCCTCTTCCTCAGATATAAATGAATGCACACTGAAGAATGGGGGCTGTTCCCACTTCTGCATAAACCAGAGAGGAAGCTACAAATGTGGCTGTCCAGAAAATTACCGTATTTCACCTTATAACAGAAGAAAGTGCCAGCCAGTTCACACTTCACTAAGGACTGTATCTTAATGTAGTAGGTATTATCCTGCTCTTCACCTAATTTATTTACTCATCTTTTCCTAATTTATTTACTCATCAACCTTGTAATAAAAGCGGAAATACTGCATACAGTTGCTAATATTTTTTTGTAAAATCTTGTTTATTCCATTGTGTCCCATACTTATAGATACAACGCACACAGAGTGGATCAAAATGCCATAATGCACCTTGCAACTGGAGAAACTTCAGTACTATTTTCTGCAACTGAATAAACTGGTGTACTTACAGAAATTAGTACCAAAGTTTCTCCAGTTACAAGGTGCATTATAGCATTTTTGTAAAGCTGTGAGACTGTAGGATATGCCTTCTCCAAGCATCAATAAAGTATTCTACATAGCTGTGATGGAGGCTTTTCCTTGAGTTCAAGGAACTTTTGGAAAACTAATTGAAATTAAAAAGCATTTATCTGAATTGCACATCTAATCAATACAATTACAACTTCATATTTGTGTTGCTTCATTGGGATGTGCTTTATAAAATGATTGAGATGATTTTTGACACAAAGAGAAGGCATTGTTGTCCTACAACATCTATGCCCTTTCCACCTAATTTCAGTCCGATGGCTAGATTATTAGACTTTATTAGATACACCTACTTTGTACTTTCACTCAGTTTGCCTTATGAGTTCCATCTACACTATGTTGCCAAAAGTATGTGGACATCCGACAGTCACATTTGTATGAGCTTGTTGAGCATCCCATTCCGAAACCATAGGTATTAATATGGAATTGAACCCCCCCAGTTATTTGTACTGGCAGTTATTATATGCTCAGTGATTCTATTACATTTTTCATTTTTTATTCAATATGGCAAAATACACATAAATACACTATGGAGACCAAGCTACTGTAGAGTCACAGAGTAAAGGTAAATATGAGTCTCTTTTAGATGAATCAAACATTATTTTATATCTGTTTCATAAATCAAGGCACAGGATTCATAAATATGGATTTTCTGCTTTAACAGCAAATATAACATCCCTGTTTGGTGGCTGTTTTAAATAAAGTGTCTGGGAATTGTGTGTTTGAATTTTATGATCAGCAGTTTACTGGGGTGAACATCATGACATAGTGCTGTCCCACCTCATAAGCAAGACATTTATCTGTAACCTACTATCTGTTGGCAGGTCGTAGCCTACATAAGCCATAAATGACAACTATAATCTTTTCAGAACACTTTTAATATATAACAACATATTTACAAATATGTAACAGGTGACACTATGTAGTTAATAGTTTCCCCTACAGGTGTCTCTATTTAACAAATTTTCAACATAAATATAATTTCAACATGACTCCCATCTTCCGTAACTACAGTAAGAACAAGTAGCACGACTGGCTACTGCAGTCAGCTGCAAAGTGCCGTCCATGTTTTTTTTTTTTCTTTAAAATACAAAAATACCATCGTCCCAACACAATATCAATAGCAAATCTATAGCTCAAGAGTCATCACAACACACACGGAAGCTCGCGTATTGGCTTGATGGACATTCATTAGGGTGAAAAACGCATTGGTCCTGGAAGCCAAGTCCCTTATACAGTGTGGAATGCCTTTGTTAATATAGAGCAGGGAGGATGGATGAAATAAGAGTAAAGAGGATTGTTAAGGACTCAATTTAAAGTAAACAGTAGTTGGTCACATCATTTTTCCAATTCCTTCAAAGGGAGATTAAGGACAAAGTGAATTTCTTGCGTAATACAGATAACATCTGGGCCCAACAGAGATATACAGCCAAAATACACATTTACAGTCAGACACATAGAAGCAATGTGTGGGTGAATTTTACAAAAAATTAAACAATGACACTAAAAGTTGATTTGAGTAATGTGGGTAAGAGGATCTGTCTCTGCCTGCAGAGTGCAGATCTTTCCAACCCCAAATATCTGGATATAGGGGCAGAGTGTGCAACACCTTTACCAGGAACAGGGATGGGGCATCCAGCACATTTACCTTAGTTAGCCAGGTAAAAAGTCCATAGGTACAGGAACAGGGCTGGGAGAACCTTTATCTGAAGCAGGTACTAGGGCAGAGCTTATATAGCACCTTCACCTGAAACAGGTACAGGGGCAGAGTCTATGTAGCACCTTTACCTGAAGGAAGTGCAAGGTTTAGCCTATAGCACCTTAACCTTAGTTAGCCAGGTAAAGGGGTGGGGCCTTTAGCACCTTAGCAACTTAAATGGCCAGGCAAGGGGGTGGGACCTACAGTATCTTTACATTAGTTATACAGGTAAAGGGGTTGGGCTTTAAGCACCTTTACCTTAGTTAGCCAGGTACAAGGGTGGGACCTCTAAGTATCTTTACATTAGTTCGAGCAGTAGAGGGCTGGGGCCTTTAATACCTTTACCTTTGTTAGCCAGGTACAAGGGTGGGACCTATAAGTATCTTTACCTTAGACAGGGAAAGGGGTGGGGCCTGTAGCACCTTTACTTTAGTTAGCCAGGTAAAGGAGCAAGGCTTTTAGCACCTTTACCTCAGCTAGCCAAGTACAGGGGTGGGACCTATCCGTATCTTTACCTGCTTCAGATAGGTAAAGGGTTGGGGCCTTTAGCACTTTTACGTTAGTTAGCCAGGTACATGGGTGGGACCTATAGTGACTTTACTTTAGTTGGCCAGATACAAAGATGGGGCCTATGCCACCTTTATCTCAGTTGGTACAGGAGCAGGGCCTTAGTCAGCCAGACAGAGGGCTGGGATCTATAGCATCTTTACCTTATTATGACAGGTAAAGGGGTGGGGCCTGTAGAACCGCCAGATAGAGAGATGGGGCCTATGCCACTTTTATCTCTGTTGGCCAGGTGCAGGGAAAATGCTTTTAGCACCTTTACTTTAGCGAGATAGAGGGGTGGGACCTATATTATCTTTATCTTATTACAACAGGTAAATGGGTGGGGCCTATAGCACCTTTACCTGAAGCAGATACAGGGTCAGGCCTATAGCACCTTTACTTTAGTTGGCCAGAAACAGAGATGGGGCCTATGCCACCATTATCTCAGTTGGCCAGGTGCAGGGGACACCTTTGCCTTAGCCAGATAGAGGGGTGGGGCCTGTAGCACCTTTACCTGAAGCAGACAGAGGGTCTTTATTTGAGCTAGCCAAGTACAGAAGCAGCACTTTTCCCTTAGTTAGACAGGTTAAAGGGTAAGTGTACAGATGTAAGATAGCAGGTGAAAGCGGGAGTTGGCCTACCTTTTCAGACACTTATGCACTGGCAGAAAACAATGTAGCATTTTGGAAAGCCTGAAGTGCTCTGAAGCACAAACTTTTCAGTACTAAAGCCAAAGCTATGGGGCAGGGTGGGGAGTTTTCAAAATGAGAGATGAAAATAAAACAGGTATGACTAGCTCATCTTCATCAGCAATCTGAACGCTGAACAGAAATTACATGCTGAAACGCAGAAGGCTCCATAATTTCTTTACACAAGCAAACAAGAGCTCCACTGCCGAAGCCGCAAAAGTTCCTGTTGACCGAGTAGGTGATGAAATCCAACAGCTGGGTGGGGAGCTAAAGGATTAGAAGATTGAAAGGCATTGTATGTCTGAACCATGTGCTCCAAAAACTGTAAAACTGGAAGCCAAAGCAATCGGCCTGATCTGGTGTGTCTTGTAGGCAAATGTCACACGTACAGCAGCACATCTTCACATTATTTTTTCACACTGTATACAGTAGCTGGATTCCTAACTGCTGGCCTAAACCTGTATATGGATTTAACAGTTTTACAATGGCTCCAGCCCTAGATAGACACGCAATGGGCTCTAGAGGAAAAACAGTGCATGTCAAAGCAGTAGTACTGTCTTGTTTTTCGAGGCCTCAGAAGTTGAATGAAGAAAAAGAGTACCGTCAAAAGCTGAATACTCAGATTTCTCACAGAGTACTTTCGCAGGACTCCTCAAGGGAGGATTTTAGACTCTTGACAGCTTCAAGTACCAAGAGATTTACTGGGGCAATAGAGAGCATGGGGAGGGTAAGGGCCCTTTAAACACATAACAAAATCATAAATAGCCTTAAAAACAGGAAATGCTGTTTTTGTGAGTTGGATCCTGCTTGAACTGTGGCTCATTTCAGTGTATGGCACTACAGCAAGTCAGCATATCATCTTTTGTTCTATTAAGTTTTTTTATTTCCACCCTGAACGTTTATCGTTGTTATAAATGGATGATTATGCAATAACCTGATGCATTTGTCTTTCTACTAAATCCCCTTAAGTCGTTGTTTGTTAACATAAAGTGCAAATAGTGCTTTGTCGCCTGTGTTCCAGTTTGCAGGCATCAGTTCCGCTGGCATCCAGCAGGGGGCAAAGAAGAGCTGGCTGCAGTTGTCACAGGCAGTAGTGGTACAGCAGAGGAGCCTGGGAAAGGGCAACTCTTTAGTCCTCTGGTTCGCAGGTTGGTGGCTCCGGCGGCTCCAGCGGCTTCACCATCTCCTCATCGTACACTCTCAGAATGGCCTCGCAAACAAACCTGTACTGGCTCTGCAGAAAAGAGACAAAAAAATCAAAAAGATATTAAAATCAATTGTTCAAGTGATGAACATGATAAAGCCAGGTTGCCACAGCCACAGACAGTGGACCAAAGTCAGGTGCAAATTGGACACATTCTGCCCACAGTTTATGTACAAAACTGTGTGCATGGTAAAACACAAAAAAACCTACAAAACGTCCTCATGCATATACATTTAAGAGAGGACTATGCAAATGTGGGAGGGTTGTGCAAAAAGTGGGTGGAGATATTACATATTGTTACATACCGTTTACATATTCTGCTTGTACAAAAGTTTGGACAACTTGCGGCAGCTGGTTTTGTGTCAATTTTCCTCTGATAAGCTGCAGTAAATCCAATGTGAAATGCAGGGACATTGTGGATATTATGGTTGCTGTACTGCAGCTGCATTCGTACATACATGTGGCCTAGTACTTTTACTTTAAACTGTTGAAATTTAATTAGGTTACTCTCTGATTGTGTTCAACAGACACACACACATACATTCAAGGTTGAACAAGCTTTACAGAAAGCTGCCAAACATCCCATTCAAAGTAGTGAGAAACTGTAGCAAACAACTCAAGATATCTATATTTACATCTGCATCATTATTCTCAAATATTTTTTCATACGCATGTGAAAGGTCACACTGTTGGGACTGATACAATGTTGTTTTTTTGGGAATCAAATTAATATTAACATAAAAGCAAACTCGTCATTGTTAGCTACAGAGCAGTCCAGCTGACTAACACAGCAATAGCATTGCCCCAAAACAGTTTTACAGAAATCTGCTGAGGGCGACAGTGGCAGGAAAAACTCCCTAATTGCATGAGGAAAAAACAAGAGGAACCTTGAATCAAAAGCAGAGCCCTCCTCCTCTGGGCCGCACTAGACTGTGCACTTATGATACAAATAGTGCAAGTACTACCGCTATGCAAAGGCGAGCGTCTGTAGAATCCTAACTACTGAAAATGTACAAGATGTACAGAAATTGTATAACACACAGTGATTTTGCACTCACTGGAGTTTGAATCATCATGGCCCGCTGGTCTCTCATGGTTCGTACAATGTCTAACGGATACACAGACTGGCTTCGCTCTATCAGACACATCGCTGTCTCCATGGTGATGAGAACCCCCGTCCGACCAATCCCAGCACTGCACGAGGAGAAAGTGAAGTTATGGGTCAATAAAGAAGTGGCTAGTTTGACACTGAATCAACATCTGCTTCCATTTACTATCATTAACAACATAGAGCTGTATTTGTAAAAAGCCATAAGCCTGTAGAATTATGAGTTATCGCTGACATTAAGATGCTATTGCAGCACACTAACTTTTAATGAATCTGAAGATGTTTTGTGCAGATTCTAAGCTTTCCATCAATACTACATTATGCTTGGAAGTAGAAGAGGAGATTATAATTTGAATTTAAAAAAATGTAAAGTTGCTTCTTGAATTTCTTGTTTCGCAGAAAGTCATTTTTGACACTGAAACAGAAACAGTCAGAATTTAATCTGGCAGTATAGAATGTAAACTAATTTTGTGTGTAATTATGTATGTAACTTAATTATGTGATTACATTTAAATAATTGAATGTACAGTACTGTGTAAAAGTCAAAAGCCACCCTTTATTTATTTCCAGTCAAAACAGCCATTAAGTTTTTTTCAGCATCACGAAAATGACAGAATAGATTTAAACAGAAAATTACACAGAAGCCTAAATAACTAAATGTAAAATACGTTTCACTTTTTAAAAAAAAAATCTGCAGGGATATTTTTTGTACTCCTCCAAAGTTCAGTATTAGAAGTTGATTGCATTTTGTGCTTCCCATGATCCAAGTAATCCCAAACAAATTCACTGAAACTCTACGGTGGCCAGTCCATTGTTATTAGCACACCAGTACCTGTGTGATTTGCAAATTTCTTTTTCTCAGTAAGGGCTTCTTGACAGTTACACAATCTTTCAGACCCATAGTGTTGACTTTTTTCTCACAGTGGAAGGATAGACTGAAAAAAACCTGTGGATTTTTCAGACCTGAAGCAAGAGTGGAGCTTTATTTTCTCCTATCAAACAAGGGTGTACTTTTGCACAGTGCTGTGAATTGAATGTATATCACTCAATATGTTATTCAATATATTGTAAGGGGTTTAGTAGTAAATTTTAGATTGTTCAGTGTATCAGCAAATCCAAACATCCATAACCTATGCTGAAATAAAGTTATGCGTTAATGTTTGTGAGGTTTATGTTTGTAACGTAAGTCAGCAGGTGTGCATGTAGATCATATGAACTTGGTGAAAGGTGTAAAATGTTGTGGCAATATTAGAGTAATGTTTTTGAGCAGGTTCTGACCTGCAATGCACCACCACAGGCTCCTCTGAGTCGCCTCGTTTGCTGCGCACCAAACTAACAAAGTTCAGGAAGTCAGTGGAGTCATCTGGGACACCATGGTCAGGCCAAGCCATGTACTGCATCTGACACAGCTGCCTCTCCTCTTTACTCTACACAGACACACGCACACAGGGGATATTCATACACTGTCCATCAAAATTTAGCTCAATGTTGCTTTGTTTTTTTAAACATTTCAAGTAATAAAGGAAAATATTGAAAGATTTTGTTGATAAAGATATTTTCCAAATACTCTGGGTATATTTGACAGCTCTCAGCTTCATGTTTATCACAAAAGCCCCTTTCACACACAGAGCCCGGTACAGGATGTAAACAAAGACGTTCAGATTGGTTTGACACACTTCATTTAATAAAGGATCGATTAGATAAACTAGCTATTGGAGAGCTTTGGGAATGGTTAAGCTAATATACTCACACAATCATAATATATTGTTTTTTTATTTATAATTTTTCTAATGTGAGTTTTTAAGGACATACTGACTGTCCAAGTAAACAGCTTTGAATATCACTATCTCAGATGTCTAAGACTTTTGCACAGTAGTGTTGGTCTCGTCCAGCTTTGCATTGTTACAGGGACTTCAACTCTGTTTAACTTGACCCATTCCTGTTTAGTATTGAATTTCTGTATGAAAGGGTATGTGTGAAAGAGGCTAAAGTGTCCCTAATGAAGAGAAGATTTTGCCTAAGAATACTCTTATAATATGACTTGCTGAACTATTGTTAAAAGCACACACTGAAAATCTTTTGCCCCAAAGGTGGCTTAAACAGCTGAAATGTGTGCTGACATAACGAGGGGATAAAAGGCATGTTGGACGCCATTATTTCCTGTCAGATATTTACGTGTGTAATGACTGTTTCCATTAAAATAAATCTGCTTAGTTTCTACTGAGTTGCTGCAAACCAGATACATGTAAAGTTCTAATTCACTCCATGAAGGACGTGTGTGTTACCTCCAGGTGTGTGAGCGTCAGAGCTCGGAGCAGGTACGCTGAATTCCCGTCCTCAGACACACACGACACCTGAAAGCCGCTGTAGGTTCCAGTTGCAGACACATTTGGCCAGTACTGGTGACACTTCACCTAGAGAACACGTATCGTAAGTCAGTCCAAATGTCAAATGACATAATAAAATCTAGCATTTGAGAAACAAATGCCTGGTTTCAAGATGGCTGCTACTACTGGTTGTAGTTAAGCAATGTTATCTATTAAACTGGATGAAAGTACAATGCGTCACACAGCGTCAGAAACCACACTGGCGAGTCTATTTGAGGTTACTTAACAACTTTAAAAGGTTTGAAGCTGATTAGATTAAATGTGTGGGGAACGCCCAGGGCTTTCTAGGCCTTCAGAGAAGGCCTAATGATTTCTTTAAAATAAAAAATACATAGCTATACATTTTACATACAGATTTCTGTTATTTATTAGTAAATGTTAGTTATTAAATGTTTCTGTTAGTTATTAAATGAACTACTAACATCATTTGCAAGTGACCATGAAATCAACCAATCACGTTTTGATTTCCAATGGGTGGAAGCAATTTCATGAGATCAAGGCCAATAGTCACCAACCCGGACCTGAAAATCTATTTTCCTGCAGAGTCTAGTCTAGTTCCATCCAGAATCTGCCACACTTACTCCAGCAAATTAACTTTTTCAGAAGTCCTTGATTGGCTGGATCAGGTGCATTAGCGGTAGGTGAGGGAGAGTGGAGAGCTGCATGGTAGATGCAGGGAAGTAGATCTTCAGGAAGAGGGTTGATGACCTCTAGACAAGGCTTTCTGGATGCCTTAGTTACTCCAATGACTGAAAATATGAGTGGTTATCTAATCAGTTTGAACTGACTTGACTTTACTGAACAAGTCACTGCAAAACTGCTCTATACAAGGTAAAATATATACAGCTGTATGCAAAAGTTTGAATACCCCTGGTCAAATAAAAGGTGGAAATAAGTGAACACATCCTCTAAAGGAAAAAAAAATAAATATGTGAAGGTCTACAAGGTCTAGTGCCCAATTTAACATATTGAAAAAAATATACAAAATGTGTCAGAACTTTTTCACAGGCCACATCTTATGGTGTAATTTGACCAGGAGCGCTTAAACTTTTGCAAACAACTGTATTAATTAGAATTATCGTAAGGTTTTTTCCCCTTGTATTTTGGCAGTTCATTTATGGCCCAAACTGAAGGCTAGGCCTCGCATTACATTACATTAGCCTTGTAGCTCCTAAACTAGAAACAAAACTAAAGAAGTCAACTTCGGTTACCAAACATGTTCTTGGCTGACTGATTACAATTGAGGGGACGATATAATCGCCCTGCCCGTGTATTTGTCTGTTTGTGTACGGTAGGTGTTCTACGTACTCTGCCACGCTCCACCTGTGTAGTAAGCATGACCACCAGGGCGGCGCTCTGCTCCCAAACCATCTGCCAGAAGTCCCCGCAGGTGCCAGGCAGCGGCCCCTGACATGCTATATAGCGCCTCACCCCACCACCCCCTGGGATTTCCATCTAAGCAGGACAATACAAACATTATCACACAAGACTATAGACAGTACAGACAGCTGGACAAATCATATTACAAATAACCTGGAATCTTCTTTTTTATCTATGCCTCTCATCTCATTTGAAAAAGAGCCATTTGTTTGCATTTGTAAGGTTCTTGGATGACAGTCCTCACATTGATGTAATTTGCATTGATGTAGTCCTCTGCTCCCTTCAGGACGACTCGAGTTGCATCATCTGCACAAATCAGAGAGCTTGTGCTTCAGAATGTTCTAGCAATTTAAACTGCAGATATAGATTTGAGGAAAATATAAATATAATCAGTGCTGCTTATACTTACAGGGCGAGATGTCTCGATAGCGATTTTTGCAGACGTTCTGGGGCAACCTGGCACACGACATGGACATTCCGGGCCTTTTCCGATATAGTTGCTGGACAGATGAAAAGGAGATATTAGAAATCTGGTCAGAAACTTGTAAGCTAACTTTGTCCTCAGTATGGTTTGACAGTTCTTGCTATAGTTCTAATAATTTGCGAGTTTACAGCCTATAAAGTGGTTCTTGTAAAAATAATAAAATGGCTAAAAGTCCCTGTTCATGTTTTGTGAGGGAAGCCATTCCATGCATGGAAGTTTAAGAAGCACGACCACTGGGCTCCCACGTGGTGCAGCAATATAAGCATTGGTTCTATCATCGGGAAATCGGGAGTTCAATCCTTGGCGATGCCACTGCCATCTGTGGCTGGGAGTCTGAGAGAGCATAACTGACCTTGCTTTCTCTGAGTGGGTAAAGCAACTGTCCCCATCACCCAATGCAATGCCACCCAACACAGGTGTCTGTTGATGTAACAGAATAGCTAGATAGCATTCCCCTTGAAACGTGTTGCGCAGTCTTATTACTATTGTTTTGTTATCCAGTCAATCAGAGGAGGACTTTTTGAGTCTTGGTTCCTCTCAATGTTTCTTCCTCTTGCTCTTAAGGTGTTTTTCCTTGCCACTGTTGCCCTTGGCTGACTCATTAGGGGCTTGAACCCAAAATAAAAAATGAATCTTTAAATCAGTTGGAAAAGATGTGGTGGAGATGAGGTTGAGCTTCACACGTCTCAGAGGAATTAGTGCTAGGCTTCAACCTTCCAGCCACCAGCTGTAATAGAGGGAGACCTAACTAGCAGGTGAAATTAGCAATGACAAAACTGAATACAACCACAACAAAAACTACAAGCATAACATGAAAAAAATAATTTACCTCACACTAACATTACACATCAAAGGAAAATGAGTTAAAAGATAACAGATTGTGGGACAAATATAATTAGTATTGTACATCTTAAAGCTGTGGATGTGTTTTCAGACAACTACATCATCCAACTTGACTGACAATCGTGATAGATGGAAACTACTGTCAGTCGGCTTAAGACGATTGCTGTTTAGAATCAAATATCACAGAGCACTGCCAAACTTTCCAGACAGTCTGTACCTAAGTGAGTTTAAACCGAAAAAAGGCTGACACCAGATTTTACCTGAACTAAAGAACAACCCAGAGATGCTCACTAGGATCCTCATGAGGAAAAGTGCTGATGGAAAGCAAATGAGGGCATGTAGAATTGTACTGAAGGTCTACAGAAAAAACTCCCAAATTCCAGTCCGGAAGCCTCCATACACCCACAGTTCAGTGTTTTCCCTGTTCTTCTTGATTTAGCACACCTGGTTTAACCCAGCTGCTAATTTCCGAGCCCTTAATGAGCTGAACCAGCCATGTTACAGAGGGACACAACTTTAGACTGTAGCCCTCAGGCACTGGAGTGTGAGAAACCTGCTAGAGAAACAGCAAACTCAGCAAACAGGAAACACTGGCGCCTGCACCGGAACGACAGGAAATTACATTATGTGAACAAAAAATTAGGTTTACTGCAAGATGAAGGGCTGAGGTCTCACTTAAACTCATAAAGACATAAAAGGCTTTATAGCGACTAGTAGTATAAAACTCCAAATATGCATGTTACTGACTGACTGACTGATCTGTCCATCGAGACCATGAGTCAGTAAATGAATGAGAGAGGAAATGAGTGATTCAGTGGCTGAGCAACTGCTCAAAAACTGCTTTATAGCTCTAATGCAGATACTAATACCAGACATTTAGGAATGGAGTCTCCACAGTCACATCTGACTAGTGCTGAGATATCATTGTGGCTTTGACCGTAAAGGACCATTTGACGGACATGAACTTTTTGCACAAAGTGCAGATAGACTATCTTGCTCTCTTTGGATGTACTGCTTCTGCGCTCTACTGGTGACTCTCTAGCATTTTGCTTCCTAAACAAAACTTTTCCACACGGACACGGTTCGACGTGGAACGCTTAAAAACCAGGATCAGTGCAGTTATTTTGGCACCGTTGCTCTGGGCCACAGAAATGTTTGGTGGGATGATATAATGACATCAAAGCTTCAATCTAACTGTGAAACAGTGCTGATAACCAGTAGAGAGTAGCATGGTTAGCACTAGCTTAGCCAGCTTTCTTCAAGTTCTGCTCACCACAGAACAGGTTTGATTCTGACGAACAAAAACTTTACTGACGCAAGTTTAAATGATAACTCAAATATGAGAAAACGAAGTTGCATGGCTGATGTTAGAGGGACAGAAAGCCGAAATTAAACCTGTGTTTGGAGCTGTGACATTAACTTCCTAACTAAGCTAATGGTAGCCGGCTCCTCTCTCCTAGCTAACTTGGCTTAGCCAAACACAGCAGGACAGGTTTGATTTGACTAACTGGTGCTCTAATATCACAAGTATAGATGATAAAAACTTACAATCGTAAGAGCAAAGTCGACTGACTGGTGTTGGATTGACAGAAAGCTGAAATCAAACCTGTTTTTGTAGTGTGTTAGGCTGTAGCCGCTAGCCTAAGCTAACGCAACTGTACGGTGCCTCCCACTGCAGTACAGACTCGGTTTCAGCTAACTGATGCTCAAAAACACTCTTTTAGAGGATAAAGACTCATATTTGAGAGTGAAAATTCGACTGACTGGTGTAGAAGTGACAGAAATAGAAAAAATAGAATTGTTCTGTGGTGCTTTGAGCTGACGCTACTGCTAACGCAATTGGCCAACTACAGGTTCAACCCAGCACAGGCTGTTTCAGTAACTGATGCTCAAATACAACAAAGAGGATAAAGCATCTGAAAGCACGCCGAGTGACTGGTTTTGGAGAACGGAATCAAACATGCTTTGTCGTAGGTTCTGTGTGTGTAGGTTTTTTCAGTCTTTTCTGGTTCTGATTTAGCAGCACAACAGATGGAAACCGGTCTCCACCTAACCAGTCTCACAAGTCTGGACCAGCACGGGACAACACAGTACGGCCCTGAGAACCAGTGGCTCGACAGTGGAAAAAGTTTCCAGTCGGATGGTCTCATAAAAACGGGTAATTGTCATGCAATTCAGTACCAGTCATTCAATTGGCTTTTCTGTTATAATTTAATTATCAAATTTATCAAATTTGATGAAATATTCATTGCAGCTGTACAAATGTTACAGGCATTATCAGACATATAAGCACTATGTAGATTAATCAGGGTTCGTACTGCACTACCAGATCCAGTCTATATGCATAAAAGTTATCTGCACGCTGCAGCTCTAACTAGGAGTCAGGCAGGCTGTTTGCTCAACTGAGGGTTCATGCTTTTGCAACCCTATAGTTCTGAACCTCATGAATGAATTGCTTTTTAAAATACATTTTAGAAAGCTTATCTCAAAGCTATTTTAACAGTCTCCCAATCATCAGACAGCACATTTCATGTAAAAACGCTCTATGAGGGAGCTTTTAGAGGCATGCTTCAGACATCTGACTCCTATCACCACCACTGTGGACAATTCTAACTCTGTAAGTTTCTCTAGCATTTCACATCAAACCACTCTGAATGATTCTGCTTACATCTCAAGGATCTGTCAGTGGAATTCCCCTTTAATGAGTTCATGAATGAGCATTAACGAATATGCATGTGGGTTAATAAGCCGTTTTGTAACTGTTTATAGTGTGAGTGAGTCAGTGGTGGCATTTCATGAAAACCTAGCATATGGCACGGTGATGTCACATGTAAAGCTAGCATATGCCTCCAATCTAAATACTGCATTGTGTCACAATGTCAAAGTAACAATAGCGTAAAGCCGCATTCAAGTTTATTAATCAAATAATCCAATAAAATAGCTGCCCACAGAAATACATGGAAAATAAATATGCATTTAAATGGAGTTATGGAATAACTGAAGTCTGGGGGGTAGGACCATGCCTGAAGCCCCTCCTCTTTCCAATCTAATGCCCTGTAAATTATTATCTCAACCTTCCGTTTCCCTTGACGAAGATTTCACAATCTCCTGACCAGCTCTGAATTGAACTGGGGTCTCAGCCTTCCAGCTCCAAGCAGATGCTGCCCAGAACTCCAGAGTTCTCCCCCACTACCTCAATCAATCTCCCCCCATCCTACCACATGTTGAAGGCACAGTTCAAACACACAAAATATAATAGACAACTATAACTATTAAAAAATCAGTCAACATACAATCTCCACCAAACCACCTTGATGAGGAGCAGGGTTATCAGGTGCCAGTTTGTAAAAAACACCCCCACACAAAAAGCTCACTTCAATTATTAAAGGATGCTTCCTCCTCCTTCCCAGCTTTAATTGTTTCAAAGTGTTGCAATTAGCTTTTTTATTAAAAAGCTGTCAGGAGATGACTGTTTTCTCTTCATTTTTAAGATTCTGTCTACAGGCATCACTTCAGAAAACAGCCCACCATACATCAATGCAACATGCCCACACGGTTCCATAGCAACCACTTGCAGTGCCCCATGCGTGCTTGTGTTTTAGAAAAGGCTAATTGTTTGAGCGTGGGAAATCTGATCCTAGATCGGCTTTAATGGGTATGTTTTTCCACTTCGCTATAATTTTAGGTCATGGCAACTGCCACACTCTGCCATACGGAAATGCCACGCTTGGAGCGTGTGTTAATGAACGAGTGAAGTAAGAGAACACTGGCTGACTCACGTCGAACTGAGCGAGCACAGAGCCGCTGCTCAGGCCGTCTCTCAGCAGCTGGAAGGAGGATTTCCAGCCGTCCGGCTCAGAGTGGGACCGATCCAACCCACAGCTCTCTGGAATGAAGTGGAACTCTGACTCCAAATCCAGCTTCTCCTCCTCCTCATCCACATCATAGATGGCTGTGAGTGTGTACGAGGGGTGGGGGAGGCCAGAGAGAGAAATAAGGAGAGAGTTTTAGATTATGGCAGCATTTTACAGATTTAAAAAAAAAGTTAATTCAACCATTTGTAAGCAATTACACTTCCTGTGAGTGTGCATAAATTGAGAGGTCATTCAATCATATTCACGACATATTCCCTTTTGCATTTTTGTCTACCACCAATATACAATATACAACCAATATACAAATCTTCACTGTCCAAAAAAAGTCTGTTCAACAAGTATCTCTTTTTTCTACATCATTTGTGCACAGCAGCTGTCATTTACATCGTATGAAAATTTCATGATGAATGCACCAATAGAAATACTCCAAAACTGCTTGGAAAAAATCCTATATCACTCTTTAAATTAACTTACAGTAAAAATGAATACAATTCTTGCCTTCTCCTGTGAAGTTGCCAAAGTTGACAGTTTTTTCTGGACAGCGACTTTAGCATAAAGTATGATAAAGAATAAAGTATGCTGCACCTTTTCCAAATACTCATAATATTCATAAATTGCCAGATTATAATGAATAATGGGTCACACATCTTATTTTAAGGTCTGCTTCTTAACAGTTAATGAACTACTAGCACGCAGTAAATGGAAACTTATACGTAGTAAGCTTAGAAATGTGTTACAACAGCATTTATATGAGGGGTTAATAAGGCGTTCTGTAAATTAGTTATTTATTTTCTGCAAATTAGTTATTAGTTTGTTGACTAATGTGTTAAATGTCAATGAATTGTAATCTTTCAGTTGCAAGCACACTTGAAATGTCTTTATATGGCATGTTAATCATGGAATATAAATAGTTCATAATTACCTGAATACACAATGATCAACTATGTAGTAGCAACTGCTAGTAAACGGTCACATTTCAGTTGCAAGTGTACACATAAGTTATCTGTTCTGAATATGTCTGTATGCTCTGTTAAGCAGACCTCAATCGTCTGACAACTAATTTTACACTGAACAGATTAGTAGGCCACTGTATTACTGTATTTAGCTATGAACTCTGTGACCTAATGTCCATTCTTAACAGTGTAATTTACAGGAAGTTTCTGTAAAAATGAAATTATGATCTCATAATTCCCTGACACCTCTACAAAATAAAAATGGGGAACTAAGGACATTACTTCAAATTCTGCATCATCAAATAACTGAAAGTTTGTAATTTGTTAGCTTTTAACTCAGTAGTCAACAAACACTCAATAACTCATTTACAGAAGACTTTATTCAGACATCATATAAATGCGTTTCTAAGCTTGCTTACAATGTATGTTTCAATTTACCAGGCCATTGTTAATTGCTTGCTCAGTTTTTCAGAAGAAGTGTCACTGAATAATATACTAAAATTAGCTCAGGTTCAGACTGATAACCTATATCCTACTAATTGAACAGTTATATTCACTGAAATAGCAGCCTATTGATATGTAATGAGAATGAAGCAGATTGGTTGATTGTCCTCACCATTGGGTCTGACTAGAAGAATGAGCTCTCCTGATTGGTTCTCGCAGCTGGCTTTGATTAGCATAACCACGTCATCGTGTGTGTAATCAGAGATGTCTCTCCCATTGATCAGCACCACCTGGTCACCCTCGTTAAGACGTGGCACGCACAGGTCAGCCTGAGGGAGGTTAAAAGTCACAGAATCATATGAGCAAACAGTTGTAAGACCTTCACAGCACTGCAACTTCAACTGAACAACTGATGATATGAACAGGACTGCTTGTAGCAATAACAACACTTGGCAGACACTTTGTCATCAGCAGTTTTTACATACAACACTGAGCTGCAGGACTTGAACCTACCGCAGTTCCAGGAGCCACACGGGACACAATGATTGGCATTCTTTGATCAGCACCACCCTGTGGAGGGATAAGGAGACAGAAATGACGACAGAAGTGACCACAGATACTTTCGGATACTTGCGTATTTTCAGACACTTCAATATTTTCTTAAAGGTTTTGGTGCAAACAGGAACACACCTTGACGTTAAATCCAAAACGACCATTTTCATCTGGTTTCATTTTAATCAGGACAAGGTTGTCGTGTGGAACTGCACCATTCTGCTGAGGGAGGAGAATTAATCACATATATGCATACACAGTGATCCTCCTATGTACAGTACAGTACACTGTGTGTTTGTAGTTTAATTTTCAGTACAGTACAGAAACCACAAAACGCTAAAATGACAAACAACAAATGAAAGCAGGGATGCACCAAAAATGTTTTTTGGTCGAAAAGTAAAAGACTAAGTAGGTCTGCTATGAAGTGTTGAAATTGGACACTGCCTAACATCTGACACGGTCCACTGAAGCTGGTAATAAACTTTTTACATTTTGGAAAAATGAAGCATTTCAAATCAAACCACTCTGAATGACTTTATTTGCATCTTAATGATTTATTCATGTAGAAATTCTGAAAAAATCCAGGATGTAATGGCATGTAGTCTGAGTGAGTCAGTGGTGGCATTTTAGAAAAACCTAGCATATGGCAGGATGATGTCATATTTTATCTATAGTTAGCTTATGTCTCCAGTCTACTATTGCATCATACCACAGTGTCGAGAGTAACAGCAGTGTGAAACCACAGTCAAACCTATTAACCAACACAAGCACGTGGATTTGTTAGATCCCACTGAGGTTTATGGCTGTTTCTTCTCTAAATGACAAACACTACAGTGACTTGCATTCTAACAAAGGATCTGAAGGAACTTCAGACTGATAGACAGAAGTTTCAAAGCACATCCACGTGCTTAACATATTTAAAAACAAAAAAAAAAACAAGTTTTCCTTTGTTATAGCTATAATTTTTGTTAAAGCTGGAATTCAGATGTCACTGGGAAACCATGCTGTATTATATTTTTATAATTTTACATCCTCTAATATTTAATATTATTTAATATGCTATTTAGAATTAAATTAGTACTCTGGCTCTCCAGTTCTCTTCCCCAACATGGCAAGTATTGCCTTTGAAGCATGTCAGCATTACGATTTTGGCTTCCAACAATTATGAAAAGAAGATAATCAAGATTAAATGATTTTTGTGCCACATTCCATTTGGCAATGATGTCCTTGTTCTATCTTTTGTTATAAATCCAGTGCAATTTTTTTATTTATTTTTTATTTATTTCTCAGTTAAATTATACTTCAAGGTTAAGGAAATCCATTTTCAATAAGAAGAATAAGTTTTTATAAAAAGTTTAATAAATGCATGATGTTTTTAAAGTTAATTAGTAATCGTGTTAAATAACCGTGATCTCAGTATTGACCAAATCAATTGTGATTATGATTTTTGCCACAATTGAGCAGCTCTAATCAACATTATTACGCTGAAATAACATATAAAAGAACGCTTTCTTTTGTTTTTTTGACTGTGTCCATCGGGAATTTTCATTCTGGTGCACTACTAAAACTAGCCTTTTCTGGGCAAAGCACTATTTATGAGTGAGGATGTCTCACCATGCTCTTGTCTGACACCACTGGCACATCATATAGTTCAGATGCATGGTCATCCAGCTCCGATTCAGATCGTGATTGGGAGATGTGGCTGACAAGGTTCTTCCTGGACTGCTTCGGGGGAAGTGCAGGTGGCTGGCCATCTGCAGCGCTGTCTGGAGACCTGCAGAGCAGTGAAACGGAAATAAATGCAACAAGGGTGATGCATGTGGGCCAATGCAACTTAATACTATGTCAAGCAGATAAACAACAACAACAACAGCACTTGTTCTGTGCCTTTTGTGACATAATTCTGGAGGTCACTCTAAGCTAATATTATCTTTTAACACTAGATAAGCATCCTTCCTTTGAGCTATCCAAGTACCACAAAAATTTGACCTGAAATCAAAATTGACAGTTTTTACATTGTTAGCTCATGCCCTTAATGTTATATGAATAATCATACCACATCATTTAAGACAAAACTGTTTCTCTATAACCTTTGATTGAAGTATAGTGTCCTTTGCTAGCCTTGAAAACATCTTCTGATGTGCAGCAGTGGAAAAAAGTAAAAATAACCAGTAATATCATGTTTAACCCCCCCATCCACCCCCACCTAAAACTGAACGTCACGCTTAACGTGTCCTACCTGAAATACGGAAGTAAAATATGTTGCAATGTTCGATTCATGTTGGCTTTAACGGTTGTAAAACCAAAGGAAAAAAAATCTCTTAACGGTAAAATCTGAGCAAATAAGAGAACTGTGATAAATCACAATTAAATACACAAAAATGGGATTAATAGGAATTAATTATTTCAATTGTTTGAGCCCTAGTGATGAATCAAGCCCTGAAAAAAACAAGGTCCACTAAACTGGAAAGCTTTTACTAGAACTACAGCAGCTTGGAGGAACAAACTTACTGGGTGGAGTCTAGACTGAAACCATAACTAGTGACACACTAAAATGAAATTTCTTAAGTGAAACCAAAACTGAAATAAGTCAAATACGAAAAGAAGTGGTCTTTCTGTAGACAATCCGCAGTTTCACTTATGCTTTTGAATGAACTTAATAATGTAGATGATGCTTCAAAGTTAATTTTTTTTTTAAGTTTACTTTAATTTTTAACAGCTTGTTAATTAATATTAAATTTTAAAGGGAAAATTACATAAATATAGTAATTCATGGCTTCCCCAAGGCATCTACAGCCCAGGGTGCCTCCTACATAACAGCACATGTGAACACAGTAACAGCTTTCAAAATAAGACGTAAAAAACATTATCATCAAAAGATATTCAGTTACTTAGTAGTATTATTATTTATGTGACTGCCTTTAAAGCTGCAGCTGCAGTTGACCATTTCACTGATGAGCTTCTCTGTTGATCTGCTGCGGTTCAAATTATTTGAATGTGTCTGTGCAGACCAGCACAGGAAAGCGAAGGAAACAAACAGTAGTATTAATCATTATTTTTCATTTTCATTACCATTCAAATGACCATTTGAGTAAGATTCTGACACTTCACTGTACACCTATTTTAATCTTTTGGCCTTTTTCTTTCCGCAGCAGCATGCCACTTTCGTCCATTTTTGGACAAAAAATTTCAGTGGCCGAAATTTTGGTGCATCACTGTAACATACCAAAAGGAATTTAACATAATGGTTATCAGTCATAGTTTCACATGATCTACATAATCAGAATTACCACTGAAAGATACAAAAATGCATTTGACAGTTTTAGCTAATTAGATGTGGAGGAGCTAATACAGCTACTTTGGCACAGAAAACACAATTTCAAATTATTATTGTGAACGGTTTGTGAGCTGTACTTGGACGTGGGCGTGTTGGGATGTGTTTAGATGCAGCTTTGTCCGTTGCTTCCTGAACAGGAGAGATAGCACACGCTGCCAGTAGCCCTCCAGCCCTCCTACAGTTACAGTTCATCCTCACATACACACACATGCTTGTCCTTTCTATTTATCCTCTCATTCCTCCCGTCACAGCGCGCACACACACACACACAACACAGGCACACGTACAGCCCTCCACGGTGTATTCAGGGTAAACTTTACTGGCACTAACAGGGATCACAGTTCACGCTAATTCTGTTTATGAAACATACCAGCACGGGACTCCAGCTCAACTGCAAGACTACACATCAAACAACTCATCAGGTTCTAGAGGTCGGATCTGAGCCACTACAACTAAGCCAATTGCGTATTTTTGATAAGCCAAACTGAACAAGTTATGCTGAAACCTATGACAAGTTTTATGCTATGTAATGCTAATCTCCTGCATCAGCACAAGGGTTGTAATATATGCAAATTTCACAGCGTGATACATACTGTCATTTTTGAATCACAATACATTTTCGATACAGAATTACAAAAAAAAATGCTAACATTTATTTTTGTATTTATGTATTTTCGGTCATTCCCAAATGTTTTTTCCCACTGTGGTCTCTCACTGTTGAGTCAACAGTGCTTGTTAATGTAAATAAAAAATATATAAACAAAAGCGCAATATCTATATGAAATTAAAAAATAAGGTAAACTATAAGGCTACATCTCAATAATAAAGGCATTACAAGTTTATTTACAATCTGATATAGTATTCTTGTATTTCTATATAAAGTAGGTTCTGACATTCTGGCTGAAAAGAGTGAGAGGGGATTTTCTCACATGGCTTAATCACTCCAAGCAAACTGCGGGACCCACAACTGAATAGAGGTGGAGTCTATATCCAAATAGTAGCTGCTGAGACTTGTGGAGGCTGAATTTGGCTGCTTCCTATTCTCCAGCTTCTTATTGGAATTTTCCATTCCACCTTAAATGGAGCAGCAGTAACATGTAACTGCTGTTCAATTTAAGGTGGAACAGAAGACACGAATACGAAGCTGTCTGACTTCGAATTTTTGGGCTAGTTTCAGCTTCTGGTGGGTTTTGAGCATAACATTGGAATGGAGATTTTTGCTAGACCTGTTTCGTTAAAATGGTGCTTTGCATTAATGACACCATGTCCTTTTTTTTTTCAAAAGTAAACTGTTTAAGAAGGAACAGCAGGTAAAATTAAAGCACTGATAAAAGACAATGTCATAACGTCATCCAGCTCAATCAACTCCAATCAAATACTTATTACATCCAATCAGTTACTTGCGACTATGCAGTTTATGAAGTTACTATACACTATTGTTGATTACAGGCTGTCTATAAATGGTCTTTTTGTGATACACACAGTTGATCAGTGTTGTAGAAGCATTGATGATAGCCATAATGTACTCAGACAAGTGTATCTTGATGCAATTTATCGTGATAATGATAATATACTGTTATATCGTCCACCCCTAAATGAAGCATCATCCAAGAGACTGGATCCAAGCTTTAGCCCACCATTGGAAAGACGTAGCCTAAGCAACAGCTTGGTGAAGAGGTGGGGGCGTTCCACTGTGTATCTGCTGGCTGCGTTCACTTAAGATTCCCCACAATGCATCTGACTATAGAATATTAGCATAACAGGCGGAGAGCATTAACTCTTGTGCCTTTAGCAAAAAGAATGGAACAGAGTCTGGCCTTGCTCTGCCGAAACACACACATACACAGCCTCATTACGAATGCTCAGATTACAAGCATGAAAGCAGCCCTGCTCAGCAGTCCACAGACAGCGCTAAGCGCTCCAGCCTCCAGGTCATTTACATAAGAAAAACAAATGCCACCAAAAAAAAAAAAACCTCAACAAAAAAAAGATGCAATGAGAGGAGCAAGAAGGCAAGAAATAATCCAACACTGCAGGCTGGGACCAAGAGATACAGGCCTGAGTGAAAGTAGCAGGTAAAAGACCCTTAGTCAAAAAAGCACACATCAGAAAGAAGGTGAGGAAGTTCACTAGACGCTCACGTCTGTCAGAATGACTGAGGCTGATGGTGTCGGATAAAATGCATCATTCAACTGATGCAAAGCACTGATGTACACTATATCAGCAGGAAGGGTGGACGACAGGGTTGGGCTGTATAACAGTATAACCCTGACATCCGGGTGTTATTTCAGCATCAGTCAGCTGGAAGCCTGTGCTGCTGTGTCACATTAAGGCTGTGTTTTTCACTGTATTTGCATAGATTTATTGCAATAAAACTTAAAATAATTTACTGAAATATGATGTGACTAGGCTGGTAACTTTAGCTGAGGTGAAAACAGATGACTTGTCTGTTCATCTCAAAAGACAGAATAGCGGCTCACCACACCATCTACAATGTATTTGTGGTTTAGGTTAATACAGTACAGCAATAGTGAGGTGCTGAGTGGCGTCACCGTTTCTGATGAGATCCGGAGTGTGGTAGAGTGTAGCCTTAAGTGTCCTACACATTTGTTAAAACACTTTTTTTGAACAATGCTTTACAATCTGAATGGCAAAGCTGAACGAAATGACTGATAACGTTGACAATAAAAACTTGCTGGCAACAAATCACATTATTGATTAGTTGGCTTCATGACGTTTGCCCTTCACATTTACATCATGTGACTGAAAGAGGGCAATACAGATAGCAGAGATGCGAACGACCCAAAAAATAAAAAACTATGAAAACACATCACTAAAGTCTTCTAAAAAGATGGTTTCCTGTGTCATATGTTAAACTGAGCTCGGTGGGCAGTAAGACCTTCAGGCGTGAGTATGTGAGAGAACGTGCACTGCATTTACGGCGGAAACTCGCCGTGGTGAGATACTACTATCTAAGTCAAAAGTGAAAAAAACAGCGCATCACTCTGCTTTTCAGCTGGTTATGTTTTAGCTTCGCAGACAGAATAAGCAGTATTTATAATATTTTTGTTTTTTGAAACTTGTCAAATGAAACAATAGTGCCAAACTAATATCTGCAAGTTTTCATTTCCCAACTAATTGATTAATCCAACTAAGTGATTATGAAAGTATTCCTAGACTGAAATGTTCATTCTTTAACTGTAGATCTACAAATCTCTACAGTAAGTGGACTTGATAAAATGGACAGCGAGTGTTAATATGACACATAACATCTTATTTGTTTCTATCATACACACACCGCACTTGATATATATATATATTATGGTGTGAACTTTTTAATGCAAAGTAGTAATTCGGCCACAACAGCATCTTAAATGCTGGTTTTAATTACAAGATCAATAATTCCCTAATAACAAGGGTCTTTGCTGAGAAACTAAGGCCCGATCCCATTTCTTATTTTTACCCCTTGTTTTTGAAAAGTCATCTTGCCCCTTGAAACTGAGTCACAGTGGGTAGTGGTTGAAATCTTCCCCTATGAAATGGAACAACCCTTAAATAAAAAGAACATTACTTCATTACCAGGCTACTAGCGGTGCTCTGTAGGCGACTCTGCCAGTCTGCAGTGACAGCAGAGGAGGGTAAAGTTCAGCAACCTCACTGCTGGTCTTAAGTTACATTTAGAGCATCATATGCCTTCAAAGAGGGGTGGATATGATAATTATTTATTATCGCCCACCCCTAATTCTTTGGTGATATGGAGCTAAAGTCAGCTGTTTGCCAGCTTCTTGTTCGAATTTTCCTGTTCCACCTTAAATGGAGCAGCAGTTTCAGGCGTCCATATTGCCGGACTATTTAAGGTGGAACGGGAAATTTAGGTAGCTAGCTAGCTACCGAGACATTAGCATACTATTAGCGAATGTTTATGCTTGTTATGAAGAATAGGACCAGAATACATTGAAATGACATTAAACTAAGATAAAACATTGGTTATCGTAATTTGTTAACGGAGAAAATACTCACATTTCTTATTTGCAATGTAATGTATTAGAAGAAAACAAGATATAAAACATAAAATGTGCCATGACTTTTACACACAACACATTTTACATTTTATTTTTTCTCCAACATGTGACAACAAATAAACAGTAAAAGTGCATTAAAATGTGCAGAGGTGTGTTGTCTCTAGAAGACACTTTGAAAATCCACTAAACATGTATTTTGACCAGAAACATGTATTTTGACTGTTCAAACATTTGCATACAACTGTACATTTAAACCCTCAACAAGTACTCCTCCTTTTTTATGGTTATGCATCAGCAGCTTCACCCAGATGCTTGTTTACAACATCCTGTGGTTTTCTTCTGTACGTACAAAACTAGCCCTGCCAAAAACTAATATATCTGCACACTTTAATGTAGCATGTGATGAAATCTGTAGTTTGGAAGGGGATATTAATATGCAATTTGGACTTCACAAGCACATTCTTTGGTATGTTTGTCATCTCAAAACTACAAACAAGCAGACAGACTTCACAGCTTCTATCTCACCCACCAGCCCGCTATTACGACCAAACAGCGTTAACCACACAAAGCTGAAGGTGATTTCCCTTCCTTGCTCAAAAGCTGACAAGCCTAGCTCGCAGGTATGTGGTCAGAAACAGCAGAAAACCACAGCTCACACCAGCAAATGTTTCCACCTAATGTGTACCACTCGAAGCTAAAATAAGCACACACAGCAAATGCCAACAACATCTCTTACATTGTGGAAACTCTCATGACTCAAAAAATGCACTCAGTGTTACACTGTTAGGTACATGTACACGTACACCCTCCATAACTGACACATTTCAATATAATGTTATCATTCAGATCTTATCATGTTTACATAGAGACAACTTGAAAACAAAAACTGGTTCAATACTATAAGGTGGTGTCTCAAATTAAAACCTTTTAACAGGAGTGGATGAAAATCTGCCTTGTTAATAGCTAATGTGTCCATTTTCAGATTATTAGAGCATTCAACACTACAAAAGTACAATATTTGTAAGCGTTTAAGCTAATATACGCTTATGAGGAGTGTGCTTTCCCTCCCTGCTCTCGATTTTGAGGTAAAGAGGAAGCGATATTTTCAGAGGAGGGAGGGTTTGCCCTCATTGTGGGCTTGCTTGTTTAATTTTTACTATACTTCTTCCATATAATCAGTATTACTGGTTACTTTTAGTGGTATATTTGTTCCAGTCCGCTGAATGTATTGTTTGATACCTGATGACTGAATAAAGAAACTCATACTGAATGATTCAAATGACTGACTGTATTGTTACACTCTTATTACATATGTATTATATTATGATCAATAATATAATATTTAAAAATGTATGAAGTCAGGCCTTACTGAAGCATTCACTGTAAATAGTCTGTTACAAGCCTCAAGTGCTTCAAATGTCTGTGTTCAAACTGGCCTAAAGTAGTTCAAAACTGTGTGTGGTGAATGAACACCCCCGCTAGCTGGGCACTAACCCTGAAATGTAAATATCACTAGCAGAAATTAGCATTATTGTAAAGGTGGTACTCAGGCTTCTTATAAAGGGCAGATATCTACAGTAATGGCTGCTGTATAATAATATGTGTGGGTGTGAGAAAGTCATGAACTTACTGGCTCAAGGCAGCATTAAAATGGCATTAACCCCTAATATTCTCTGGCTTATTACATACTTATGCTTATTATTCAGTAACTACAGGGACTTCAATGCAAACTAGTTGAGCTGTTCTTAGTTTATTAAAGTGTATAATAAAAGTTTGGGCCTGCCAGTTGGCCCTGGCTATTTAAGGGGTTAAAAATGACCTAAAATAAATGTAACTGAATTTGCTGATACCTGCAGATACCCTGTTAACATATTTCATATTCTCTCTCACAAAACAGAGCCTGATGGAAATACATTTTTTAACCATGTTTTAAGTGTTTACGTATTTTTAACAGCTCCTTTTTTATCCTTTTCAGTACAGCATTTTGGAATTGTTGAAAGGCTCGGCATAGTATGTTATTGTTTATTTAAACCTATTTATTACTGTTTGACCTCAGAAATAAAAGATAGCTTGATTAATTATCAACAAAATAATAGCTAGATTCCTCACTAATCATCAACAGTTATAGCCCTAATACGCTTATACTACAAAGACATACACATATACACTATATGGACAAAAGTATTGGGACTCCTCTCTTAATTACTAAGTTCAGGTGATTCAGCCACACCCATTGCTAACAGGTGGATAAAATTAGGCACATAGCCTTGATAGGCGAACACTGGCAGTAGTATTGGTCGTACTGAAGAGCTCAGTGACTTTAAACATGACATTGTTATAGGAAGCCACCTCTGCCACAAGTCAGTGTAAAAAACCTCTGCTAGATCTGCCCCTGCCAACTGTAAGTTCTATACAGTGAAATAAAAGCACTTAGTAGCAACAACAGCCATAAAGCAATATGGTCCATAAAGGCATGGTTGGGTGAGTTTGGTGTGGAAGAACCTGACTGGCCTGCACAGAGGCCTGACCTCAAACCCATTGAACAGCTTTGGGATGAACAAGAAAGGAGGTTGTGAGCCCTCTCACCCAACATCAGGGTCTGACCTCACAAATGCTCTTCTGGATAAATGAGCCAAAATTCCCACAGACACTCTCCAAAATTTTGTACAAAGCTTCCCAGAAGAGAAGAAGCTGTAATAGCTGCAAAGGGGGGACCAACTCCATATTAATGCCAATGGATTTAGAATGGGATGTCATAAAAGCTCTATAGACACTCCAGCATTATTGGCACTCCGGAGAAACTCAGGACTTTTATGTTTGCAAAGGGACAATGCATGAATATTACTTTGACTAATTTTACCTCACTGAAGGGTTAGATTTCTCTCATATTTTCAATGTAAGATCAAGATGAAATAAAAAGATATTTTTCTCTATAACCTTTTCTGATTATTTCTTGTCAATAATTCTGGAAAGCACTGTAACAAAGAACATGAGCATGATACTGACTAACACTAGCTTAGTCTCTTCAGTTTAAACTATAATATCTACAAAATGTAGATGAAAAAAAACATTTATATACTTAATAATAATTTAACATTTAAACTCACAATAGCCAGTTCTCCTCTTTTACGTACTGCCTGACTAACCCACTATGAAAAACATGAGAAATATCACGCCTCCAGCTCAGAGGGTCACACTTACGGGGTGGAGTCCAGACTGATGCTGTTAGCTTGCGTAGAAGATGCAGACTTATGGTTGGCAAAGGCTTGACATGGTGAGTCATCGATCACATGATCTACCAGGTGGCCGATGGAGGACGGCCGCACTCGAGTGCCATCCGGGGTGAATATGGAACTGCTGGAGACAGAGGATAATGACACTTCAACATGTATGTGTCGAACTGGGTCTGAATGCGTGTGCAGGTATGCATCTATGTGTGTGTGTGTAAAAATTAAATTGAGAGTTTTCATGTGTGTGTGTTTGTTTTCATATATTTTCAGAAAAAAAGTGAGAAAGCCAGAGAAAAACCTACAATGACCTACAATGCCAGGGACAATAAAATGTTTGTGACTTTCTGACATTTCTTTTTGGTTTGTGTATGTCAATGTGTGCCCAGTATTACCTGTAGTTTTCACTCAATACCTAGTTTGGCTAATCAGTGCTTCATTATGTTAATTCAAGTATACTGGTGATGGAATTGAACAAATCCATGAAATGGCTGGGGGTCTTGAGGAGACAACTTCTCAAACTAGCTCAAAAACTACTTTTTTGCTTTTTCCAATATTTATGTTTATTGTTAGTCATTCAAATGCTATATGATGCATTAACAAGCAACACACACCTAAAACCAAGATGAAAGGTCTTAAATAATGTGCTTAGGTGCACACATGTTTGCACAGTAATGTATTTAATACATATGGTACACAATATTTGGGTAACTGCATTTAGATAATTACATACATTCAATACGTATCGGGCCAATTATTACTACATACAGGCACTCGCACTTATGGAATACAAGGCACATAATGTTACATGTTACATATACTTACATAGATTTACAACACATTTGGCACATATTATGTCCATACACACACACACACACACAAACATATATATATATATGTATATATATATATATATATATATATATATATATATATATATATATATATGTATATATATATGTATATTAGGGGTGTGGGAAAAACTGGATTCTTAGATGCATCGCGATGCAGACGTGAACGATTCTGAATCGATTCACAAATGTCAAAAATCGATTTTCTAAATATTTAATTTATACCGTAATGTTGACGGAACGCAAAAGGCGGAGCTTGGAAGTGCGCAAGTGCAGCGCCCGGACAGTCTGTGGCGGCACATAACAAAAACACAAGTGGATGAGTGAGAAATCCGACCGGCTCCCTCGGTGCTATGTGACCTGCTGTCTGCTGTCTGTTCTCGGCCGTTGAGAACCAGGACTTTCGCGCTATGCTGCACACTTTGGAGCCGAGATTCAGTGTCCAGTCTCGAAACCCCCCCCCCTCTCTACAACGAGACCAAAACCGAAGTTTTAAGATCACTAAAGAAAACGGGCAGGATGGCTGTAACGTGCTGCGTGGACACCCATTACCACTGGATCTTATTTCAGGATAACAGCGCATTTTATCGCAGATGAGTGGCAGCAGCGTCTCTGAATGAGAGCCTTCTAGTTCACTTGCCACATCACTTCCATTTGATTTATTAATAAAAGATATTTTAGATAATTAAAGCAAAGTATTTGTAATGATCCATAATGCATTTACATTATGGATCATTACAAATACTTTGCTTTAAAACTACCAAGTCCTCAGACAGTAGGAAGATAGAGATCCTGTATAGAGAAAAAAGATGCATCAAGATGCATCGATAATCGTTTTATAATCGCATCGCAGCCTCTGAATCGTAATCGAATCGAATCGTGAGGTGCCTAAAGATTCCCACCCCTAATATATGTATATATATATATATATATATATATATATATATATATATGTGTGTGTGTGTGTGTGTGTTTATACAAATATATATATCATCATCATAATCATCGTCGTTAACCGCTTAGTCCAGCTAGGGTCGCGGTTATATATATAGATAACCGCGACCCTAGCTGGACTAAGCGGTTAATGACGATGATGATGATATATATATATATATATATATATATATATATATATATATATATATATATACATACATACATAGAAGACATATGCATGCTCCACACACTGCTCCAAATCAGTGTACATGTGTGTGCATGTGTGAGAACTCACTGGTTGGGGGATCCTGGTGGAGAGCGGTTGGGTAAACTCTGTGTCTCCAGTCGGTCATCTGAGAGCGAGTTCCTACTGACCGTCTCCCAGTCCATTCCACTCACCAGTCTCCTAACCAGGGGCTTGCTGGGTGACCTGAGGTCAGAGTTACACCAGAACACACTCATCAATAAAATTAAACAAACTGGCCTCAGTAAGGCAGCATATACCTCTCATACTCAGTTACGAAGGCCGAATTTTTGTTTTTGTTTTTATCCTTTGCAGTGGTTAATTGGATATCTGTTCATTAACTTTTGCAGATACTGGAATATAAAACTGCCCATCCCTGGTTAGGAGTCTCGCCTTATTGGCAGATTGTAATACTCCTGATTCCAGTCTGAATGGTGGGATTGAAATCCCTTCTCCTGCATTCTGTTCTTAACCCCCTTAAATCCCAGTCTTATTACATTCTAAGGCTTATCGTTCAGTAACTGCAGTGACTTCAATGCAAACTGGCTGAGCTCTTCTTAGGGTATAGAAGTGTGTAATAAAACCTGGCCTTGTAAGGGGTTCATTAAAACGGAGGCTAAGGCTGAGCAAACCCTCAAGGGCCATGGATGAATTTGCATGATTTTTAACTCTTTTTTTCTGTTATGATAAGTTCCTTTCATTTTTTTCTCAAGATCTTTGAAATATGTATTTCATTATAATGACTTAATCTAGATAATCTAGATAAAGTTATTTAAATCATTATTATTATGTCATTATTGTGACATAGCAAATGATATAAATAGCTATTTATATCATCATGACATAAACATTTATTGAGATAACATTCGTTATGTCATGATAATGGCATTAGCATCTCGAGATCTCAAGAAAACAACATTTATGTTGTCATAACTATATAAATAACTCGAGATCTTGAGAAAAGAAATGAAAATAACTTATCATGGAAAAACTGCAAATCCATGGTCCTTTAGTGATTCTGTACAAGATAGAAATCCACCTTGCAGAATGTGATCAAAGTCTGTTTTAGTATAAGTATTAGATTAAATGTTAAACTCCAAATATTGCAATACTACACTGTATCGATTTTTTCCTCCACCACTATCAGTTACCAACCATAACCACACCCACCAAACTGCCAGATCAGCTGTGGGGGATATTCCCTAAACCAACCTGTTTTGAACCTAGGTTTAGGCCTTGCTCTATGCTGGAACTTCCAAAAAAATTAAAAATTTAAAGAAGCATAAAAAAAAAAAAAAAAAAAGCTAAAGCAGCTAGCTAAAATGTTCTCCTAACTAAATGGATATCTCCTAATGGAAATAGACAAAACTACACCAACAAAGCTCAAACTAAAACCAATTCTCTGCTAAAACATTCTTGTCAATTACATGGAAATCAATACAGTAGAAAACAATCTTTATAGACAAACAAGCAAACTGAAAAGATACCTGGTAGCAGCATAGTGTGAAAGCCTTAGTCTCAGCTTTAGTCCCAACATCATTCGCTATGGTGAATCAAACAGTAAACTCTGTTCTAAAAACAAGGGGGAGTGTCTTCTTACCACACACACACACACACACACACACCAGCCCGGGTGACACTTCCTGTGTTTAGGCGTATCTTTCTCAGAATATTCAACCACACACGCGCATGGAAAACAGCTCGAGGAGGAGGACCACACCTCTTACCCCCATGCAACGTTAGCCATTTTCTTTTTGCCTCTCCACCTGACTGTAAGTGCCTCCATATGAAACTGTGATTTACTGTAAATATAAACGCATCGCAAATTCCATCCTCACTCACTCTTTAGAACAATAGTCTGGCAAAGACTACTGAGCAGTCTGAGGTGAGTGTATGATGATTTAGCTGTTTGCATGACATTAACTGCACTGTTAATCTGTGTTAGCAGAGCACAAAATAACTCAAGTAATCAGTTTCTTTGGTATGTTTGAGTTTATAAACTCAGAAGCCAGAAGTTTATAGAACTTACAGCTTCAGGTTTAGTTACACTTGTTCACTCATCTTACCAAATGCCACATGACAAGGCCCAAAACATACTGCCTTGTGAGAGGTACTTTCCACATATTTCAGTTTCCTTCTCTTTATAATTTGGCCATCACCAAAAATAAGGATTTCTGTAGTTTTGTCATGAACTTGAGGATTGAGGAATCGGGTCAAATCAAGCTCCAGCTGTTAGCCTTGTCTTAAGGTCGCAGAAAGCAAAAAAAAATATGGCAGTGCCATTTTCTATTACTCTGTTTTCTTATTTCATGACTATGATATTGATTTGAACAGGACTACTATTATTGAGGGAGCTCTGGGTTCAGTGAATCATAGAAGTCGCTCTGGAATTATTACTTACAGATCAGTAAAAACTCTGGACATGGCTGATTCATAATGGATTAAAGACTGGACTCTGAATGGCGAGTAGTACAAGCTAATGGTCATTTTAACTAGAGGTTTTACTATATTCTGCAGCTAATGTTGGAGAACTCAAGCTTTGATCTTCACAGACATATTGTGTCCGATATTTGAATGCTCAGCACTAACTTTATACCTGTAACTTATAGCTAGCTAGCAAACTGTTGGAACGTGCTTCTGAAACGGAGGTCCCGCAAGCTTATGAGACGTTCATATATTAAGTAACTTTAAAAACCTCGAAACAGAGAAGACCAACGTTGTTCTTTCTCTGCCAGTTCATAGTAAAACCATTAAAAAATCTACAGGTAGGAAAATAATGAAAACAAGTCGAGAGGGGCTTTACAAGTAATTACAACTGAAAATTACATGAGCGACTACAGACTAAATACTTTGTGGTAACTGATTACTGGACTACTTGACAGGTAACAAACAAATGGCTTTACAGTTACCAGAATTAACCATTTCATTGGATCCCATTGGTTTTGTATACTTGTGCCAGTCCAGTAAGAAGCTGTTCAGAGGCCATAATAAATTGTTTACCTTTGTATTAGCAACAAATGCTTACCTGATAAACCTGAACATAAAACACCCATAAAATTACAATGCATCCAAACCCATCTTTTAGCATGACCATAAGGTTGTGTCCGAAAAATGAACTTTATTTGAAAACAACTGATAAAAAATAAGACAACTAATATTTAATTAACATGAAGCTCCATTATAAAATCATGCTGCTACTAAAGTTTTCAGTTTCATGAATTTAAAAAGCAATAAACTGTTGAACACACCTTAGGTTTTCTTTACTGATTCCACTTAAGGAATTTCAACTCTCGGCTTTACAGTGTGGCAGGAAGCTTCCATTACTCGTTAGCTACATTAGCATTGTAGCTACAGTGAAAAACTACAGAAGGAAACTTCAGACACCAAACATGTCTTAACTGATCATCCACATGTGGAGCAAGGAGAAAACTGTGTAAAAGGAATTTTTTTCAGAACTATTCCTTTTAAGTTTGTCCTTTGTTATTAAAAAAACACACAAACAAACAAAAACCTGTGGGGATGTCAGTGGCTTCAGGGTGATTTGGTGGACAAAGACTATAAATCCAAAATATGGGGCAATATGTGAAATGCAAATACAAAGCACAAAGATATTTAATGTTTTTTTAACTTAACTGTTAATTGTTGTTGTTTAATCAACTTAACTGTTGTCCATAAATATATGTTCATTCTGAAATTGATGCCGGCAATTTAAGACTAAGAATATTGTCAACTGTTTTTGAACATTTTGAAAGAGGTAATGTAATCAAATATAATATAAAAATAATCAAAACAAATAACAAAATATAATCAAAAGATTAGAGAATCTGGAAAAATCTCTGGACCTAAAAGGTGTGTCTGTGAACTCTGATCCTTCAGACAGCACTGCATTAACTTTGATGGATATCATCGCATGGGCTCGGAAATACTTTGACAAAGCATTGTGAAAGAATTTTTTGTCGCTGCAGTTACAAATGCAAGCTAAGACTGCACTATGCACAGTGGAAGCCATGTCAACAACATTCAAAAACACTGCCAACTTCTCTGGGCTCGAGCTAATCTTAAATGGACTGATGCACAGTGGACCATGTACTGCGATCTGACGAGTCAAAGAGTAAAGAATCATCCAGATTGTTACCAGCGTAAAGTTCTAAATCTAGGGTCTGTCACAGTTTGGGCAGGTGGTTGGGGTATTAGGGGGTAACTTGCACATCTGTTAAGGACCAATAACACTGAAAGATATACAAATTTCGGGGGAACAAATGTTGCCTTTTAGATGCCATGGACATCCGTGCTTATTTCAACGTGATGATGCCAAGAAACATCCTGCACATGTTACAACAGCATGGCTGTGTAACCAGAGTGTGGGGGCCAAACTGGCCTGCCTTTCTCCTAATGAAAATGTGAGGCACATTATGAACTGCAAAATACAAAAACAAAGGCCTTGTATTGTTGCACAGGTGAAAACATGTATAACTAAAGAATGGCAAAAAATTAATCTTTCAAACTGGATCATTTGGTGTTTTCTTTACCAGAACGTTTAATAATTGCCGTTTAAAGGAAAAGTGATGTAACACAGTGGTAAACACGGTCCTGTCCCACCTTTTTGCAATATGTTTCAGGCATCATATTTGGAATGAGCATATAATTACAAAAATGATAAGGGTAAAACATCTTGTTTTGAATTGACTAATCACTGCTTTCTGTTTTTATTGGAAATTTACATACTCATCAAACTTTTTGGAATTAGGTTTGTACACAGCAAAAAAGGCCTGTCAATGTTGATTCAACACCCACCAATAAATTTAGCTCAGATGAGCAGGCAAAGTTGGAATTGTAGTTTAGTTTAGTGTGTTGTCTAGCTGGTGGTTCAATATAAGAGAGGAATGACTTTTGCTACACATTTGCTGGGTTCTGTTCAAGGCTATGTTAACATGAGCCAGTTAGTATGCTATCTAATGAGCCCAGCTTTGCTGTAATCCCTTAAGATACGCTATGTATGAAGGTATGTAAGAGGTAACTATTAATGGTAATCATTCACATTAGTTTGTCATAAAGCTAAAGGAATTTCCCCTTTAAACTAGCCGTCAGTCGTCTAGACACAGAACCATTCCTCACTACCCTAAAGAAGCACATTTCAAAGCTGTATTTAAAAATCCTTACATATTAGCTCATAACTGCTCCAAGCACTGGTAGAATATCAAAGGGACTTCCAGATTACAAGGTGCACACACTATAAGGCGTTGGTCATCAGAGTGTAGCATGTCTACGAATGTGTTACCTGGCGAACACTCTATCCTTGACACCTCGCTCTTTCCCGTACTGGACAGACTGTGCTTCCGTCCTCCCACTGAAAAGCAAAAAAACGTTTCTTTCAGAGCTGCTGTTTCTTTTAAATTTCTAACTAAGTCTTTTAATTTTCTAAGTAAAAATACATACATATCCTCTACAGAGAACATATTCTGCACATTTTAATGCACATTTAGTGTTTATTTGCTGAATTTAACATACTGGGGAAAAAGTGAGAAGCATTAAATGTGGCCTGTACAAAAATGTTATATATTACATTTTTATTTTTTTGCCCTGTTACGCTCAGCAAATAAATAGAAATTATGTTTCCTGGAGAGGATGTGTTAGCTTTTTTTTTTTTTACTTAGAACATCAACAGAACATGTCATTTGACCGGGGTTCATCCTTTTTTGGTGTTTCTATTTGCCCCAATAATTCGAATGAATGACTATCCATTAAAGTGAATGAAAGAAATCGTGATTGCATTACGTTCCCACAGTGTTGGGGTGTGATTATGGCTCTAACACACCTGGTTCACCTCATAAACTTTCCAGGAAGTTGAATCAGATGTCTAAGGGGAGGGGAAATCCCAAAAAGTTCATGAATTGCCAACCACTGTTGAAGAAGTCAAGCTCTCACCAGTAGCGGAACTTGGAGCCGAGGGTGAAGTAGTGTGCAAAGAAGCTCTTCTGCGGTGGCATGGGCCGCTCCAATCTGAAGAAAGTGTGATGCTCTACGCAGGCCTTCCATACGTTCTTACACGCTCTGTAGTTCACCATGCTGAAGCCCAACAGAGACTCTCTGCTCTTGGTCTGAGAGAGAGAGATATAGACAGAGATACTGACAAAAAAGCAAGAAATATTACAGAAAACATGACAATGGCAGTCCCTTGTTTAAATCGTTTGGGTGGCATGTACTCGAGTCTAAACAGATGGATATTACAGAAAGCCATCACAAATCGGATCAGTTGGCTTCAGTAAAGTGCCTTTCTCATACATTTGCAAGCACAGGTGACATTTCGTCTTACTGACATATACGACTATTCAAACGTTCAGAATCAACATTCAAAATTTTTAAATCAAAGATTTTTGACAATATAAAACTAATTTGAATGCAGATATATGTAAAAAATGACTTTAATTACTAGCTCTAGTACCATGTTTCAAATAATTAATAAATAACAAATAAATCTGTATAATATTAGCAGTGATGTTTTAATGATAAAACACACCATTTACAAAGAAAATACTTACGTTTGGTGCACAGTTTCTATTTATTTGCTGAGATTAATATATTAGAAAATAAACATAAAATATAAAATGTGCAATAAGTTTTACACAAACCACATTTTATTTTGTTTATTTTTTTAACGTTGTACATATTATTTTTAATATATTATACGTAACTGTGCATTAAACATCAATCACATTCTAGTCATTTGGCCAGGGGTGCACAAACTTTTGCATGCATAAATGACTGTGTATGATGTATTATTTTATTATCTTCTTGTTGTTCCTAAATACTTGAAATATTGAATAAAACATGTAAAATACCAGATTATTTAGCGTCTTAGATCTATACTGTATATGTTATTACTGTATACAAACAAAAAACTATTAATATGACAGATTTCAAATCTTTCAACAGTAGTGTATTGTAAATCTCCTTGACAGATACTTCATTTACCTGACAACTTTATAACGGGTTCTATAATAATATATCTACAGACAGTAGTGTTACTAATAAAACAGTGCTGTTGTATACCATTTTCAAAGGCGGTCCAGTTTCTATGTAGGTGTTTTTAACCAGAAAAAAAATCATATTTTTCAAGTTTTCAAGTTTAAAAATGTGGAAGATGAAATGAATTAACCTACAATAAGTACTCACTTGCTGAGATCAGCAATAAGCTCTAGCAGGCAGCACTAGCTCACTACCACTGCAGGATTATCACATCGTCACTCTATAGGCTAGCGGTCATGTCAAGCTAGCTAATCAGGGGATAAGCCGGGCTTCATTAGCAAATCTTCATCGATAAATCGTCTTTAGGCTACACCTTGGCACGACATGCTCACAGAGGCTCAACAGTAAACATGCTGACAGGCTTTAAAGTAATGAGAGACTGTTTCCTAACCATGATCAGGGTAACTTATGCAGGTTTCAGTAATATTACTCAACTAAACTACTAGAACATTAGCAGTCCCATGTAGTGAATATTAGGAATGAGTGATGTTTATAATATTGTGATGCTTAATACAATATGAATCACAATATTTTGCCTTTTTGCTAGCAAGCTGGATGAAACAATGCACCAGAAAAATTGCAAAAAACTGAAAAACTATGCATACAGCAATTTTAATTAATATAACAAGGAACAGGAGCAAAGCATAACTGGTAAAAAAAATATCAAGACAAAGGGCTAACATCAGAGGTGTGTAGAATAGTCTTAAACAATAGTCAAGCAACTGTTACTTTGGTGAAATAAAGAATGTAAAAGTGCCTTCCTAAAAAACAAGTCCAAAATTAGCAGGCCAAAAGAACTACTGTACTGAAAAAGTTAGAGAACTGCATTAACTTCTTAGTACAAAGCAGGGCAGATGCTATGGCTAATACATAAAACAGAAGTAAACAGAAAAAAGGAATTAGTGACTAAATGTTAACGACTGAACTGTAACTGAATTAAAAGCAGAATCATTTCCTTACAGATATGCTTGAGTAGAAGTACATTTGAACATGCTCAAGCAAGTCTTAAAAAAGTACCTCAGTAAGTAAATACTACTGCCCACCCTCTGGTTTGGACAAAAAATCAAATATACACAATTTCCCATTCAGCCCAGATGTATTTGACCAGCCAAGACCTGTTTAGTGTCCAAATATTGCTGCTTTAGTTTAGTGCTGGGGCTGCTAGGCTAGAGTTGCTAACAAACAGTCGAATTTTAGATTTATTTTCTGTGATTCCATCATCTAAACTTCTCTCAACCCACTCAAACCACTTGCAAGTCTTCATTAGGGTCGAGCAGACTTGTTAATGTGGCTCAGGAGACAGTATGACTTACTGTGAACTACAAAAACCAACAAAACTTCACTGCGTAGCTGCAGCAGGTAGCCATTTTAGACAACGGGTGCTGTGCCGAATTCTGACTGCCCATCAGGCAGACATACATAGATGCTACAGATTTGGGTGACCACTGACTTCCAGTGTTTGTTAGCAACGATCCAACGCTAAACTTAATAGAAAATTTGGACACTAAACACGTCCACATGAAGTTTTTATTTGACAGTGTGACATTACTGGTTGCCTGTTTCAGGATATTATCTATAATTAGGCCACATCTCTGTTTTTCATGAAGTGTGCAATTAGCCAGTGTTCTAAAAATATTGACAATACCCACAATGTGCCATGGAAAGCGTATCATGATGCAACGTACTGTGATAACCATATCGTCACATCGCCCACTGCTAGTGCCTATTACAGTAGAATGTTAATGTTTTGCTAACATAAAGTAGCTTATCAAGCACTAAGCCATGCTTTAACCACTGGAGGGTTCAGTTACAGACACCCTACTGTACCATAATAAACATGAATACTGCCTCTCACTGCTATACGGCTAACATACATATTTAATGAATATACATGAGTGCACACGTTTAATGCCCACAGTCTGCCAGTGAGATCTACATATTAAAAAGGCTTGAGGTGATCAAGCCTGAGGTGAAAGATTCATTCTACTAGTTCCACCAGCTGAAGAAATGAATATTCATATATGCAAAGGCCTCCATCAATTATGAATTTGTCACGTCATAAACACTCGAGACGCTTTGCATTATTAATCAGGCTTTGGTGGGTTTCCTGCCTTCTCTTGCACATCTACCCACCGAGACTGAACAGAACTGTTGGGACCCCTGGCTGTAAGATCAAATCGAAAATTCGGAGACAATTTTGATGTTTCACAACAAACAGAAAGGAATTTTACTATCTAATACAGAAAGCACGTGAAATCCATGCACAACTGACTGCTTACCGATTCTTTTCGGAGTTGAATAAAAAACTGTTTCGATTTAAAGGAGATTTTTACAATTTTCACCCTGAGAAAAGAGAAAAGAAGAGAAAAGAGAAAGAACAAAGAAAATTAATGTCACCCCACGGTTCCGGTGGTCAAGTCAAAGTTTCATTATATCATCAAAGACTAAAACACTATAATAGAGTAAATTCTAGCTATAATACATAGTAATTCAATCGTTGAGATGTGAATAAAACAATTCACAGTGTTCTGTGAAATGCCTCATTGTAGAGATATTTACAGACTCAGATTTTTTTTACAGTGGTGGTGACAGGAACCAGGGGTCACAATGTCTACAGTGTAATTCTAGCCATTTATTTAATATTCAAAATGATCAAATGGCAAAACAGTGCCTCAGACATTAGGAGGTATATTCAGAACCACTTTAAGTAAATGAAGTAACTTTCTGTGAGGGAGCTTATAGAAACACTCTATGGATGTCTGGTTTCTATCACCATTACTGAACAATTGTGACTAAGTTTCTCTAAAACTCAGCTTAAAAGTTTCTCTGAAAATTTCACATCAGACCACTCTGAATGACTTTGTTTACATCTCAGCAATTTAAATATACTGATACGCTGTTACATAATGAGTAAAGCCAAAGTGATAAAATGATTGTGGTCTGACTGATATGATATATATATATATATATAGTTTATATCTGCTACACGATAGATGATGCAGATACATAAACTACATATAACTATATATATAAAAATACAGAAACACATTTTTTTACATTCAAACACTTTTACAGTTTTTGGCAGACGCTCTTATCCAGAGCAGCTTACAGTTTGATCATTTTACACAGGTAGGCGAAGGTAGTGTTAGGAGTCTTGCCCAAGGACTCTTATTGCTATAGTGTAGGGTGCTCACCCAAGCAGGGCTCTGAACCTCAGTCTGCATCTTAGAAGGCAGAGGTGCTGACCACTACACTATACCAACCAGAACCAAATCCACATGGATCAGTATTATGGAGAAATATACCATTTAAGTTAAACCTTAATACAATGCAGTCGTTTTAGCACAGTAACCAAGCATTACTCTTCTGAAGTGCAATAAATATGACATGAAATATCAGTTTGAAATATCTGTCAAATATAACTGATAATTATAAGCAATTATCTTCAGGCATTACGTGAATTTGTTAACTTCCTTCAGCAGCAATACTAATTTAATTTAATGAAGGATTAATTAGTTAAAGCAGGTATTGGATGGTAACTGTAAATACTAGGCTTCCTCGAGGACAGCCCTGGAAATGGTTAGGCTAACACTCACACATACCACAGCACAATGTATTGTTCATTAATTTGTATTTATTCTGTACTTGTTATTTTTTAAACAAATAAATGCTACCCAGATAAGCAGCTTCACATATGTTCTCAAATGTCTAAGACTTTGGCAAGGTACTGTATTTTATAAGCTCAAAAACTTTTCCAATATTACAATGAAACAGTGCTTTACTGACTGATATGACTGTCAACTGTCAAGTTTCTTAACTTTAATGAAAAACAGCAGAAACTGAAAATTGCATTTAGTTACAGTTATTTAGTTTCAGTGTCAGCCACTATTTTTGTACACAACAGTGCAGCTCATTTTGTGAGGCCACTCACCATGGAAAGTGGCTGACTCGTACCCTGTTCTTATAAATGGCGATCCCAGCAGACATCACTCCAATGTAGACCTCTGCAGTGGTCTGGTCCTGTGACATACAGTACAGGAGACAGTTAGTACAGTACAGTCATACGTATGAATTCAATGTAATTCTACCTGTACAGTGGTCTTACAGTGAAGACTGTGCTGAAGCAGTTTTACAGAAATCCAGGTTGAGACTCACCCTTACCTTTTTTTGCAGGGCTATTCCTCTGGCGGAATAAAAATCAATGTTGATTTTTATAAATAGTATAATCAAATATAATATTTTTAGACGTAATTCTATTATCAGATTAACTAGGACACTGTTGGCTCTCTTTGTGTGAAATGTTGTGACTCTGTGTTGAGCTGCTAGTGAGCAATGTGAAGTTAAAGCAATTGACACCTCTCCACAAAGACTGCCGACATAAAATGGACAGGATAAATAATATAATATAATAAATAAATAAATACAATTTTCTAAATGTTCACTTGCTTGTTCACCAACAAAGATGGACATCTAGTTTGATTCTAGTTCTGAAAATCATGTTTCATCAAATATATTCCATCAATGTTTTTTTTCCAGTTAAAGCATAGTTTAACTGAGCTTCCTCCTCTAAAACAGGCAGAAATTGCCTGAAGTTGCCTGAAATTTTACTGTGGGGGGGGGGACGAGAACCCCTCCCACAATGCAGTAGACCAAAAGGCATAAATCCAGCTCTGAATGAATGAATAAATGAAAGAGGGTTTGCAGGTGATATAGGGAAAACACAGAGGAAAACACAATCGCAGTTTGCATTAATTATATGTTTCTGTTACCTTCTTACTGAGTGAATCAATCAGATTTATTTGATATGCTGAAAACTGAGTCCGTGAATTATCATACATAAGTATCATTTCAGTGTTACTTGCAATGCAGTGTCACTGTAGACATGTTCAATACTGTACTGTGTATTAGATCAGTGGGTAACATACATTATGAGTAAACCCTTTGGTGTAGCACAAACTGGTAAAAATGAGATCAATATAAAATTAAGTTATAGATATTTAGGTAGTTCCTGACTTTGACTCACCCTGCATGTGCCTAGTACAGTACTGTGAAAAAATTCAGAGACCACTCTTTCGTTTAGTTAAACTCTAGCCAAAAGTAATTCACTCGTTTTTTCATTTTTTCAGCTTCAGGAAGAAATACAAATTTTGTCTCTATTTAGTGAGCACATCCTTCACCTTTAGAACAGCTTCCCTTCTTTTCGGGAGGCTTGTTTTCAGTTTTTTCAGTCTTACAAGTTGGTTGTATTCTCTGTTTCTCATGACTCAAGTAATCCCAATTACAAATTTAGACTCATCAACAGCTTCGCAACAGCTATACACCCTTTCAGGCTCTTAGTGTTGAGTTGTCTTGCCACAGTGGAAGGATGGACAGAAACACCTGTGGATTTTTTCAGATCTGAAGAAAGAGTGGAGCTTGATTTTCTCCTCTCACTCAAAGAAAAAAGCTTTAAGTGCTGTTCATTTGATGGTGATGGCTTTGGTGGTCTAAGATTGGTGGTGACTAAGATAAATTTCCAGTATTGAAACTTGTTTTTTCACCTTTTTTCCCCTTCCTTATGCAAGTGGAATATCTTAGCTAATCTCCTCAGGAATATCTGGAATTTAAAAGATGCATATGAGAATTTGAAGGCAGCTAAGGTGTGTTTGGGTAGTTGCTTGGGTGAATGTTAGTTTCTAATAATGTCAGTGACAGGTTTGGGAGCAGTTTATGTTGGGAGACAGCTGTAATTTTAAGATTTGGATGGGAGGATGGAATAAAGTGGCACTAGAGTGGACAAATTAAATTCTGATAGATTTGATATTACACTTAGTGTTGGAGTCTGTTGTGTAATTGTCTATCAAATATGTGTTCCTGTTTTTCTTCCTGACACTGAAATTTGATTATCTTGTGGCCATTTTTACTGGAAATGAAATAAATGATAAGGCGGTTGCAGGTTGCTGACTTTTGCATAGTAGGGTATGTGCACTGCACAACACTTTTCGCCAAGCCTACTAAATTTCCGAGTTTAGCACACAGTACTTAACGCAAACCTGATTCCTTATTATGCGAAAAAGGGAAAACTAAAGCTGAAACATGACATTTTTAGCTGCTTTGCTTAATACATTTGGTTCTGTCTTCTGTTTACAAAGATGGCTGCCTATTTGCTTGGGCAAGCTGTGAATAAACGCTGCAGTCCAGGGCCAAATATTGAACCGTTGGCCTGAATAAAAGGGTAAAAATGAAAAGAGGAGGGTTGGGGGTGGATTTAGGGGGAGTTAGTTACTGACCCGAGCATAGTGAAGTTCCACTCCATACAGCTCTAACGAACTGGCAGCCCTCAAGTAGTTAAACTCCGACTCAGCTGGAGAGAGTCCACTAAGAGAGAGAGAGAGAGAGAGACAGAGAGAGAGAGAGATCATTTGTGCAGCAGTCTGTAAGGAGACTCAATCTCTGGGAGCTGGGAACAATGAGCTGCCTTGTTCTTCCATGAGTGTGTGTGTGCGTTTATATTCAGCTGCGTCCCTTATTTTGCCCCTCAGTCCAATCTTGCTGTCTTGTGCACCATTCTAGATCTTCACTTACAGATGGCTCCAATCTAACACTCAGTCTAACAGAAAATGCTGGATCGGATATCAGAGGTGGAAAAAAAAGAATGAATCTGATCTGATTCTGTAACAAATCCAGCCTTAAACATCACAGAATTGTTTGTAGTGCAACATAATATATCGCAAAGTAAAGTAGGTCGCGTGAAAAAAGGCATCCAAGTGTCAGACTGGGTCTCGAAATTCAATACTTTCAAGGTACCAACTGAACTGCTACAGAGAATCGAAAAATTTTGTGCCATTCAGCACTTAATTTCAATTTCTAAACAGTCCGTTTTATCAGAATCAGTGAGCCAATACGAGTTCTTGTTCCAAAATCTAGACTGCTGATAGGCTGTCTAAGGATCAGAGATACATTAAGCTTTCAAAAGCTTTTCATTAAAAAAAATGTATCAAAAATAGTGTTATTTGCATTTTTATGTATGGATGAATCTATACAATGTACTGATATTCACAATAATGCTGTAGCTTTTATAATGGTGCAAATTAATTCTTAAACAGGGCCATTAATTTTATCACCCAGAAAATTCAGGTGGGGCAACCTTGCACTGAAAGTGTCCTCACATAAAGGAGATATTGTAGAATAATGTAATAATGTCCTGTAACTATTAAATTCCAAAAATACACTGGACTAAAATTGCTACAAAAATGTATGTTGTGTCATTGACCCCTAAATAACATTTACATTTACACTGTAGTAACATGCATTTGTTGCAGTCACTGAATGTACCCATTTCAAGTACCTCGCACACATTAAAGGTTTAAGCCACACCTACTTTCTGTTTGTAATTTGTAAATAAAGTATCAAAAATGGTATTGTCACCTCACCCCACCAAGACCTCTGTCACAACTGGAACCAGGAGTATGTTCTGTCATTCTGTAACTGAGTTTGCACCCCTTTGCTAGTATTCCTTTTAACAGCAGGTAATTGCAAGAGACTGAGCTTTCTTTGTCTGCTAGATCAGCTCACAATTATAACAGCAATTCACCATTTATTGAAACTTTCTTCAGTGTAATTGTTTTTGTATTTACAGTTTTTCCTCAAAGTTTACACAGTTCACACAGTTCATTCTGTTGTGGCATAAAAGGAGTTTATTAATCTGAAGGAAATACAGAGAACAGCTGTGTTTGTTGGATGAGTGTGCTGGTTGGATCCGTGCTCTTTTCCGCATGCAGGTCTGTTTGGAAGCGTGATATGTTCAGACTGATGTCAAATACAAGTCTCATTAAAAATGTAACGACGCTTTTTCATCAAATTTGCATAAAAAGAGCACAGATTTGACAGCCTTTACTTTGCAACTGTTTAATGAAACTTTGCTACGACGTAGACAAGAGCGGGGATTTGAGTACAAATGATGAATCAGCTTCAGTGCGTGAAATCAAGTGCTAGCCGGGCAGTACCTAACTTACATGAAGCATGCCCTGCGTCATGCAAATGTTTCAAGTAGAGAGTCAGTAAAACGTCAGCATTCAGCGGCCCATGAGCCAATGGCATCAACTCATAGGCAGTGTCTGAGGTCAAGCATTTCAGTCACATTTGAATAGAATTTGAATAGAATTTGGGCCACTTCTGCTTCACTAATGTGTTCTTTCCTCAGCCTTACTTGTGCTGTTGGTGCAGTTTGGCAACCTCCTTCTCGAAGTCCTCTGGAGGGTTAGGAATGAAGCTGTACTCTGAGAGGTAGCCAGGCAAGTGCTCCGACTGGCTGTAGTCCCCCAACTCAGCTGGAACACAAAGCACACAGTGTAACCAAGTGTGTATGTGTGTGTGTGTGTGTGAGAACGCGACAAAGAACACAATGGGTCCTTCACCCTTTGAAAGTCTCGCACTGTGATTCTTCCAATTTGCCCACGGTCTCGTAAAAGTGCAAGATTGTGCCAAAAGCCAGAGCCAGATGCAACTATTAAACAGCCGATATCTTAGGTGATCAATTAAATTTAAAGGGCCCATTTCATGGAAATTTTCCTCCTTTTTTTTAAGTACGTGAGTAGAACCAACTCATTTATATACATCCATCTATTCAGCCCACAGCAGTTTAGCTCCTCCCATTCATAACAGGGTTATAGGGAGGGTTTCAGCTCTGAGCATTTTGTTAATGAGGCACAATACAAAACAGCCAAATAGAACAAAAGTCATTTACATATATCAGTCTTTAAGGCACAGTAACAAAACCAGCCTGTTTAATTCTAAGGTACAGAGAGTGATTGGAATACGGTCATGTAAAAATTTAACTATGACCATTTTTGATACATAAAAACCACACCATTGTTATAAGTGGGCATCAAGGCAAAAAATAAAGGAAAATGTAGTTTAATCCATGCTGTTCTACTTATGGTTGGTTTTGTTATGCCAAATTTAATATACTGAATTCAAAGAGCAAAATAAAGAAAGACCAGTCGACCAAAATTTGGATTGATTAGGTTAATTAAATTTCTTTCTTTTTTTGTTGCTGTTGTTGTTGTGTCCAGTTCCCACTCCCTAGTTAGGTCCTCATTACATGATCCAACCAAGCAGCAAGGCTAAAGTGTGCTTTCTCCAAAACATATGAAGTGCCATCGTATGTTTTTGAACTGCCGCTAATGCAACATCATTGGACAGCTCAACACGCCTGGAGAAGAAGAACAGCGCTAACTGCTAATTCTGTTTTCCCACCATGGTAGGTGTTGTGTTGAGTAATGGTGGCTGATTAGGATGGCTGTGGCCTCGCAGATGATCAAACTCACAATCTCCGAACGCCAAAGCCCCAATTTTGACATTTGTGTATAGATCTTAACTACTTTATTTAGAACTACATAATACAGATGAAATTATAAATCGCAATCATATTGCAATCATGTTGCGATTACTATGTAATTTACTATTTAACACACTATACTATATAGAACATGTTTCAGGTTCCAGTCCTCTCAGGCCAAAATACTGCAGATTTCAGCACACTGCCTCATTGAACACACCTAAATAAGCTCATCAGCTGATTCGCAAGGTCTTCAGGAATTGAATGAGGGTGAACGCTAGTCTCCACAGCAATTTGGCCCAGAAGGTCCCCAGCTTGACATGCCTTTTATAGAACTACACATTATAATTATATACATTAGTGAATAAAAAAATGCAACAGTTTAACTTTGATGTGATGTAGTTAAAGACTGGCCTGTGTTATTGGTGAACAATTTCCATTTGTTGGATCATGTGAATCCCCTGATTCATCCAAACACCCGAAGAACCTCATCAGGAGCATGTGAGTTTGGTTGGGGTTCTCACTAGGGATGCATCGATACCATTTTTTTTCAGACTACATACAGAGTACATATGTTTTAGTAACCTACTTAGAATTAAGTAGCTGGCTGTACCTTAACAGTTAAATTATTAAAATCTAACTGATTTCAAATAAAGTACAATGAGTAAAGTTGACATATATAGATTTTGTTTCCGCAAATGATGACCTTTTTCGCCGTTGATTTGCTAGCCTTGGTGTCTTCATCTGTATTGGGGAAGTGGTTGTGATTTTGATTGTGTGTGTTAGCAGTTTGTTAGAGATCCGTTTGCCTTCTCCACTGTTAATGTTGTAAATGCCAATACTGTGATTACAAACAATGTCATTAACAAACGATTCACTGTACAGCCCTAGTTTAAATGGATACTTCATGAGGACTCAATTTGACTTGCTCTTTTCTTAAGCCGAATGAAAGCCCCTTCCCTCATGTGCATGACCCTGAAAAACTCATAACAAACATCAGCTAAACCCCTGCACATGTATTGAGGTTAATCTAGAGACAAAAGGCTTGAAGCCAGATTGGCGAAAGGATTGAGAGAAAGTGCGTGTGTGTGTGTGTGTGAGAGAGAGAGAGAGAGAGAGAGAGAGAGAGAGAGAGAGAGAGAGAGCGAGAGAAATTACAGAGTGTAACGCAAAATAAACACGCCGTTTTAATGGAATCAACCAGAAATGGGAAATTTACATGCATTAGCAACAAGCCTCTTCATTTTCTCACTATTTAAAATTTCTAAAGCCCCGATCAGACTAATCAAAACAGCATCATAATCGCCTTTCATAAAGGGAGCGAAAACATATATATTATACAATTTAACAGGTGCATTATATTCATTTGAAAACCTTTATTGTTACAGCATTAAAAGACGAGTCTGCAGCGCAGGTCACCGCAAAACAAGGCTGACTGGAAAACTAACATCCTCAATACTTTTGCAGAAATGTCAATACTCAGGGTAATCACACTTACCCTGAATGGCATAAGAGGCCAGAAGAGCTGCTGCATTCTGTGGACACGGCAACCTGACACAAACCAAGAACATACGCCACGTTATATTCACAATACACTACAGAGAAAACAGTTTTTTTAACCGAAATTTGATGCTAAGTCAGTTAATGAAACTTGCTTTTGTAAGCACTGTTTTAGGGTGGAACGATATGAAAATTTTGTGGCCTGGTAAATGTTACCAATACCAATAACATCAGCCAATATAATTTAATATATAGATTTTAATTATATACTCCAGTAGTTTTAGTTAAACAGTGATGATTGTTAACTGTGAATTGTGAAATATGACTGCCTGCTGTCAATGATGAACCTTCTTAAACTCAAATAAAAGACAGAAACACAACAAGTCTTAAAGGAGTGATAAGCTATGTTTTTTTCATTTCAAATGAAAATGCAGCAGTCTCTCAACCAGCTCCTGCTCTCTGGTCCAGTGCACCTACAGAATTCTACTTCTGTTTTTCAAGTGAAGGGACATACAGGAACTGCTGGGCTTTTGAGGCAAGCCTTAGCCTAACATGAACACCAGACCCATGAGGGCTGCCTGACACAGTCAGCTGCATAAGACAGCGTTCCGGCCTCAGCACCACACGCTGTACCCCAGCTGGTACTGAAGCATGAATAACTGTAATATTTCCCAAATTCCAGCAGTGTCTGACGGTTGGATGCATGAGTATGTGGGATGCTTCTATGAGACTTAGTTACATTACTTAGAGTTACATTCAAACGCCTGTACAGGTGCCAAAATGTAACGTCAAATGAAAAGTCAAACAAAATGCTGCCAAATAAAAAGCCAACTCAAGCTTTGTAGCAATTCAGATGTGCAAAATCTTCTGGACAACAACGGACTTGGGTTACAGCCTGTAAGTGTACACTTATATAGTGGACGTTTAACACAGATGGAGCTTATAAAGTTGCAAGATAGTGACAGTACAACTTGGTACTTGGCACAACATGGGGTTTCTAAAAAAGTGCCTACAGTATTATTGGAATCTCTAAAAATACTCACCTCCCACTCAAGATGTCCTGTTTCAACTGCAAAAAGTACAGGTACCTGAAAATGAGAACAATAAAAATAAATTAAGTGTCTGGCTTTTAAAAAATGGCAATGTTAAAAAAAAAATAAATTATATAAATTATGCACCTTGTGTACTCCTCTTGCAGTTTGCTTGGGTCACTTACAAAAAACTTCACCCTAAAACTTAAATTATTTGGAGCCACCCCTTAAAAAAACAGAAATTCAGTCAATTCCAACCAATGAAAAATCTAAATACATAACCATGAAAATTCAGAGGCAGTGCTTCACTTCAATTATCACCTACTTTTCAGTTGTTTCCTTATTGGTTTGTTTGGATCCAGCCACCTCTACATAAAATAAGAAAGAAAAAAACAAAACAAAACAAAAACAAACCATCATTGTGATATTTTCATGTGGTCTTCAAAAAGAAGAAATAACTATACTGACATATATGACTATTTTCTACTAAATACTTTTTGTTTGACATAGATCTCTAAACCTGGCTGGAGCATTAAAAATAATTCCAGGTTATGAATCATTTTTACAACAGCTAGAAGCTGCCACCATGGTCTTTATTGGCTAGTTGGATACAGACAGTTATCCAAATACAAGGACTCTATTACCGGTGCTGTCTTAATTTAAATAAGTATCGGCATTTCAATTCAGTGAGCTAGTCTGTGAAATAAAGATTAAAACATTTATCACTTCTAAATAACATATTCATCAGAGTGTATGAATAATGGATTTGGCCCTCTTTCCTCTCCGCTGTGCTGTAACACTGAGACACAGTCCCTCTCCAGGCTCAGTTACAAACAACTAGAGTGTGGCATGACCCCCAACTCAACTCCACTGTCTGTCCAGTGTAACCTCCCCACAGCTACCATGGGTGCGCATGCGTACGCATCCATCATACATCTTTTCGTCTGTCCAGGTGTTCTTTATTGTATCATGTCGGTGCAAAAATTATATCTTGGCATCTTAAACCTAGTCAATATATCCAATATCACTCATGAGATAATGCATTTTCAGCCTGTCTCCAGTAATTTTATCCAATTATTGAGTTCTACTGGTAGACAATGTTGCCAATTTCAAGAAATAATGCTTTAAACAAGCAAAATTATTTGACAACAGAGTGAGACGTCTTATAGTCTTACATTTGGAGATATTAGATGCAGCGCTGTGCAAAAGTCTTAGGAAGCTGAGAAAATTGTAAACCCTTTGTCCTGGCAGTAGGTGTTTTTTTGTCTGTTAAAAACACTATACATCATTAGAATAAATCTAAACAAGCACAAATACAGTGTTACACAACAGTTTTTTTCCAGGCACAGGTGTGATTGGTTGGGAAGTGCTCTATTTGTGCTGTTATTTGTCATAGCAGCATGTTTTTTTCTCAATAACTGTATCATTCCACGGGGCACCACTGACATTACTAAAGTTTCTATTTTAGCACATTAAAAAACACAAAATGGATACATTCTACAAGATAATACTTGACCTGCAGCCTGTCTGGTCAGATTCTAAAGAAGAGTGTGAAAGCAACCTGTCTTTCCCTCTAAGCAAGCTTTTAAGTCAGCATCTATGATGGCGGAACAGCTAAATAAAGTGGAATTAGCCAGAAATGAACAGAATGCAATCCAGCAAACAAGATGGGATTTGAAATGCTTTACAGGCTGAATGGAACAAAACTGGTAAGTATTGAAAAAGCTGAGCTGAACTTGATATTGCGACTTTCATGGCTGTATCTGTAGGGAAGGAATCAAAGAGGGAACTGCCAATATTGAAGCACCTTTGATACAGCGTTCAGGGCTTCTTTAATTTACTTTTTTCTTTAAAACCAACAGAACACTCATCATGGATGTGAAGATCTACAGTACTCAGCCTTCAGTTTGGGCCTATGACTGAGACACAGGTGTGATGTTATCTCATGTTCTGTTACTTAAAAATGTAACCAGAATGTTTTGTTTTTTAAAAGTTATTAAATTTAATGTAGGGCTAAACAATTTGATTGCAATTTCTTTTCTATAATATTCTATATATGCCCACTGTCTAACATCGGTTGCCAGCCAACATCAGGCCAACATAGGCCCCTCAGCCAAAATGTCATTCGCCCAAGGTGATTTGCCAATGTTACGCCAGCGTAAGCAATGCATTTGAGCCAATGCTGGGTGAATATATACTTGCTATCTGGGTAAGCTCCAGTGGCCCAAATCGGATTTTCTCACCAAATCAGATTTTTTTGTTTGGCTGTTCACATTATCTTTTAAATGTGACCTGTACGCGACATTAGTCTGAACAGATCTCGCTCCTAAACTGACCCACACACACGAAAGACCAATGGTTCAGGTTACTTCACATTGCTTCACATGGGTTCACATTATCCAGAGGTAAACAATCATGACTTCCAACGAACGCCAGTCGCTCCCGGAAGCTTCAGTTTAATCTTCGTCAGCGTCACAGGAGCCATCATGAAGCTTCATTGACTGACAGCGGGGCTCATCACCCAGAATGTGTTCGAGCTCGTCGTTAAAAGTTATTTGGACACAGTCACTTCTTTGGTTTGCATCCTCGGATTCCTCAAACTTTGCTTTCAGACTTTTTCTTGACACTGCAGCCTCGTTCTCGTATGGCCACATTCAGTCATTTCTTTCGAAATCTCTTCTAATTTTTTGGTGCAGAAACATCAGCCTAAATGTTTATGAGGTCTCAGCAGCGTGAAATTATGACGAATGTCGAGTTGAACTGAAGTAAAAGTCACATGAATTCCGATCTGTCTGTTCAGACTGAGTCGCATTGCCACAGATCGGATACGGATCAGATTTCAGTACCGCATATGAAAGCATCTCAAATCAGAATTGAAAAATCAGATTCAGTGTGTTTTCTGCTGCTCACATTGACTCACAGATGACACATCTGTGTAACATATGAAGAAAAAGACCAGATTTGGGCCACTTTTACCTGATGTGTTGCACACTATATACATATATATATATGGTTTTTTTAGGGTGGGCACTTCATATCAAGCAGTAGTTTGTGTAAGTGTAATAATGCCTCAGATAGGCAAGAAATGTTCACAGAACACAGCCTGGTACATATTACCTAGACCTATAACACTGACAGAAAAAGAAAAACACAGCCTTGGAAGAAATGTTTGCTATTAAATATTAAAATGTTCAGCTTTGCTCGTTCTTACGATCTTTCTGCTTGAATGGACAAAACAATAACTAACAGCCAAGCAGAAAACTAGACAACTGTAAATAAACTTGTCTTTCAAAACAGTGAACTATTACTAAGATGAGTGTACTGCACACCCATCACCTTAATATACAACCACACATCAGAGGACATTTTGTCCAGTCATTGCCTGTTTAACCCATTGTTTTATCCACTTTTAAAAACTGGTGCAAAGGTGCACTTTAGATCACATAAAAATGCTTATAAATTCTATTAATAAATAAATTGTAAAAAATGCTACGAAGGTAAATATTGTTGGGGGTGACACAGGCTTTAAAACTGTTGTGTTTAGTGACCGAGCATCCGGCTGTACCTGATTGTCCGAGGAGTCGTCAGCAAGCTGAAGTCCAAAATAGTCTCGCTCTGTCAGCTGCAGATGTTCAAAGACTATGTCCAGCAAGATCTGACCCTGATCCTGCTTCTGGAGAAAGAGAGAGAAGGAAATAAAGAAAAAAAGAAAGAAAGAAAGAAAGAAAGAAAGGGAGAAAGAAAGAAAGAAAGAAAGGGAGAAAGGGAGAAAAGGAAGAGAGAGACAGAAATAAATAAATAAAAAAGGAAGCAGGGGAGAGAGAGAGAGAAGGTAACGAGGGAAACAGGGGGAGAGAGGGAATTTTTCAGTCAGTTGTAGCTACAGACAGTTTATGCTGTAATGATGCAGTACTCTAGGGGTGAGTTGGGGGGTGTACCAAACACTAGGATGCATACTAATGTATAGTAATTTATTCAAATGCATGCAAATGTGTGCACTTTGGCTCACTGACCGAAACGGAGGGGGGGATTATGAGTCCTTCTCCATTTGCTACTCTGACACAATTAAGAGGGTGCAAAAGGTTATGCACGATGTGTACACTTTAGCTGTAGTGACTGTCACTGGAGGCCGAGTGAGTCATATTGAAACAGACACGAATCAAAAGGGATCACTTTTTAAGGAACAGTTCAGTAAAAAAAACAAATGCGCACAATTTTCCCCTTGCCCTAAACGCAGATGATCAGTCAAGACTTCTTTAGTTTTGCAATGTAGCTAACAAGTTACAGAATTAGCCCTGTACGAACTGTCTGTCTGAATCATCAATCATTTGCCTCAAACTGCATCTAGTTGTTCATTAACCTCAAACAGACTTGCTTCTGTGGTTTCTGTATGACATAGTCTTATCTATAAAAAATCTTTATCATGTCTGCCACTGTTGTTATAAGTTCTTCAATGTACTTTTTGGTACATTTTTCCTTTAACGTTACTGTAAAACAAACATTAGAACCATTGTCTCAACCGGCCTTCCCTATGCACGTAACCAGCTAGTTTGAGTGGCATGGCGAGTAGGAGCTTGATTTGTGTGATGGCCCCGGGACTTCTCTCTCACCCAGGAATGTGTGGTGTCTGTCATCGCCCACAATACCTACAATCACAGCTCAGTAAATCTGCATTACCTCAATGTCATCATTAAAAATTACAACGATTTTTCAGCCAATAACAATAAACCAGAGGGTCGTCAATATCAGCTAGCTACTATATTCGCCCATTCGATAATACAAGCGGAAGTGGCAGTATGTTATTATGATCCATCCTTTACATTACTGATGTACTTTTGTCATTTCTTTATACTGGAAACAAAAAAAAACAAACAAAAAAAACCCTCAGACTTGAAACTGATGTACACTAAAGTAATAACTAGTCATGCACAATGTCAGAACCATACTGGTATCAACATACATTTGCTTAAGATATTTGATGATGTATTTATGGTAATCTGAAAGAGCAGAACATTCAGGTGACATTCAGGTGGCTTAATGTGCTAAAATATCTGATATCTGTTTTTATTAAGTTTACTGCATTTATAACAGAAATGCACATTACATTTTAGGGCTGTAACAACTTATCATCATTATCAATGACGTTGATAATAAAAAGTTGTTGGCAACAAATCATATTGTGGATCACTTGGATTGATGACGTTTGTGCGTCTCATTTACATGACATGACTGAAAGAGGGAAATACAGATAGTGGAGATTGCAGTGGGCAGTACGACTGTCAGGTTCAAGTAAGCGAGAGATTATACATCCATGGCAGAAACTTGGCATGGTGAGACATCTAATATCTTCTAAAACTTCAGTTAAAAGGCAAAAACTGTCTGCTTTTCAGTCTTAGTTTAACAGGTAGAATAAGCAGCGCTGGCTGAAGGGATGAGCTGCATTTTGAAACTGTTGGTCTACACGACTATTTTTCTCTATTTTTAGTATTTGAATGTGGACTCATAAAAATATACATATATTTTAAAAAAAGGTCAACATCACAAGCGGTTATTGCTGTTGAACATGTGATGAGCTGTTTTAGGTCACCATATCTGACACAGCTGATGACTGGACTGTTATGGACTGGACTGATCTGCAATATCAAATTTCATTACATGATGTTATTGACCCCATAGAAGCTGTAATTAATTCATTTATTTTTTGCTTTATTATTAGAGGAGAAATACAGAAGAGCAGCCAATCTTGGGCTCCTGTGTAAAATGAGTTTGTGTTGTTCTTTTATTGTTTCTGCACCTTTCAAAAAGAGCTTTAAGGACCAATGCAACAGCTGATAAAAGTTGGAACTTGATACAAGCCCTTTTTAGACAAATTAATTAGAACACATTGTAGGTGTTTTATGTTTTTTAGAAAGAATGTATTTTTAATTTCTTGAACAAAACACTTTTGCCAGGCTATCTGCAGGTTTTTGTTTCCCAGTCATAGGTTTTAGCCCTATTCCATTTCTCCACACTACCAATCCAGGCAGATGTAGTCTTGGGGTCGTATTACAAAATCTTCCTAACTTTAGTCCTAAATTAAGATCTGACAAGGACAAGATAAGATATTTCACAAACTTGTATTCCAGAAGCAAATCTCATCTTCAGGAATTATATCATATAGTTTCATCGCGTTCAGCTGTAATATTTTATTTGCTATGTTTTCATGAACACTAGCACACCAAGGTAATGAGAGGGGCCGATGGAGAAGAAATAAAAAGTTAAGAACCTCACAACCATCGTTTTGCAAAATGAATAATTGTAACGTCGTTAAGCTAGTTAGAATGAACTTGTTAACCTGCCTATCATAGCTGCCCAAAAACAATACAAAAAGGAGTTAAAACAATGTTTGGGCAGCAATTAGGACAGTAATTAGATCATTTCATCTAGTTAGGATGCTTCTGTAATACTCTTGTCTTAGGACATGATTATGAACTTAAGATCTGTTGTTCTGTAATAGCTAATAGTCTTAAATTCAGTCTTAACTGACTCTGTCATGGTGACTAAACAGATAAGATTTTAGTGTTATGATGTAATACAGCCCCTAACCTTCTACACTTTACAAATGTTTAGCAGCAGCAGATATTTACATGGAAAGTATTGGATACCCCTAGCAATGACTCACAAATTCCTAGGTTTAAACTGCAATTAACTGCATGGTATGTGTACTTACATTAACTCTGAAGGCTTGCACTGTGTTGTCCAGCAGCAAAACGTTACACACCACCTGCGCGCTCTGTCTGTCTCGGGCCACTTCGGACTCTCCCACATCGGAGCTTCTGCCAGGAGGCAACCGGAAGCGTGCTGTCATTACTGTCCCCACACCGTCTGTCCAAACACACAGACAAAAAAGGCATCCCATAATCAAGACCTGCAATGTGAAGCCATAAGCTTGTCAACAATACAAGAGCAGCAACTATGAGTAGGCAATAAGGCAAAAACCTTCAGAAAATACCTGCAATTATTTGTAATTTTTAATTAATTAAACAATACATATACAAAATATATAAAATTAAATATATAAATATATAAATAAATAAACAAACTAACTAAAAGTGTTAATAGTGCATAAACATGATATATTACTAATTCCACTAATTTTTAAAACACTGATAATACATTTTTCTAGTTTGACCCTTCAGATCGTCTGTAGCTACACTCTGAAGCCAAGGTGGTCATGCACTGAAGCTTATTTTCACTCAGAAATTCAAGAAAACATTTGACGACCGTGCTCCAACATTTGCATATGACTGTATAAAAGTCGAAACATTTGCAGCCCTACATTTATCACGATCACAATAACTCATTATTATTATTATATTACTGCTATATTGTCCACCCTAGTTAGGGGTGTAACATCATGATCTGCCAGTGCAAAACTACGCATCATGAAGAATGGACATTTTATTAAATATCACATCTTTTATAATTCTTTGGTTACATGCCATGTAGGTGGTAATTGTTTCTGGTGCAACAAAATGTTATTTGCCTCTGTAGAAACACAATATACACACAACGTATGTTTGTGTGTTTTATGTGAAAAGGACCACAATGGAAACACGCTTTAGGGCTTTATTGTGTTTGAATCCTCAATGATGTATCGCGTGCGTTATGTGTAATTTTATTCATCAAATAAATTCAATCGATCAATATAGCACAACAGAGCCGTGGAAAGTTGCACAATAATTCTGACAGAAAATCTTACAGACAGACTATAATGATATATATTACTCTGAAGTGTTTAATACCGTACTGCAATAAGAAAAAAGCTGTTCTTGAAACAGATTTTCTTTGTTCTTAAAGATCTGAAGCGCCTTCCAGAAGCAAGTAGCTGAAAAGATGGTACGCTGGATGAGAGCAATCTGTAATTATTCTCTTTGCTCGCTTGAGAGTGTGCAGAGTATAAACAGAGTCAACTGAATAATGCAACTGCATTGTCTGAATACCAATACCAATATCTGAATAGCATCAGTTTGCATACAATCAACAACCAACATCTCATTCTAGCACTCCTCCTGCCTCCAAGTTCTTGTGTCATCAGTAATAGGGTTGGGCTGAATAACGATAATAAGGTATTCTGTTGTATTTAAAAATGATGATGTCTCAGATTTCTATTGCACATTCTAACAGCTAAATAAACATATTCTACAAACGTATACATTTTAGATGAGCTCACAGACTGGTGGTGTGGGAGCTCACCTGTAGGTGCCACTGATAGAAAGAGGGGAAAAATCAGAGGCTAAAAAAAACTCAGGAAACTAGCTAAGTATGATAGCGGCTCAGTGACAGCTAAGAGTGACACTCACCACAGAACATGTTCAACAGTCACTTGACTCTGCACTCTCAGATATCCTCTAAACAGGTGTCATTTTAGCATCAGTTAGCTGGAACCAAGTCTGTGCTGTGCTTTGTGGCATGTTTGGCCTGCTAACTAAGCTCTCATTAGCTTAGCCCAAAGTCCCAAACACAACAGAGCAGGTTCAATTTCTGCACTCCAACACCAGTTACTCCACTTTTGTTCTCTCAGGCATTAGTTTTCATTACCTAAACTTGTTCCTTCAGAGCAGCAGTTAGTCAGAATCAAACCTGTACTGTGGTGCATGGCACTGTTTGGGTTGATGATTTAGCCGATAAAACTACAGATCCAAACACTTCAGAACAGGTTTGATTTCTTCTTTCTGTCCCTTCAACTGCAGTGGTTTGACTTCACTCCTTCAGACTTGAATTGTTATCATCTAAACATCTGTCAGTGCTTTAGTTAAACAGCAAAAATGTTCTGTGGTGAGCAGAGCTGTTATGCTAGCTAAGCTAATGCTAAGCAGATCTTCTCTCAGTGTTCGCAGCAATGTTTAACATTTAACCGCTGCTTCACAGATACCCCCACCCTCACACCTGGTCAAAAGCTGACACAAGATTCTCGGAGGGAACTTCTCACAAGTCAAACTGCAAACGCACAAACACCACACAAACAATTATTCTCAGCGTTTAGTTTAGCAACCAGGCATTTATGCCAGTTTAGTAACTCAAATGGCCAATGAGACGTCTGTACATTATTTTACTTTGCTAGCATTACTATGAAGCACAAGTGCCTCAACATGCCACAGACGTGACTGAGAGGTCTGAGGAGTGCAGCTAGGCTAACCATGATAGCTGATGTTAGCAAAGATAATTTACTGTTCTCCGTGTTACCTCAACAAGCCGACACGTTCCACCATGGCAGTTTGCTTTATAAAAACTGACTGATTGAATTCAGAACCATCAGCCAACTGTGTTTGCATACAGTGGGATTAGATCTCTGCATTTAACCCATCTGTGCAGTGAAACACCCACATACATGTACACTAGTGAACACACACACTAGGGGGTAGTGAGCACACTTGCCCGGAGCAGTAGGCAGCCCTATCTACTGCGCCCAGGGAGCAGTTGGGGGTTAGGTGCCTTGCTCAAGGGCACTTCAGTCATTGACTGTCAGCCGAGGGGATTGAACCGGCAACATTCCGGTCATAGGGCTGGTTCCCTAACCTCCAGCCCACGACTGACATTACTGAAAGTAATGTTATGACAATTCTCAGACTAAAATTATGCTCAGTGGTCACCATTTAGACTTTAAACAGTATCTAAGGACATGAATGCCCACACAGCAAGCATATATCGGTCCGCTGGTTTGAAAAGGTCGGCACCCCACTGACTGTTTGCCACTGCTGGTCCACCTTCGGACAACCCAGATTATTGTCCTGCATACAAGCTCTACTAGTTTTTAATTTCCTCAAACAGATTTTAAATGCACACAGACTTTTATTATAGAAAATAACTTACATAAATTTTACAAACAACCGAGAGAAAAGAAATAATGACTAGGCCTGACATAAAATGATTTAATAGAAAATGTTGTTGCTAAAGCTGTGCTAGATTAAAATTATTTACTAATCTAATTTACAAAGTGTAACTGAAGAAAGGAAGGAAGGAAAAATCAGTAAATTGGACTGTGAGTGGAAAATGAGAGATGATAAGTGGACTTTTGGCTAATACTCCGCTTAACCGCCAGTGGACCACCTGGAAAACGCTGAGCAAAACGCCAGTGGACCGCCAGCTTTGCCATTAGCAGGCCGACAGTGGACCACTGTCCTCTTGCTATCAGGGCTGAGTATTTTTAAACCCCATGTCAGCTATTAAATTCTTCCAATGAACTAACATCTTCATCTCCAGCCTTAGCATGTTTTTTTGCTTTTTATGCATGTTTAGTAATATGTACACTGCACATGTGCAGATTTATGCGCATGCGAGTTTAACCCCTTAAATGGCCACAGCAAAGTTATATTACTTACTTTTATAAACTCAGAATAGCTCAAGGTTGAATAATAAGCCTTAGCCTGGGGATTATAATCTTAACACGTCAACTTTTGACAGCATCAACTATTTTTGTTACACCAGTAATACCATCTCGTACTGGCAGTATTTGGAGACTTATTGTTAATAAAGAAGATACTGGCCAACACTGGTTAGTAAGCTATGCAACAACATGATTGAGGTCATAATTTTTTCTTTCTTCAAATTTTATGCAAAATATCATGAGAATACAGAATTGTGACCTCGGTTTATATTTACTCATTTATAATAGAAGCTCAGCAATATTAAAGTCAGAAGCCTATCACATACATTTGCACAAACATTCAAGGCTGCACATGCACACACCCGTGATCTTCAAGCTATGTTTAAACACTCTGGGCAAACATTAGTCTCCACCTAAAGAGATTCAGTCAACAGTGAAACAGCACTGCAAGCTAGTTCACCTCCAGAAAACACGTTCTTATTCTCTCTCACACACTTGACAGTTATCCCAGATCTGTCTATAGGTACAAAATAAAACATGCCACTTACACAATACACAGGCACTTATAGAGACACGCCAGAGTAACACTGCCATATTATACTTCAGTGTTCACGGCATTTCAGTTCTATAAACTGAATCAATGCAGTATCTGAATTTAAGCATATTGTTTTTGTAACAAAATCTGGTGCAAAATTGTGTCTAAAGAAAATGAAAAACATTCTTCACTTTAAAAGGCCCATATGCTTCAATTTTTCCCCAGAGGTTCACTTACAACATGTGTGTTTTTATGTACCAAAAACAGACATAATTAATTTTTTTACAGGACCATTTTCCCACCTCTCTTTATCCCTTAAAACTGAACTCTGTGCCTTTAACACATAAATTATCACAATTCTTATTGCCTTGTACACTGTTAGAAATAAAGGTACTGTGCAGGTACATTTTTTGTTCATTAAGGTACAAATAATGTAAATGTTCCCTCGAAGGTACAACAGTAGTTTTAAGGTCCAAATGTGTACCTCAAATGTGGAAAACTACATATTTGTGACTTCTCATAACCTAATGTTTTAAAACAGAACAATAAAATAAAAAGCCTGGAGACGAGACGGGGTGTGTTGAGTCAATACAACTTCGGAAATATAATTTATACTAAAGGTTCCGAGATGAGACTGCCCCAGTGACAGTTTACTGCCTTTTTTTCTGAGAGTGTATTGCGCTTCATTCAAAAAGCAGTCCAGTCTCCTTATGAATTCAGAATGGGCAAAGCTAAACTACTGTAGGCTGGTAAAAGAGTTGGTTTTTGTGACATCACAGAAACAATGAATTTGAAACAGCTTAGTTTTTATATATGGACTGGGGGAGCGAATGGTGCCGTATAAAACCACAACAGTGTTTACATACAATACCAAACTCATTTCAAAAAGCGAGGAAAATGCAGTTCTCCATGATATGGGCCCTTTAAAGGGGAATCCCAGTGATTTCTCATCATTTCTGCATA